TGGGCCGAGGTGTCGGCGCTGGCAAACGCCTCCGAGTACTGCGAGCAGCGCATCGAGCTCCACTGCTACAGCTCCCGCCTGCTCAACACCCCCTGTGAGCAGCGTGGGGAGCAGGGCTGCAGCGCGGGGCCGTGCTGCGGGGCCCTACGGTGGGAGCACGCTGCGGGACTGCATCCTCACCCTCCCCTGTGCCCGCAGCCGGGCTGCCCTTCAGCTTCTGGATGGGCCGTCACGACGAGCGGCACTACTACTGGGGGGGCTCTCGGCCGGGCATCCAGCGCTGCGCCTGCGGCCTGGACAAGAACTGCGCTGACCCCAAGTACTTCTGCAACTGCGACGCCGACCACGCGCTGTGGTGAGTGCTGGCGGGGAGGGACGGGGGCACAGGGGGCACGAACGGCCCCTCCGACACGTGTGCCATGCGCAGGAGGACGGACAAGGGTCTGCTGACCTTCGTGGACCACCTGCCCGTCACACAGGTTGTGGTTGGAGACACCAACCGCACCGGCTCCGAAGCCCAGTTCCTGCTGGGGCCCCTGCGGTGCTACGGAGACCGTGAGTGACCGGACCCGCAGCGGGTGCCATGGGGTGCTGGGACTGTGGTGGTCCATGCCCGTCCCTCACCGCTCCCGCTCCCCACAGGCAACACCTGGAACACCATCTCCTTCAACAAGGGCACAGCCCTGCTCTTCCCCACCTTCCAGGCCAACCACAGCCTCGACATCTCCTTCTACTTCAAGACCACCGCTCAATCCGGTGTCTTCCTGGAGAATCCGGGCTCCCGGAACTACATCCGTGTGGAGCTCAACAGTACGGGCGGGCAGGGGGGCGAAGGGGGGGGGTCACCGGGGGCTGTTCCCAACGCTGGGTCCCTGCAGCCACCAGGGACGTGGTGTTCGCCTACGATATCGGGAACGGGGACGAGAACCTGACGGTGCGGTCGGCGGTGCCCTGGAACGATGACGAGTGGCACCAGGTGAAGGCTGAGCTCAACGTGAAGCTGGCGCGGCTGCGGGTGGACAAAGTGCCCTGGGTGGTGCGGCAGGCTCCGCCGCAGAGCTTCGTGCGCCTGGACTTCGACAGACCCCTCTATGTCGGTGAGAGCCGCGGCCACATCCCCGCTGCCCCGCTCCCCGTGTGCCGCCGGCGCTCACCCTCGGCCCCGGTGCAGGCGCGGCGGAGCACAAGATGCGCCCGTTCCTGGGCTGCCTGCGGGCGCTGCGGATGAACGGGGTGACGCTCAACCTGGAGGGCAAAGCCAACGAGACCGAGGGCGTGCGGGTCAACTGCACCGGGCACTGCCAGGACCCGCCGGTGCCCTGCCAGAACAGCGGGCTCTGCGTCGAGCGCTACAGCCACTACAGCTGCAACTGCAGCGTCTCTGCCTTCGACGGGCCCTTCTGCAACCACGGTGAGCGCGGGGTCCTCGCCGGGGCTGGGATGGGGCTCCCCAGTGTTCCCCCCGGTGCTCCCATCGCCCTGCGCGTGCCCCGCAGACATCGGCGGCTACTTCGAGGAGGGCACCTGGGTGCGGTACAACATCCTGCCCATGTCCCTGTACGCTGCCCGCGAGTTTGCCAGCATCATCAGCAGCCCCTGGCAGCCCCTGCCCGGCTACAACCTCACCAGCGAGGAGGTGAGCTTCAGCTTCAGCACCACCGCCGCGCCCGCCGTGCTGCTCTACGTCAGCACCTTCGTCAAGGACTACATGGCTGTGCTCATCAAGGATGACGGTGAGGGAGCCTGCAGGGACCTCCCCGGGCCTCCCTGCCAGTGCCAGGCACCAGCGCTGCGGAGGGGCTGGACCCACTGCCCAGAGCCCCAGCCCCACCGATGGCCCCACTCTGCCCACAGGGAGCCTGCAGCTGCGCTACCAGTTGGGCACCAGCCCCTACGTCTTCGCCCTCACCACCAAGCCAGTGACAGACGGGAGGCCCCATAGGGTGAACATCACCCGCCTGCACCGCACGCTGTACACGCAGGTATAGGCTGTGGGGGGCTGTGGGGCTCGGGTGAGGCACAGGCAGGGTGTGGGAGGCAGAAGCTGGCACTGTCCCTGTCCCCAGGTGGACTATCTGCCGGTGATGGAGCAGCAGTTCTCCCTGTTCGTGGACAGCAAGCTGGACTCACCCAAAAACCTGTACCTGGGGCGCGTGATGGGTGAGCTGCGTCCTGCCCGCGCCTGCCCACTCCCATGCTGGGGACTTGGGGTCTTCTCTGCCCAGCACGGTCCTTGCCCTCTGCAGGGGATGAGCCTTCTCCTTCTGTGCCCCCCCAGAGACCGGTGTGATCGACCCCGAGATCCAGCGCTACAACACGCCCGGCTTCTCAGGCTGCCTCTCCGGGGTGAAGTTCAACACTCTCGTCCCTCTCAAAGCCATCTTCCACCCCACCAGTGTCCTGAAGCCCTACAGCATCCGTGGGGAGCTGGTGGAGTCCAACTGTGCCTCCATGCTCCCCCTCACCACCATCCTCATCCCTCCCGAGATGGACCCCTGGTACATGGACATAGGTAGGTGCTGTGATGGGTCCCCCCCCACCCCAGCAAGCATCAGCTGCAGAGGGGATGCTGCAGCACAAGACCCCGCTGCAGCCGGGTCTCAGCCTCTCTGTCCCCACAGATTTCCCCCACGTGCACGATGATGGCTGGATCGGGATCATCATCGGGTGTAAGTGAAGCACCCGGCCGGTGCCCCCCACCCCTGCCCTGGCCCTCTGCTCACCCCCCCAGCCCCTCACCGCTGCCTCATCCCTGCAGTTGTGATCTTCCTGCTCCTGCTGCTCGGGGGGCTGCTGGTGCTGCTCTACTTCTACCACCACCGCTACAAGGGCTCCTACCACACCAACGAGCCCAAGGCCATCCAGGACTACGGCAGTGCTGCCAAACCCCTCCCGGCACGCAAGGACCAGAACCTGCCCCAGATCCTGGAGGAGGCCAAAGGGGATTAGTGGTACCCGGGGGTGGGATGCGCTCGCAGCCCCACAGCCCTGGGGCCGAGCGAGCATCGCGGGACCAAAGGGCCGAGCGCTCCTGAACTGCCAACACCCGCCACGGAGCAGGACCGGCCCCGGAGCGCGGCCGGGCCCCAGCGCCAGCGCCCGCTCTGCCCCGCGGGGAGCCCCGGTGCAGGCCGCACGGGCCCCGCCGCCCCGCTCACACGTAGTTGAGCCGCTGCTTTGCTCGCTTCAGCCAGAGCCACGAGGACCCAGCAATAACCGCCCGTGCCCGCGCCCCTGCGCATGATGCCACTGCCCCTCGCTGCTGCTTCCGCCCGCTCCGGTAACGGCTCCTCTCTGGATGCTCTCCACTACACCCGGGTTTTTTATTCTCTCCGTTTGTATAAAAATCCAACGGGAAGCTCCTCCGGGGGCTGCGTCCGCGGGGCCGGCCCCGTGCCGGTCCCCTCCAGCCCCGGGAACGCTCCCGCTCACTCGCTGTATTGTGGTAAGGCGACGTTACCGAAACGCCGTTACCCACCCAACGGCCGAGCTCCACTGGGCACCTTCTTTTTACAAAGCCTGTTTCGTTGACCGAGATGTGAAGATACTCAAATAAAGGCAGAATGACAGCGGCTGATGCTCCCCTGCCCTCCCTTTGGCAGCCGGGAGCTCCTCGCCTCGCTCACGGCTCGGCCGCATGGACAACAGCAACTCCCGTGCCCAGAGTGGGATGTGGGATGGGAAGAGCAGAGGCTGGATGCAGCTCCTGCTATGCCCCTACTCTCACACAGCCCCTGCTCTCCCAGCACACCTGAGCCAGTGGGGATCCAGGCAGCGGTGGCACTGGGAGCTGCTCACAAACCCCACTGGGCTCTGGAGCTTCCATCAAGGAGGCCCGGGGCAGGGAGAGGAGGGGCAGGGGACACAGACCCCACCGGCAGCTGCTCCCGAGGGTAACAGAGGCCAGAGAGCCCTTGGAGGGGGTTCGCTACCACTTTATTATGACAAAGGCTACAAGCCACGTTATTTGTAAAGTGCATCATCGTTACCCACTGTCAGCAACCACAGACACGAGCCTGGCCTAGTGCAGATGTGGCCAAAGTGGCGAGGGCGCTGAGCCGAGAGCAGAGTCGGGGGGAGCCGGGCAGGCGCAGGCGGGCGCTGGCATCTACAAGCACTGCTCCAGACAGACCCAGACCCCTCGGAGCCTCAGGAGGGCAGTGTGGGCAGCACAAGGATGGACACACAGCCAGCCTGCGGGGCAGGGCTTGGCTCCTGGGGCACACCCAGCACCTCCCTCCATCCATGGACCACGGCAGCAGGGAGGATTCTAGGGTTCCCCCAAGGTGCCAGGCAAGGACCCAGCACTGCTCCCAAATGCTACCCTCACAAAGGGACAGGGGGCTTTGCCCACTAACCCCATCCCAACATCCCTGCAATGGAGCTGCAGAGCAGCAGTCTCAGCCCTCTGTGGTCCCCGCACCCCCAGAGCACAGACAGGACCTGGCTGCTGGCCGAGAGGAGCAGTTTAAAGTGCTTTGCTTTTTCTTTTTGCATGTGGTGCTAAGGCCAAACCTCACCCCGGAGAGAACGATTCCCGTTTATCCCCAATGGGGACTGTCCTACAACAGGAGGGAGGACCCAGACCTCTGGGCAGAGGCACCCGTGCGCCTGCCCTAGTATGAGCCAACAACCACCTGGACACACCAAAGGGCATCCTCAGGCTCATGGGGCTCTGCTGCCTCCAGACTCCTCTTGTGCTGGCAGCAGCATTCCCATAACATCATCTCCAACCAGCTCAGTGGTATTCCACTCCCCAGAGTGACTTCTTGCATAGTGCTGCTCTCCCCCTCCCCTTGAATCACATCACCCGTGGTGAGGTGGTCCCTGTCCCCCAGCCAGCTGGGGCAGAGGGGAAACAGCCTCAGCCACAGCAGTCCAGGCCCTGCTGCGGCCCCATCTCTATGGCTTCAACCCTCTCGCTGTCCCCATCAACGGGACAAAATGAGCAGCGAGAGCAGGCACCTGAGACTGGAGCCTATCCCAGGGGACAGGGCTGGTACCACACTCGCTCTTGTGCTTCCAGCAGTCAATGGGAAACAGACAGAGACCTTGTGGCTGTCTCTGCTCCTGCAGCACAGCTTCGCTTCAAGCCCCAGCCTCAGCCCCACGGCTCCCTCCAGCCTGGGGGAGCAGAGCAGAGCTCTGGCGCCTGCCCCTGCCCAGTGCTGGCAAAGCTGCCCCTGGCAGCAGCCACTCACACTCCTGCCTCGAGTCTCTCTCTGGGTGGGAAGCAGCATTTGTGACACACTCAGCAACGGGAAGAGCAGCAGTCATGTCAGCGTGAGGCAAACATGGCATTGCTTACAGGGTGCAGCAGCAGGGTGGGCTAGGGACTGCCCCACACGGAGCCTAGATGATATCCGTCTCCCTCTCTATGCCGACATACTTCAGGGCATCGGCCTGGCTGTACCTATGAGACAGGAAAGTCACAGCTGCTGCAGTGACCCCCCCGTGCTCCCCATGAGGAAGCGGGGCCAACCCTGCAGCCCCATCCTCAGCAGCCGCTCCCCAGGTACCTGTAATCGAAGAAGAGCTCCTCTCCTGCCTGGATCGCCCTCTTGGCAAAGATCCCGATCCGGTGGTCTCCATTCACCATCACCACTGCAGCAAAGAGACACCAGAGACACGGGGCTGCGGCTGCAGCCCATGGCTCCTGCAGCGCTCCAGCCCTGCCCGGCTGCAGCAGCAGGAATGGGACCGGCTGCAGAGGAGCCTCTGGCCAGGCTCAGGACAGCTTGGGACCCCGGAGAATGCACTGCAATCCCAGAGCTGAACAGGACCCCAGAGAGCCGCCCCTCCGTGGGGCTGGGCTGCCTCACCTTTGGCATAGCAGTTGGGGTTCACCGAGTGGTTGGCGAAGCGGATTTTATTGCCTTTGCGGGTGGCATCGACAACAAAATCTAGAAAAGGACCAGAAAAAGCCCCAAGCTGCAGCACGGAGAGGCCTGTCTGCAGGGGCTGCAACCACCACCCCATCACCAGCCCCTGCCAGGCTGCCCGGGGCTCACCCAACCCTCGCAGCCCCAGGCCGGTTACCGTTGTTGAGGTTGAAGAGGAAGCTGGACATGTACTTGTCATAGACCTTCCCTCGCCGGTCAGCCTCATCCTGTGAGATGAGCTGCAGAAGGAGAGCACCTTGAGAGACCCAGTGCCGAGGGTACACCTGGGGGGCTGTGAGGAGTGGGATTCATCTCCCTCTTGCCCTCCCACCCCAGTGGCCACAGCTCACCAGGGCTCCAGGGAGGGAGCAGAGAGAGGAGCTGGGGTCCCAAGGAGCAGCATGTACCCCACACGCTCCCCCATGGTGGAGGGCCTAAAAAGTACTGCGGTAGGTCCCAGGCAGTACAAGCTTCAGCCTCCAAAGCTGGTCAGACACAGCAGAGCACCCTGGCACTGACCTCACCACAGTACTCGGAGATGAACTCGTTCTTCTGCACAGATTCCTTGATGAAGGTCCCCCAGCCAGCGACATCCGATGGTGCCAGCAGCAAATGCTGGAGGCAAGGAGGAAAGGAAGCAGTTAATGGTCAGCAGGCCCATGACTCCCAGCACACAGATCCCACCCTGCCTCGGAGCTCTGCACCTCCTGGCACACACCAGGGAACAGCCAATGCCATGCTCAAGGTCCCAGCATCACAGAGTGAAGGGGGACCAGTCTCTACGCAGCATCCCCTCGTTTAAGGGGACACACAGCTCCCTCCAGACTGAGGTGTCCCAGCACCACTACACTGGAGCTGCTCATCACCTGACACCCACTGATTTGTATCTTTCTCTGAATTTTGTCTTTTTTACATGCAATCCCTTGCCCTGAATTCAGGACTGAGCCTTTCACATTTTACACTTCCTTGCTCTCAACCCTTCCTCATGCAATTCCCTTCTCTTGATTTCCATATCCACAGTCCCTACTGCAGGCTAAGTGCTACCAAAGTCTCAGAGCAGCTTCTCTTCCAGAGCTCCCCAGTGGCACGCAGCCAGGGCTCTGCTGGTACCAGCACACCCGAGGCAGAGGCCAGCAGCAGCTGATGCTGGCAGTACCTTTTTGAGCCCCCGCTGGATGCTGCAGTTCTTGCAGGAGACCACCTTGCAGTCCCAGTGCTCCGAAGCCCCGCAGGTCAGGCACAGGTCCGGGTCGCACTCCCGCACAGCCAGGTAGCACGGGCACTGCTTGGTGTTGCACTGGGTTTTACAGCGGCAGCCCGGGAAGCGGTTCTGACCTGCAGCAGCACAGCACAGGGCTCTGCACCCAGGGGCCCTTCAGTGTCCCTGCCCCAGGGAAGCTCCTCCTGAGCCAGGTCTCACCCTGGCAGGCCCTTGGGCAGGTTCAGGACTAAGCCTGGGACCGAGGGCCGTGCTTCTTGCCCACCACTGTGTAGCCTTTGTGCTAATGAGGAGCACCCCATCCACTGTGCTCTGGGCAGCAGACAGGAGGCCCCAGCCACCTCCCTACCCCCAAAGTGACCAGGCCAGCACTTGCCAGGGGCACGAGGAGTCGAGCTGAATGTGAGGCAGCCTGGGCACCAGAGCTGGAAGTGAACCAGGAACCACTGTGTGCAGGCTCACACCATGCACAGGCTCCTTCCCATCTGTACGGCTGGGGATGCTGATCTGCCTCTTGGGACTACTTATGATGGTTGAAAGTAAACTGCTCTGATAACCTCAACATAACAGATCAGTAAAGGGAATCCTGGAGCCTGAGCTGGCTCCCTGTCACCCTGTGGTCCTTCCAGCCCCAAGCTCTGCCATAACCCTTAACAAATCCATCCACACTAATGTGGATAAGTACAGTTATCTCCATTGCAGAGCTGGGAATGCAAGCCCAGAGAAGAAAACCAACCATGGCAGAGCAGTGACCCTAACTGCTGCCCACACATCCTGCTCTCAGGCACACAGATGGGTATTCCCTAGCAAGAGGGTGAAGCTCAGCTGTTGAGTCACAGGGCAGCCCAGAACACTTCCCCTTTGCATTTCAGCAGACTGCAAACGGAGCTGCTGCAGATGGGCAGAGCAGTGAATGCAGGGATTAAGGCTCTAGCAAGCAGTGGCTCCGCACCCTCCCTCTGGCCGGTGCCAGCAGAGCTGGATGCTTTCCCACCCCCTGGCCCCAGGTTTTTCCTTACAGTCAGGGTTGCACTGGCAGAACTTCTCACAGAAATTCTGGGTCATGATGCAAGGGCAGGAGCTGTCACAGGGGTGCTCGGGGTGGTCACAAGGCTGGTAGTTGTACACCTGGGTAGGCGAATTATCTAGAGCAAGAGGGGAAAGGCCCGGATCAGAAGCTGCCCCTCGCAGGAACGATGAAAAGCAGCAAACGCAGGGCTCTGGAGGAGGGAAACTGCAACCTCCCCATGTGCCTGCAGAGGGCAGGGAGCCCAGTGGCATCCAGCACCCACAGGCACACAGCTGCGATCAGCAACACCCCCAACAGCAGGCCCAGACACCAAACCTCAGCTCCACTATGGTGGAAGCAAGACCAGGAGAGGCTCTGGCCAGGCTCAGGAGCACCAACACCGTGGCACCCCGAGGAGCAGGGCTGGGAGATGTGGCCACGGGGCTGTGTGACCAGGGAGCTCCCTGGGGACCCGGTGGGATGCAGCCACAGCCAACGTTACCTTTCTTCAGCTGAATCTTCCTGCAGTGTGCAGCCCACAGCCTGCAAGAGAAGCACAGAGGGGTTGAGAGGACACAGGAGCTCCATTGGGAAGAGCCAGGCACAAGCACCCAGCAGAGCAGACAGGCAGTTCCAGCCTCAAGCATTACCAACCAGGCAGCCAGAAACAGGGGAAAGAAGAGACTGATGCAGCTGCAGCTACTTAAGGCAAATGCTAGAGCCAGAATAATACTGGACACACAGGGATCAGCACACACAGAGGAGACTATGAGCCAGGGAGCTATGGCTGCTGGGAGGACGCAGCACCAGCCCTCCAGTGGCACTGCCTGCTCCCGTGGGGCTCCAGCCTGGGGCCACAGAGCCCCCAGCACCAGGGACAGTCCAGGGCCAGCAGCACCAGCAGCCCTGTGCGACAGCGGGATGTGTGTGCAGATGGGAGCCAGATGGGGATTACCAGGAATGTGTTGGCACAGAAAGCAGTGGATCTGGTTGCATTTTAAGAACAAAACAAGCATGTCCAACACTTGCCTGTGCTTCCTTTTCTTCTTCTGGGATGGATTCATTAATTCGTTTGTTGGCAGTTTGGTTATAAGCGATTCTTTCACTGCAAACTGAAAGACCTGCAAGGGAACAGAAGGAAAAAGACAACTGAAGTTCAATGCACTCAAGTTGGTTTTGATGTAAAGCATAAACAGGAGTGCAAGGACACACACAAGGGGGCTCCCAGTCCCAGTAAGCAGAGCCCAGTGCCACAGACCACGGGTGCCATTGCTTCTCTTGGCTGGGATTCAGGAGCACCCACCCCATTGCAAGGAGCCAAGCAGGCTGGTCCTGCCAAGGGCCAAGTAACACTGAGCTGCACCAAGGGGTGATGGAACACCTCCCTCGGGGTGATTTACTGCACGGAACTAGAACCACGAGGGAAGCTGCGGTGCCGCTGCGGTCCCCAGGCCCCCACCTGCTTGCAGGTCTTTGTTCCCAGCAGCCTGGCAATGGAGCAGAAGTTGTTGAAGTAGGTCCCATGGAAGACACGGAAGAGCGACTCCTCGGCTCCCGTCCACTCGACGGGCTCCTGCGGCGTCTCCACCGCAAACAGCTGGGAGGAGGCCGGGCTCAGCTTCTGCTTGGTGGGGGTCTGGCAGCGGGAGTTTGCCTCTGGCAGGAACGGGACATGTTGGACCGTGAACAGCATGGGAGAACTGCACCCACCCACAGGCAGCAGAGCTCAGCAGCGCCCAGTGCCTGCTGAGACCGTGGCACTGGCCCATTGCTGCAAGGCAGCACCGGAGGCACTGCCCCACCTACCCAGGATGGAGCCCCCCGGGGCTGGCATCGTACCTGAGGAGCTGGAAGCCCACTCGTTGCCCGTGTCTCGGTCGCTGTCGCCCTCCCTGGCCTCGGTGACGGTGGAAGCCGGGGTGTTTGAGCAGGAAGCACCCACCACGTGGTGCCGCCGCCGGCGCCGGCCTGAGCACTTGGACCTGGGGTTGTGCAGAGCAGCAAACTCCTTGGCTCCTTCCTGCAAGCAGAGCAGACAAGGCGGGTGATGGGTGACCAGGGAACACGGAAAAAGCTTTTCCACAGGGCCTGAGACAAGCCCCACCACCACCAAGAGGTGAAGTCCTGCCCTAATGCTCACTTCAGCAGCTGCCCACACTGCACACTCCTGCTGCATTCAGCATCACAGCCTGGTTGGAAGAAATGCCCTGGCCCTACTCCCTTGCCTCTTGCCCTGCAGTGAAGTTCTTGTGGCCTCTCCCTCTGTTCCTGCTTTGTGGCTGCCCAGATCCTGGAGCTGACTGACACCACCATGGGCACCCACGTCCCTGCAGCTCTCACCCCTAACACGGCTGGGCTGCAGCTCTGAAAGAGCATTTAAAACAGCTCGAGTCTTCCCCCCAGTGCTTTTAACCTGGGCTCCATTCTTCAAATGCCCCACAGGCCCCAGGGAAATAATTTGTCACCACAATTTCCCATCTGGTACCTACGAGCTTAGTCTTCATTGGAGATTTGCTAAGATAACGCATCTGGTAAGGTCTGCATTTGGATTCCCTGAATCCAGTGAGGATTAGAACTAATTCTGAAAGACGAGAGCTGTGAAAAGGACCCAGAGGGCTCTGCAGGGCTGGGCTGGACAAGCCACTTCTCCTGTGGTTTCAAAAGCAGCAATGCAGAAACATACCAGCCAGAGGAAACAGTCTGCTCCGCAAGGATCTGGCTCGATCTTGGTCTCTCTATTCTTTCGTTTGTACACATTAGGAGTAGCATGAAAAGCTGAAAAAATAATAGTTATCTTTACTATTAGCCCCCTCCAAGAGTCTCCCACACACTGCAAGGGACAGGGCAGCACGAGCTCAGCGAAGTGGGAGCCTGAGGCAGGCAGCAACAGCCCCAGCAGCTCTCCTGGCAGCGGGGAAGGAGGTGGCAGGGCTCCAACCCATGCTCCAAGCCGTGACGGGGACTCGGCAGCAGTGGGGGGAACACTTGGGAAGGAGAGGCCCTAGGAAAAAGATCCGCTTTCAGACTGAAACAAAAAGACCACATGATCTTAATATTACATCTTTTAATAAATAATTCACTGGAAAGAGTCCTGTGACTTTCCAAAGAAAAGCCCTTAGACCTGGGAAACAGCAGGTCCAACAGCATCCAAAAGGCTTTGGGCAGGACGAACAGCAGGAACATGACTAAGATGAAGCTGTAAGTTCCAGTGAAACAACAAGACACAGGGGCATGTCCAGACTTTGGAAGCGAAACATTCATGGCTTTCCCTGATGAGCTTCTGCAAAGCAAGAGTGAAGTCTGGTCATGGCACAGACGCCCGGAGGCTCAAGCGCGGAGCAGTGGTGAAAGCGGGACGGCCACGCAGGTCGGTCCCATCCGAGGAAGCAAGTGGAGCCGTCTGTATAAAAGGCTTCTGGGCACCTGTAAGCTCTTAAGGCTTCACTGCAACCTCTGGGGAGGCACCACCCTCTAAAGCCTGCGGCACAGACACTAAGCACGGCGGGCAGAGGCACGAAGCACTGAGGAAAACCGAGGAGAGAAGGGCTCTAGGGAAGCGTCCGGCCGAGCCTGCACTTACGATGCAGAAAGCAGTCGTATTTGAAGCAGCGGCGGCAGAAGAGGGTGTGGAAGGAGTGCAGGGACTGCTCCCGCTGCACCGACTTGGCGCAGGGCCCGTCTATGTTGGGAGTGCACTGCGGCGGCAGCACGTTCGGGTCCGACACTTCCGTGAGCTCCCGGTACCTGTGGACACACAGACAGCCACAGATACACTCCCCCTGCCTCCTGTGGGGCGCATCACACAAGCAGGGGCCATGTGGGGCAGCAGCACCCCGAGCCAGGTAACCTGGAGGCTAAAGCAAAGCCTCTGACACTTGAAAGCTGCTCTGCTTTGTGCTCAGGGCACAGCGCTGTTTGCTGACATAGAGATCTCAACTGACACCAAGGCAGGGAACAGACAAGTGCAGCACAAATCTACCTCTCTTTCATATCCTCTGGGAAGCCGTATTCAGGAAACATAGAAGATATAGCAGTGAATATCATGTCATTCGGAAAGCGCTTCTTGGAACACTTCTTGTTACCTAAGAAGAGGAGGAGAGACAATCCCTCACTTAAAGCAGATGTGAACGCCTCCTTCCCTCTTCCACAGTGATTCCAGTAGTGTTCAGGATTATATTTTAGGAGGCAGAAATCTAATCCCATATACAATGGATAAACCTTTTGCCCTGCAGCTAGGCCAAGGTGTTTCCAGATGCAGTGCTGCCACTTTAGAGCTGTAGCATCCTCAGGAAGCGCTAACGATTCCTTAAGCATTTAATGACTTCTTAAGGACCATTATCATGGCTTGTTTTTCCCAAAAGAGGATTTGCAGACAATGCTTTTCTACCTTTAAAAAAGGGTCCTGGTATTTGTGCTACCCACATCACTCTAAACCAAAGACAAAAATAGCAGTCAGCATTCCTAAGGTCATGCAGGACACAAGAGAAATCCCACAGACCAGAGCTATCTCTGGCAACAAGAGCTCCAGGTGGCACAGAGGGAACAGGAACAAATACATGGAAAATAGGTCTGGAAGGGATTTGAAACTATCCGCCTTTGCCTGCAGCAGAATGGGATCTACCTCCCAACTCCCTGGCAGGTGCCTGCCAGCCCAGCACTTTGAAACCTCCCACAGCCTCCTCGGATAACACCCACTGCTGTTCATCCCACAGCCTCCTCAGATAACACCCACTGCTGTTCATCCCACAGCCTCCTCGGATAACACCCACTGCTGCTCATCTCACCCTGACAGGGCTTTCCAGATGACTCATTTGATTTTCCTCACCACCCTCTAAACTGGTGACTTCTTATCCTGTCCAAGGGGATGGTGAGAACAACCAACTGCACCCCTGCTTTCAATGACCAGAACCTGCCAAGTTGGTCACTACCCTCAGCAACACGTTACCAACCAGGCAGGGCAGGATGGAAATGTGACCAAAGGCACCCCAGTTTCTGTGGCCAAACCCACCTTCTGCTGCAGTTCGCTTTCTTTTCCTTGTGACTGGCAGCTCCTCTTTCCCATCCTCCTGTTTAACCTCAGAATCATTGTGTCCTTCCTCTTCCTCGTCCGAGTACTGATTGAGGGCATTCACCAGCTCCAGGAACACAGCATCGCTGATGAGGACTGACCCTGAAATCATTTCTGAAACACAGAGATGTCAGCCAGCTTGTGGCAGTGCTCCTCATGGTGCTAAATCACAAGCCAGAACCTCCCCGTTTTGAAGGGACAGGTGGGCTTTTAATGCTAGCGGGTCACAAGAGCAGTGTGCATCACTTGTGCCATCTGAAGACAGGACACCCCAGTTTCCCACTGCTTTCCTCCCTCCACGCAGAGTTTTATGACCCCCATGAACAACAGCTCCAGAAGAAGAGCCTAGAACAGTGCAGGGTGTTGAAAGGCAGGCCCATATCCTTGCAAGCTAGAACAGCAGGCATGCTCCTGGTTTTCTGCTCTAAGAGCTCCCACAGCAATGCTGGTTACTGCTGCCACCTTTTGACTTCTTAACTACTTTGATATGCTATTCACAGGAGACTGAACCGGCAGTGCTGTTCTTACCTTCCTCTCCATGGACTTTCCCATCATAGTTATTAATAAGTTCCTCAATGAAAGTTTCATCTTCTTCCTTCACCTCATCTCCCATGTAGGGGATATTGCACAGAACAGTTTCATCCTCCACCTGCAGAGGTCAGATACAACTCAGAGCAGCGGCACCCTGCTCCTCCTGCCCATGCAGAGACCGCAGCACAAAGCAAAGCTTCACCCTCCCAGGCTGCAATTTCAGATGCCTCAGCCCTGACATGTCATTGTTATCCCGTGCCAGCAGCATAAACCTGACCCCTGAGAGTGCTACTGGCCTTAAAAGAGAAGAGCAGTGCCTCCAATGCTTGAAGAAACTCAGAACCACACACACTGCCAGCAATAACAACCAACCAACGTCAGAGACATTGTGCTCAGGCAGAGCATAGGACTGGACCAGCAAAAGGCAAACTGGTAACTCACTCCCAGAGGAACACAGCCAAAGCTGAGGAGCTGTTCTCATGTTAACCACAGGAGCCAGGACACCGGCTCTCCATTGCCACGGCACCACTGGCTGGCTCTGCGTTACAGTCACTGGTCTCACACTGTGCCCCAGTCTGCAGTGGTGTGCGGCTGCCCCGCAGGGTGCAGGGACACATCCACACCCCAGAGCAGGCAAAGAGCCAGGCCAGGCACAGGCCAGATGCTTGTTTAACAGGTAATCTTAACAACATCCCACCAAAACCTGCATTAAATCACTTGCCTTGCTTCCACCATAGAGGAACTAACCCTCCGTAGCACCCTTACAATGAGACCAGCAGGGTAATCCAGTCACAAAGGAAAAGACCTGCCTAGGAAATAAAACTCTTCATTGAGAAAGGAAGAAAAACCTTAAGGGGGGGGCAAAAAAACCAAACCATCAAGCAACAAACCATATCTGCTCCATGGATCCTCTGAAATAACAGTGACCCTACCAAGGAGTCAGGTAAGACAGCACAGATACAAGGCTGTTTTATGGGATACAACAAAACAGGCAGCCAAAGGAACAGTTTCCATCATCTTTTGAGCAGACATTGCTTAAAACAAGTGGGATGAAAAAGACCCAACCAGTCCACAGCCACATCACAACTACACACAAACTGTCCAAGCTCTTGTGCCCGAGCCTCCCTCCATACCATGAAGTTCTGCTGAAGAGGAGACCAGGAGTACATAATGGGCACCAGTGCCACCGTGTTCAGGGTCCTCATGTACAGCGTCTGGCTGGGAAACCCCGGGAAGATGCTCTCAACTGTACACTGGAACAGGACAGAGAGGGGCAGTGAGGAAACAACCAACTTCCCCTGCAGAGGCTGCTTCCACTCCACACTTGTGCTGTTGAGCCCCTTTCCCTCTCCACACCTGCTTGAGGAACGGGTGCCCACTGACGGGCTTCATCAGCTGCACTGGCTGCACGCGGAGCTTCTTCCAGTCCTCGTTCAGGATCTGAGTCTTCTCATGAACCTTTGCAAAGTTGGCCACAAACAGAGCCTGCAGTGAGGGAAAGCAGCACTCAGAGCTTCAGAAATCACACGGAGAACACTAAAGCCCTTCACGAGATGTTGGTTTGAGTATGAGAAGTGTACGCAAGGCAGAGTGTCTCAAACTGATGATACTCGTTAGAAGGAATTCGAATGAAACTCAACATTGGTACACAACTCTGCTTAAAGTCCTCCCAACAACCAGCAGCATTTGGGAGCTCCTGATCCCAGCCGACCTCCTCTAAAACCCTGCCTGTGAGGAGAGGAGCAGCAGAGCCCCCTTGAGCCCCCAGCAGTGGAGACGAGTCCCCTTTGCTGCATGAGCATCTCACCAGCACAACACCCAGCGCTGCACAAGGAGCAGGATCCCCTCCAACCTCCCCAGCTTGGAACTGGGGTGCAGCTGAGCAATCCGCAGGATGAAGCACCCACCTGAGGCGCTCAGCAGATACCCCTTCAGTCTTTACCTTAGCTCCCATGTTCGCCTGGAACCTCTTGAGCTGCCGGAGCCGCATGTATTCAGACTTGACTTTCCTCTTCCAGTAAATGATGCACTTGGACGTTGGAGGAGCAGCGATTTCCATTTTCCTGTAGGAGCGCAGAGGGGATGAACATCAAACAACGGCGGGCACGACCCTGTCCGTGTGCTACCGGAACAGAGGCCGCGGGGTCTGACCGCACCGCGGACTTGAACTCGGGAAGAACCCGGTAACCCCGCACGAGTTCCTGTTTGCGAGCACGCAGAGCGCACCGAGAGGCCCAAGCAGCCCGTGGGCGCCGTGCGCTGACCGAGCCCGAATCCGGGCCCTGCGGCGGCTCCCGAGGAGCCCCCGGCCTGGCGCGGCCACGGGAAGGGACGGGCCGGAGCCGCGGGGTGCGCTGCGAACCCGGCCTCGGGCCGCAACGGGTCTGAGGGCTCCCCCCGCCGGCCGGGCCCGAGCCGTTCCCCGCGGGGCCGCACGGCTGCGGCGGGGACAGACACCGGAGCGGGCCGAGGCCCCCAGCGCGACTGCAGCGGGAGAGCGGGCCCCGGTGCGCGCACCCCTACCGGAACCGTGGATCCCCCCCAGCCCCGCACTCACTCCTCCGCCATCCCGCCGCCTCTGCGCGTCTGCGCATGCGCTGAGATAGCCCCGTCCCCGCCAGAGGCACCGCCCCTGAGTAGCTCCGCCCCTCGCGATAGCCACGCCCACGCCCTCCGTCGCCGCCGGTACCGGAGGGCTTGGGCACGCGGGTGTTGGGCTCACGGGCACTGGGCCCGGAGCAGCAGGACCCGGGTAGGGCTCCGGTCCTCTAGGTACGGCCCAGAGATCCCCAGCACCGGCTGCGGGGAGCGGGCCTCACCCGGCGGTTCCGAACTCGGTGCCCGCACACGTTCAGGTGTCTCCGGCCCCGTCTCCCCGCGGGCTCTGCCCGCCCCGGTCCCGGCAGCGCCCGTCCCCGCCCCGACTCTGCCGCACTCTGAGCCCTGGAGAACCGGGACCGTCCTCCCCGACGAGGCACCCCCGGTCCCGGTGGCCACTGCGCTTCTGGCTCCCGAGCGCCAGGGACAGACCCGGAGACCCGGGGGACGCGGGTGCCGCATGGCTACGGGGCAATGGCGGGGCTGGTCCCCGCGGCCGGGCCGGCCCCGAGCTTCCTGCAGCGGCGCCGGGCAGGAAGCGGCTGTTGGCGGCGGCTTTCCTGCTCCGGGGGCCCCGGCGGCCTGAGCGGGTGGTGCCGGGCCCGGCCCCGGCGAGGGTCGCGTCCTTCTCCTTCAGCCCTGCTGGACGGGGACCGGGGGCTGCGCTCCGGGGCTCCGCTTCCCGGCGGGAGGGAAGGGGGGCGGCCCCGCAGGGGTGACCTCGGGGACGAGCGGGGCCGCCCCGCGCCCGCAGCCCCGCACCGGGCCCGCATTGGAGCTTCGCTGAGTCAGACGGGGTGGGAGCGCGGTGTCCCCCCGATCTTCCCGGGTATTGGCTCGGGAGCGGGCGGGCAGCGCTGGGGCGGGCCGGGCACCGGGATAAATCCCCCGAGCACGGCCCCAGCCCGGGTGTCGGGGACCCGGTGTCGGGAGGATGCTCCTCAGGGCACGGATCCTCTGCTGCCTGCTCCTCGCCCTGCTCCAGCGCGGTAAGAGCAGCCCAGAGCTGGGGCTGTGCGGTGCGGTGAGGGGGGACTGCACAGAGGTGCCCAAGAGGTCGGGCACGGGGTCTGGCCTGGCAGTGAGTCCCCACGGGCCCCCTGGCCCATTTCTCCCTCTCATTCCAACGTGTCCTCTCCTGCCCTCCCCTTGGAGGATGCTCTGGGCAGGGTTTGCCCACAGGGTTGGTGTTTGCTCTGAAACCATTCTACCTCTGTTGCCAATGCCAAGGCAGAGCTAGGAGCCTCCTGCTCCCCTTTCCTCTCCTCAACCCAATCACCTGGGAAGAGGAAGAGGAGGTGGAGGAGGCATGTCTGAGTTGCTGGGAGCATCCCAGCTCGTGCCCCGGTGCAACCCTAGCCCCCCGTGTCTCTTTGCTGCAGGGTGTGGGAACACAGAGGATGGGGACCTCGAGGATGAAGGTAAGACCCTGATGCCATAGTCCCAGCATGGCTGTGGCCCCAGCTGCCACAGCATCCTCACAGCCATGGGCTCTGCTGCCCTCACACAGTGCCACAGGTCCTGCTGGTGCTGACAGCACTATCTCTCCTTCCAGGTTACTACGTGTACCTGGATGAGGGTGGTGAGTAGAGCTGCCCTCCTGCGATCCTGGCTGTCCTCCCCACCCGCCCACAGACCTGCTGTGATCTGTTCTGGGGCTCACAAGGGCCCAGGTCACAGGGTCCTCATGGCCGTAGGCAGCCCCAGTAGGGACCCCCAGGGCCATGAGTTGAACTCCTGTATGGCAGATGGGCCCACAATGGGCAGAGCTGGGAGTGTTCCCCACGGGTGACCCCAAACATGCCCCTCAAAACTGAGATCGAAGGGAGAGGTGATGGGGGCATCCCGGGGTCTGGCCGGTGCTCTTCAGAACTGCCGGAGGTGCTGGGGGGAGCAGCCCGCTGCCAGGACACCTACCAGGACTGGATCTCCCTCTACTGCTGGGCTCCCTTCCACGCCACCCTCATGACCACCCCTGAGGGCAGCCGTTGCCGCTGGGACCAGATCAGCAGGTGGGTCAGCGCCGGTCCTGGTGGTGCCCAATGCACATCCAGAGTGGGGCCACTGCAGCGGATGTGGCCTCACTCTGCCCCCCTTGCAGTGCCTACAGCGAGCTCTCCGGCTGCACTCAGCTGCTGGCCCAGCTCCTCTCCTGCCCCTGGCCCAGCTCCGCCCTCGACGCCTTCTACCAGCAGGTTCATGCTGAATACTTCACCAACTGCACAGGGACTGAGCCTCCCCGGCCGAGCGCGATGCCCCCCGGGCTGGCTCTTGCTGTGGCCGTGGGGCTCAGCTGCCTCGTGCCCCTTGCAGCAGCCGTTGTGCTCAGCAGAGCCCCAAAGGGGGCTCACACCCCAGCCCCTGCCTGCCCCCATGCTTCTGAGGAGGCAGCTGCTGCCCCTTTCCTTCCGAGCCCTGGGAACTGAAGGGTGGGCCTGGGGTGCAGAGGACAGGGCAGAGCAGTGATGGGGGTCTGGGCATCCCTGGTAATGGAGTGGGTCCCATGGCACTGCGGAGGGGGAAGCTGGGCCTGGGGGTCCGGATGCCTGCATCTGCCCCGAAGGAGGGGAGTCAGGAGAAGGGGATTGGGCTCCTGACCCTGCATAGGATGAGCCCTTTCCCCAGCTGGCATGGAGCAGTGGGGATGCCAGGCTAGGGGTGGGGGAGCCCTGAGCTTTGGCTGGCAGCCACTGTCCTGTCCCTGCCCATCCCCTCCGGACACCTCCGGAGCAGGGCAGCCGTCCCAGCCCCGGGGCTGTGCTGAGATCATTGGGTGTCTCCCTGGCAGAGGCTCCTGCCGCCCAGCCGGAGGCTTCACTGGCTCCAACCAAGAGCGGGACCAGGGGGCTCCAACCCTGCGGCCCCCGGAGCGCCAGGGCCCTGATGGCTTCCAGATGCAGCCGCTTGCCCATGAAAGGTCCCGCGCTGCTGCGGGGCCGTGGGGCAGGGTCAGGCTGCTCCGCCGGGGAGCGCAGAGCCCGGCAAGATCAGCTTTCTGCAGCAGGGAGGGTCCCTCCGAGCTGCGCTTCATCACGCTCCGATTCCACTCAGCGCATCCCATGGGCGGGTTGTTAAAGGGGAAGCTTTGGCCGCACGCTCTGCCCTGGGCCGGGGGTGAAATGAGCTCACTCGGCCTCAGCCTGGTCCTGGGGTGGGAATGCCGCGGGGTAGCGATGCTGCGGGGGGGTTCGGGGTTCGGGTTCAGGCAGGCGCGGCGCCAGGAGCCAAGGGCGCGGGCAGGGCGGTGCGGGAGGAAGGCGGCGTGGCCGGGGACCGGGAACCGGGAGCGTCGGCCAAGCCTCTGCCCTGTCCCCACCTCCCCGCCTGCATCGGCCCCGCACCGCGGGCAGGTCACGCCGCCACCAGACCCTCCTTGGCCGAGGCAGGGGCCCGGGGCTACCGAAGCGATGGCGGCCACGGGGCAGGTGCCCAGGGGGAGGCAGGAGCCGCGGTGTCGGGGCTGCGGGTCCCCTGAGCCCGGGCGGCAGCGCCTGTCTGGGGACACTGCGCTTCCCCATCCACTCCCCCCGCTGCCGGGCTGCCTGCCCTCCACGCAGGAGACGAGGGATTTCACAACCCAGCCCAGACAGGATTAAAGAGAAATACACAAGTAAACAAATAGCGGCCTCGTAAAACTGGACGTGCGGCGCGGGGAGCGGAGCCTCCGGGCTGCCGGGTGAGGCGCGGGCTGCCCGGGTGCCGGCGTGCGGGAGCGATGTCCGCAGGGGCCGTTGGCCCCGCACGGCGGCGGGATCCCGCCGGGAGAGCCGCTTTAAAGCAGCGCTGAGCAATCTCATTTTTCACACGTCTCCTGTAGTCAAACTGCCCCTGTCAGAGGAAAGGAGTTGCTTCCTGTTATTTCCATTGAAATACTTGTCCCGGTCGTTAGCCGCAGGCTTCTGCGGGATGGCACCGCGCACGCCGAGGGGCTCCGGCCGGTTCTCTGGAGGGGTCCTGCTGCTCTGGGGTAAGTGCGAGGGGGGCGGGAGGCTCCGGTGCCTCGCACAACCCCGGACGGGGGCCCGGGGCCAGGGTCTCGGCTCAGCCCAGCTTGGGCAGTGGGGACAGCACTGCCTGCGTGGCCAGGGACCAGTGGCAGGCGATGGGTGCTGTGGGGCAGCCCCCACCAACTCACGGCCCTGTTTTTGGCAAATGACCCACAAGAGCGGCTGGAGAGCCCCGCGACACCCCGGGCTGGGGCAGGAGCTGCGGCACCACAAGTGCTCGGGCGGAGACAGGCTGGAAGGGGCTGTCAGGGACAAAGACCAGGACGTGGCAGGCTGCCCTTGCTGCTGCCGCTGTGCCAGCCCAGAATTACCCCGTGGCTGTGATGGAGCTCCCTATGGCAGTGCCCACCAGGGCAGTTCACCACACGTTCGGCGCTGCTGCCCCATGCCGTGAGCCCTAGGCCGAGGGCAGAAGATGGACGGGATGGTTTCCTCGGGCTGTGGGGCTCTGGTGTTCAGGGGGGATGTGCCCATGGCAGGCAGTGCTGCTGTGAGGCAGCCAGCGGGTGGAGGGGCTCTCCGGCAGTGCCGTGCTGCGGCCAGAGCTTCCTTTTCCTGCCCCAGCCCTGTCCAGCTGCAACGAAGCCACCGGGGGCAATGGGGCGGCCCCTGCAGTGCGTCCCCATGGGCAGGGGGCATGGCCACCCTCACACTGTGGCCCAGGGCTCACAGCCCCCTGACACCCCTCCAAGCCCTTGGGCTGCTGCCTGCTGCCTGGCTGCCCCCCCTGGTCCCTGCCCATAGGGCTCCGGCAGCACGCTTCCCTGCAGCCCCAAGGGACACCCCAAAGCAGTGCTCTCCTGCAGACCCAGCTCTGTTGTGTCCGTCTCCTGCTGACCCTGTCCCCCCCCACTCCACAGTGCTCCTGGGGACCAGGCTGTCCCCTGTGGTTGCCGAGGTGGAGGGCTTTGGCCAGGAGGCCAGGACGAGCCCGCCCATGACCATGGCCATGTTCAACTGGACGGAGCAGCTCGTGGGTGAGTGCTGGGACTCAGCCGGGGCCGGGCAGTGGCGCAGGCTCTGCACAGCAGGATGAACCCCGTCCTTTTGCCTGCAGAGGAGATGTACACCAACCTCACGCAGAAATGCTGGGATTTATTTGTTGAAGTGATGAGGAACGTGACAGCGTCAGAGCTGTGCGAGTGGAAAGTCATCAGCAGGTACGGGGTGGCTGGAGACCCCCCCCAGGCAGTGCTGCAGGGGTATGGGGGGCTCTGGCCAGCTCTGGGGATGGCCCTGGTGGGGGAAGCTGCATATGGGGACTCTTTGGTGGGGGCATTGCCTGTGGCCCCTCCATCCCCAGGGCCACATGGTGAAAGCAGCTCCCAAGACAGTGTTTGACTGGGGCAAAGCCCTGGCCAAAGCACCCAAAGCCACCTTCTCCAGCAGCTCCTCTGTGTCCCGCAGCTACCTTGTGTCCCCATCCCTTCCCAGCACACTGTGCTCTCTCCCCAGGCCCTACAGCTTGCTGCAGGCCTGCCTGGAGGACTGGGCTGACCACTTGCACTACGGCTACCCCAACGCGCTGGCAGAGCAGTACATCTTCCAGAGCCACCACCGCTACTTCCACAACTGCACCCTGGAGCACCAGGTCTACTTCGACCCGCCCGAGGACGTGCTGCTGGCCATGATCATCGCCCCCATCTGCCTCATCCCCTTCCTCGTCACCCTTGTCATCTGGCGCAGCAAGGACGGCAAGGCCCAGCCCTAGCGCTGCCGCTCGGGCACCACGGCTCCAGCCGCCCCGTCCTGCGGAGGGCAGAGACCGGGCAGCGGCCGTGTGTGTCCCGTGCATGTGCTGCCCGCCCGGGGATGGGCGGGGGGTTTCCGCCGGGATGATGGGGGGGGTCCCGGGGCTACCGGCACACGCTGCTGGGGCAGCCCCCCTGCCCCGCTGGTCCCGGATAGGGATTAAACGCTTCTTCCCCCCTACACGTGCCGCGGGTTCTTGCACCGCTCGGGGCAGCGCTGGGCAGGGAACGCGCACGGGGCGGCACCGGGCACCGAGCACCGGGCACCGGGCAGCAGCTGCGGCTCGGCCGCCGGCGGCCACGCGGGGCGTAGCTCAGAGGGGGCGTGGCTTATAGAGGAGGCGGAGCTTAGAAAGGGCGGGGTTTCGCGGGGGCCGGGGCTCGGCGAGGCGGGCCGGAAGTGCTCCGGGCCGGGCGGAAGACGGCGGCGGTTCCGGTGGCGGCGATGAGTTTCGCGTGGCCCTGGCAGTACAGCTTCCCGCCGTTCTTCACGTGAGCGCCGGACCGGCACCGGGACCGGGGATGGAGCGGGACCGGAGAGGGACCGGGAGCGGGGAGCGGGGCCGGGAGGGGTGGAGAGGAACCGGGAGCGGGGCCGGGTGCGGGAGCGGGCCCGGGGGGGGTCCGCGGAGCCGCTGACCGCAGTCCCCGCAGGCTGCAGCCCAACGGCGAGACGCGGCAGAAGCAGCTCTCGGCCTGGTGCGCGCTGGCGCTCGCCTACAGCCAGCGGCACCGGCTGCCCGCCATGACGGTGCGGGAGGCGCAGGACAGCCCGCTCTTCGCCAACCAGCGCCTGCAGCGTATCCTTTGGGGCCCGCTGCGCCCCGCGCCCTCCCCGCAGCCCCTTTCCCGGTGAACGTGTCCTTAACCCGCGCGCAGGGAAGCTCCCGCTGGAATCCATCCAGGTGGTGCTGGAGGAGCTCCGCAAGAACGGTGGGTGCCGTCTGCCCGGTGCCGCGGGGAGGGGAGGGCGGCAGCCGCTGTGTGGGCTCTGTGCGGGCCGGTCCGAGGCCCTGCCTTGCCGGGGTGGGCAGGGAAGAGGGGCCCGAAGGGCAAATTCCTTCCCGTACACACAGAGTGCACAGAACTGGGATGGGGAGGGGCAAGAGCCTGCAGCGCCGGGGGTGTCATGGCCAGCACGGGTCACAAAACCCGTGGGTTTGAGCCTTATCGTAGGCCTGTGCCCTGGTTAAATCCCTTTTCCTTCTCGATCTTAGGAAACCTGGAATGGTTGGATAAGAACAAAACCAGTTTTCTGATCATGTGGAGGAGACCAGAAGAATGGGGGAAGCTCATCTATCAGTGGGTGAGGATGCAGGCGTGGTGTGCGGGAGGGCTGGGACCACTGGGATACTATTCCTTTGCTTCCTGGCTGCTTCTCCTGTTTCTATCTGTCCCAGTGAAGCACAGGGGCATTAACAGCTCTTTACTTGCTGTAAGGTGCAGTTGTGTTCGTATGGCACAAGCCCTTATTGTGAAATATGTGGCTGAGAGAGCAGAGGTGCAGGGAAAGGAACCTCCTCAGCTTCCTCAGCTGTTGTTTCTTGGCTCCCCAGGGTGTTTCTGCTCATTGGGTGATGTCTGTGTTCCATTTCGCTTGCACTGAGAGGTCATGCTGAGGGTATTAAATCACACAAATGACATTTGTTATGTTGCTTTTATGTTTCCAGGTGTCAAAGAACGGCTTGACCAACTCTGTATTCACACTGTATGAACTAGTCAGTGGAGACGATACAGAGAACGAAGGTAAGGTCATGTGTCTTGTTTGGAGCAGGTTTTCAGAGCATGCTGATGATGGTGAGATTTTAGTTTTATAGACTAAATGTTTTGGAATTGCTTATGCAAGTCCACCAGTTTTATTGCTCAGCACTGGCGAATGATCCTTTGAAGATGCTTTTACAGCCCTGGATGAACATCTCCCTTTGTTCTCACTGTTTGCATTTACACCTCCCCACACCCCAGCTCTTATCTGCCACAAGGTACCCAGTGCTTTGGGTTTGTGTCTAGCTCCTGCGCTGCCTTTGGGAGTGCTGACTCATTCCCTCCTCTCTGTTGACCTTCAGGCTTTGTTCCTGATGCAGCAGCATCAGGATCAGTGTGTAACTCCAGATTTGCTGGGGTCTGAGAGGTGCTCCTCGGAGCCCTCTGCTTCGCTGCCACCAGCCCCTGCTGGGCTTTGTAAGCCTCTTTGTTTCCTGATGTGATTTTCTTCTCGCTGTTGATGGGCATCTCTGTCCTTCCCTAGAGTTCCACGGCTTGGATGAGGCGATGCTGCTCCGTGCCCTGCAAGCCTTGCAGCAGGAGCACAAGGCTGAGATCATCACGCTGGATGATGGCCGAGGCGTCAAGTTCTTCTGACAGGAGTCCCCTGGCTCTGCCCTGGCTGCCGGAGCGGTTCTCTGGGAGGGTTTGCTCTCCTGGCCTGGGTGCAAGCCATGGCTGAAGCAGCTGCACACTTGGGACATCTTGGGGCAAGGAGAACCTGCGAAGCCTCCCAAAGACACGACTTAGAAGCATTCAGAGATCCTTTTGTCTTTTCTCCCTGTTGAGTTGATTGTGTTTGAGAGGCTAAAGCTGCTCTAGAGAGGGACTGCCCAGAAGTGAGATGCTGGAACTGCTCCTGCTGCTGATCCCCATCCCTGAGGGACACAGAGCGCCCTCTCCAGCCGGTCAGGCTGGGCCTCACAGGGCAGCCCCTTCCTTTCTGCTGCCCAGTGCTTGGGCTCTGCAGCCAGACAGCATTGCCAAGGTGGGAGTGAGCACGAGAAGCCGGTTGTCGCTGCGCCATGGAAGCCCTCGACAGCAGGATGATCCGTGCTTGCCGCAGAGCAGGCTGTGCAGCGGGGTGGGATGGCTGCCAAGGAACTAATTTGGAGTAATTAAAAGGAGTTGTATTTATAGAGCAGCCTGGATGCTTTAGTCTATCTTTATTTTAACATCAGGAACCAAACCGAGCAGCGTACCAGGTTCTTGCCCTTCAGCCACGTTTCCTTGCTGCACCAGTGGAGCGCGGCAGCGTGCTGGGAACACTGCACAGCATTCCCAAGTGGGAAGCGGACAGCACAAGTGCTTTTCTCCACACACCGGAGCCATGGGCTGTGTGGGGGCCCTTGCTGCTTGTCTTGAGGGCGACATTTACTTTCTGCAGACTGCTGATAGCTGAGGGGATTGCTGCAGAGGTGTGTGGTAAAGCCTCTGCAACAGCGGCTGGTGCAGGATATGACTAAGGTCTTAGATTCCCGGTGCTGATAACGAAGGGCCCAGCTTGTAAGGAACCACCACCCAGTCCATGACCAGTAAATCCTGAACCTGCTGATGGGGGAAGCTGTGCCAGGATCACACTTGCCTTCCCCGTCCTTCACCCGAGGGCTGGGTGCTGGCTGCAGGCAGAGGTGGGGTTCTGTGCTGCAGTGACCTTTGGTCATTCCCAGTGTGGTCGCTCTCAGGATCCAGCTCCCCAGCGTGCTGCTTCCATCTGTCCCAGCCGGTGCTGAGCAGCCTGTCCTGCCCTTGCAGGGTGACTTGGCACTGGTTCAGCTGCAGTCCCCATTGACAGTGGGTGATGTTCAGTGCAGATGAGATGCTGGAGTCAGGCTCAGTCTGTGGGGTGGTGACATGTGAAAATGTCCTGTATGGAGCTGAGCTGAGTGGATGTCCTGGTTTCATGTGGGCATGGCCACAGCTGTGGCTGGTGCCCAGGGTTCCTCTCTGTGCTGGTGAATTCCTGTGTGACAGCACTTGTCCACTGGAGAAAGGCACCGGCAGGGCTTGTCACGAGCCACTGACACACTGGGCTAATGTGGAGTCTGATCCTTTCTGGAGACCCTTGGTGCTGAGGTGAGCCAACAGGATGGCACAGGGAAGGCTGTGCTGTGCCAAGAGCCCTGTAGTGTGTCCCCACAGTGGGCATGGGGCTCCTGCCTCTGCAGCCAGGGAAGTCTCTGTAGGAACCATCAGCTACAAGTGGCTGCCCTGGGCTTACTTCGATGCCTCTTCCTCTCCGTGCCACCCACACTGAGCCCTTCCCTCTCTGGTTGCTGCAGCTTCCCTGTATCCCTGCAGCGATCCCTGTTCCTGTGCTGGCTGCTCTAGGTTTGCTCCGGATGAGGAGCCCTTAGCAGCCAGGCTGGGGGTGTTTGTGTTCCTTGCTCTCTGTATGCGTGATGCCCATGCCTCAGCATTGTGTTGGGTGTGCTGTGTGTAACCTGGCTGTCCTTGAGTCAGTCTGTGTTCTTAATTAAATTTGCTCCCTTCCTAGGAAATGGCTGATGTGACATTAGATAAGCCTAAACCAGCCTTTTTCTTTCCAATGCACTCCTGGCAGTGATTCACTTCTCTCAGCTCCTTACTTAGTGGGAGGAGGAGGAGGAGGAGGAGGAAGAGGAAGAGGAAGAGCAAGTCCCCCCCTTCAGAACAGACACTGGGTAATCTCCCTTTTCCCACACCCTCTTGGCTGGTTCCAAAGGGTCGCATCTGGCTGCACCCATGGGGTCCGGTGGGACCAGCTCCCAGCAGCAGCTGTTCCCCCTGCAGGGAACGGTGCAGTCTGTAGCTGGGGGTGAGCTCAGCTCCTGCAGCAGGTAAAACAAGAGCCCTTTGAACCCGGCTTCCTTATCTTTATTCAGCACTTCATAATGGTTGGTGGTGTAATCACAGCACCGGGACAGCAGAGCCAGCCCAGAGATGCTGTGAGGCTGCTCTGGCGTCAAGCCCTCGGGTGCTGGGTAGAGATGGAAGAGTCATGATTAGACTGCTCGGAGGGAGTGTGGCAGCCTCCAACCACGACATTCCCATGACTGGGAGCAGGTTCACCTCTTCCTGGTGCTCCAGACACAGCGTGAGAGAAGGGAGCTCCTGGAGCAAAGTGAAGGAGGAGCAGAGTACGGAGCTGGATATGGCTGGAACCCACCCAGGTGGCTCCGTGCTTGCCACTTCTTTGCTTCCACAGTGCTCCCAAGGCCCGGGCTCTGCCCACCCCATCCCTCCTGGTCCCTTTGCATGGGAGGTCGGTGTTGGAGGGTTTAAAACCCAGCCCTAAATCTCTGCCCCCCCCCGCGTGCCCCATTACAGGCACAGTTCAGGCTCTGTCCCCACCAAGGGCCTCACTGGAGAAGGTGCCTTTTCCATGGGGGGCTGGCGCAGTCCCTGGCCTGTGGCCACTCTGAGGCCGTTGCCACATCTGGCCGCAGTGATTAGGACTCGCTGCCCAGGGCGAGGCAGAGCGCAGGGGGCTGCTGCCAGATAAGGTGCTATCAGGTCACCCACACTCGGATCCCACTGTCACGGGGGGGGGAAGTGCCAAGAGGGGTTTATTTAACATGGTTTTGGAGCAGGAGTTGTTCCAGTTTGATAGATGTGTATGTGAGGATGGACGTGCAGGCGGGTTCCAGCTGTAAGGAAATCCTCTGGAGTTACCGAGTTATCTGCCTGGGGTTAAAGCTGAGGTTTGGGTGACATCTCCTCCCCGAACCCATGTGTCAGGGCAAGGAGGAGGCTGCGAGCTCCAGGCCATGGGGTGCTGAAGCCAACCCTGACACAAGCCATGGGGCTCTGCAGAGCTCTCATCCATTCTGACCCTTCCCAAGGTGGGCACCCTGTGCCTCACAGCCTGAGCTGTGCATCCCCCATCTGCGTCCGACCCCTCCTGCACCCCCTGTGACCTCACCCCAAGCTCTGCAATCAGAATGGACAATTCCTGGCAGGGCTTGCTGGAGCAAGGAGCTGAGTAGGGCTTTGATTCACGATCTAATCCTGAGGAGGGCGATTACACAGTGCCCTGTTCTCCTGGCAGCCAAATGCAAGCGAGAAATGGGCTGCGTTGCCTGATTGCAGCGGTTCCTCAAAGCAGAGGCCAGTGCTGGCACCCGCAGCCCAGAAATGTCACCCTGATAAGAGGGGAGCTGTGGGCACCATCACAGCGCTGCAATGGGCACCTGACTGCCCAGCGGGAACCGTTTGATTTCAGGCCAGGCTGGCTCCAGCTTGGAGGGGTGGGAGGGCAGCAGTCGGAGCAAACGGCTCCTGAATTTCCTTTCCTGCCTTCAGTGGCCTCATTGGGACCGGGACCCTCCTCTGGGATCTTCTGTGGCGTCTTGTTTTGCTCGATACGGGGACAGGAGCCTATCGGAGCCCAAGCCTACAACCCCTGCCTGGCTCTGTGTCTCTTGCTGCGGATCTGGGGCTCCCTGCAAGCCTGGGACCCCTCGAGTGGCAGCGGCCACAGGGGCTTGGGCAGCGTTTGGGCTGGCCATGACCGGGAGGCATGTGCTGCTCAGAGCTGTGCGGGTTGGTCCTCCCTGCTTCTCAGACACGGGAGTCTGTGGGGCTGCAACCGCGCTGTGTATCCAGCAGCCCTGGATCATCGAATCCCAGACTGGTTTGGGTGGGAAGGGACCTTAAAGCTCATCCAGTTCCAACCCCCTGCCATGGGAAGGGACACTTTCCACTGGAGCAGCTTGCTCCAAGACCCATCCAGCCTGGCTTTGGATCGCGCTGCATCACCCTGCATGCACCAGGTCAGCGTTTGGGGGGGACCCGGCGGTGCTCTGTGTCCATCCCTTCCTTCGCGTTTCCAGTATCGCTGAGTAGAAACAATCTGACCTTAGGGAAAAGAAATTAGCGCCAGGCTCAATTGCTTTGTGTTTTGTGTAAACAGCCTCACCGGGTAGAACAACCTCCTCCTTTCACCTGGAGAGACAACAAGCTCTTGTCCCAGCTTTTGGCTCGCACAACGCTGACACACACGTTCGGATCTTCCTCTTTGCACGACCCTGATGTCAGGGTGGGGAGCGGCGGGGAGCAGGACGGGGCTGCTCCTGGACACGCTGCTCCGGAACCCCGAGGAAATGTCTAAACCAGGCGCTTCCCTGCGCTCCCCCCCCCCTCCCCGGGGCTTCGGTTCAGCGGCCCCAGAGCCCCCCGGGGCGGTGACGGGAGGGGGGCTCCGAGCCCCCGGTGCCAACGCCACGGCAGCGCGGCCCCGGAGCCCCGGGAGGAGCCGGGCAGCGGCCCCCGGCCGAGGGAGCACCGGGACAGGGGATGCCCCGGTCCCCGCGGGCCGGGCTGCTCGGAGCCCGTTCCTCGCCGCTGCCCGTGCCCGCCGGTGCCCGGTGGCGGGGCCGGTGGCGCAGCGCAGGCGGGAGGCGGTGGCCGCGTGGGGGCGGGCCCGGGCGGGGCGGGGGAGGTGCCGCCGGGCTGGGCCGGGGCCGGTGCCCGGGCCGGTGCTCGTCGGTCGCTGGTGGCTGCGGGGCCGCGGCGGCGCCGGGTGCGGAGCTGCGCGGGAGCGGTGGCCCCGGGCCGGGCTGAGCCGATGCTTGCGGCAGAAGCCGCCGGAGCCATGTCCCAGCCCGAGGCAGAGCGGGCGGGAGGCGACTCCGCGCCGGAGCCAGAGCCGGAGCCGGGGCTCCCCGGGAGGGCCCCGCACCGCAACCGGCGGCTCTCGGGACGCGAGTCCCGCCGCGCCTCCTTCCGCTTCAACCGGCGGAGCTCGGCCGAGCTGGAGCTGCTGGGGTACCCGGCACCGGGCGAGGGGCGCGGGGGGTCTCCGCCGCCGCCGCTGCTGCCACCGCCGGTCGCTGCCGGGCGCCGGGAGCCGGAGGAGACGGAGAGCGAGGAGGTGGAGACGCGCGCGGTCGCCACCTCCCCCGACGGCCGGTTCCTCAAGTTTGACATCGAGATCGGCCGCGGCTCCTTCAAGACCGTCTACAAGGGGCTGGACACGGAGACCACGGTGGAGGTGGCCTGGTGCGAGCTGCAGGTACGGCCGCTCTGCCCGCGCCCTGCCCCGTCAAGTTCCCCATCATGGGCAGTCCCCCCCGCCCCCGGCCCCGAGCCCCTCTGCCCGCCGCTGCCGGGAGGGATCTTTCCGGGAGGGACCCGAGGTCCCCCCGTTGGTGCCCGGCACCTCGGTGCAGCCGGGCTGCAGCGGCAGAGAGGGGCAAGGCGCTGCACTGGGCTCAGTCTCCCCTCCCGTTCCCTCACCCTTCCCTGGAGCCGCAGGGGCTCTGGCCCTGGCCTAGGCTCCCCAGGTAACGCGCTGCTCCCGGCCACCCTGCCCATCACACGCTGTTTGCCGTCTGCCTGCCCGCTGCCTGTGCTATGGAGCGCACCGGAGGTCCTGCACTCCTGGTGCTGGTCCCAGCTCTGGGGGTTTACAGGTGGATCCAGGACCTGCTGCAGGGACTGAGCACCTTTCCCCTGCCCACCAGCCTGCAGCTTTCCCTTTGGAAGGGCAGCAAGGGCAGGAGCCCTCTCTGGTGCTGTGCCTGTGCCAGTGCTGGAGCTTTGCTCCGATAGCCCTCGGTGTGTGCAGGGGCACGTGCTGCAGCGAGCCCGCGCCTGGGCGTCCCTCGGGAGCGACCTTGCTGTGCTCTGGCTGCTTGACCTTGGCTGAAGTGGTGTCTGTGGGCACCCGTGTATGGTTTCTGTGGTGCTGCCAGGGGCTCTCTGTGGCCAGCACCAGGACCGGTGGTTTTCCAGGTCTCTGAGCGTGCTCCCAGCTCCTCCTGCTGCCCTGCTCCTCCATCCCGTTCGCTGCCCTGCAGCAGGGTGCTGAGAGCAGGGCGCTGGTGGCAGCGGTGAAGGTGTTGCCTCCGCAATGCCTGCTCCCACTTGTTGCTTTTGATGGGCCTGATCTTGTCCATGGAGCTGTGCAGGGAGAGCCAGGCCATGGGGCTCCCCTTTCCCCATGGAGCCCTTGGGGAGGGGCTTTGGTGAAGTCCAAAGTCTCCAACAGGCTCCTGATGGTGGGGTGGCTCCTGGGAGGTCCCAGTCCTTGTCAACACACACAAACGTGTCTTGCGAGTTTGCTGCCTTGTTACGAGAGCCCTGGTGCAGCTGCAGGCGGGTGCCGGGCTGGGCCCAGCACTGCAAGATCCTGCGATAGCAGTGGGTGATGCTGGGGGGGCTCCCTGTGGAAGGTGAGGTCTTGGGCCTACGCCTGCCTCCGGGTTGCACAATTGCTTCAGCCGGCTCCGTTCTCCCTCCCCTTGTGCAGCTCTGCCCAAACGCTCCTGAGCTCCATTTGAGTCCTCTGGCAGGGAAGGGCTCTCCTTGGTGAGCCAAGAACCTTCCTGGGATGAGCGAGCTGTGCCCAGTGCTTCCCACCAGCTGGCTCTATGGGTCTTAGCCCCTCACCCAGACGTGCCTCAGCTCCCTGCCCTCCTGCTGCTCATTCCTGTGGCTGGGCTGTGGGACCCCTGTCCCCATAGCCCTGAGTCAGAGCAGCTCCTGTGTGTCCACTGGGTCTGGATGCAGCCCTGGTGCTTGTTGTGCAGCCCAGAGCAGTGACAATGGGGCCAAAGGGCTGGTCATGGAGCAGGCAGGGGCAGCTCTGGTGTCTTGTGAGAGGTTGAGCTGCACCATCCCTGGTGGAGGGAATGGAGTTGGGAAGCAGAACCAGCTGCTGTGCCCGAGCCCAGTGGGCACGTACTGGTGCCACTGCCGGCCCTGAGCCTGCCGGGCTGCAGAGAGGCAGAGCTCTGGATGGGGATGATCCCATGAGCATCCCTCAGTGCCAGGCAGACCCAGCTCCTTGGGCCACCACCATCACCTCCCAGGGGAGCTGCAGCTGGGCTGTACACATGAGCCCCTCAAGGTGCAGCCCCGGTGCTTGCCCCAGCCCTTTCCCTTCTCCATCCCACTGAGTGCTCTTCATCCAGTGTCTGTTGTCCCCAGATCCACGTCCCACAAGGGTCTGAGAGCACAGAAAAGGACTTTCAGCAGTTGTTGTTTTTTCAGCAATCATGCAAAGAATCAGACCCTGTGACACAAATACGGGATTTGGAACCGCAAATAAAACTGGTTGTGGTTCTGCCCTTTTAAAAATAGCTTTGTCCTGGGTCTTTCACAGTTCTCCTTTTATTGCCTTTCAATTCTAAATGAATACCTGACCTCAGCCCTGACCTGTTCCGGTCCAGAGAGCCTTGTCCGGCTGCTCTGATGCCTCCCGATCCCAAACCCCAGCTCTCTGTTCCATCCTTGCCCTGCCCTTCCCTCTTGGGTACCTGGTGACCTGGAGGATGTTTCTGTCCCCTGCCTTCCTCTGGGGACCTGCCCGTCCCTGTCCCCTGTGCCGCTGTCCCCAGGCCTGAAGGCAGCATCTGTCTTTGCCTCCTGCCTGCGGGCCGCAGCCCCGCAGTGACCTGTTTGTGCTTTCCAGCTTTAGCCTGGGGGCTATTTCTGTGGATAGGTGCTGCGGGCAGCAGGAAGGAGGAAGCAGGGAGGAAACTGGAGGCCCGGAGCAGGATCGAGCTGTAAATACCTGCCTGTGAGTGGTTTTCCTGTGGGTCCCCTTGGGCTCCCTGGGTGCTGCTGTGCTCCCCCAGTTCCTGGACCCCAGGGGCTGTGGGCACCTTCCCAAAGCCCTGCACCTCCTCAAACCATGTCCATCGCTCACCAGCCTGTCCTGCCTGTGCTGTGCTTGGGAATCGTGCGACTGAGCCTGGCCAGGCCCTGGAACAGTGCCTGGGAGCTCTGCCCCTCCACGGGGTGAACTGAGCAGGGTGACGGGATTTGCTCGACGGGGTCCTGCGGGTTTGGGAACATGAGTGTGTGCTCACGAGCTCAGCATGCGGCGGTGGCAGTGGTGATGCACAGGCACCCGCTGGGGTGCTGTGGCCGCAGAGAGGGCTTTGGGCTGTCTCCAGTGCTCTGTGCCCCTCCGCAGCATCACTGCGGACGTTCCTCCGGAGCCCAAATCCCCCCTCACAGCCCGAGGGGTCCCCACGGAGCCGGGGCACTGCGGGGGGTGCAGACCCCGAGGCCAGCGCTGGAGCTTCCCCGCTCGGGGCAGAGCCTCCTGCCGCAGAGCCGGGAGCCGTCCCTGGCCGTGCCCGGCGCTCCCTCCTCCCGCTGTTGGCCGTGACGGGCTCCCCAGCAGCCAGCTCCTGGCGCAGGGGATGGGGCTGGACCGCAGCCACCCGGCTCCTCACCCGTCCCCAGCGTCCTCCCCTGCCCTGCCCTGCCCGAGCGGCTGCTGCGGGAGGACGCGGTGTCCCCGTGCGGGGCTGGCAGCGCTGCCCCCTCCTCCCGGGGCTGCGCAGCTCCTTCACCCTAACGCTAGCGCTCGGTGGGCGCTGGGCAGGATGCCGGGGAACGGGACCCGCTGCAGCTTTTGTTGTGCGGGAGGAACGGAGCCGGGTGAGCCCTGGCACAGGCTTGGGGACAAGCGCAGCTCCCCCAGGTTTGTCTCCAAGCAGCCGGGCTGCTGGTGGCCCCGCGGGGACCCCTCTTGCCAAGCTGGGAGAGCCGTGGCTGAGGGGGCTCCCTCCCTGCCGCTGTTTGTAGCCCCTCTGGGTTCACCGCGCAGGCTTGTGGGGCGCAGCGAACCCCCAGGCTCCTCGGTGGCGATGGGGCCGGGGTGTGAAGGCAACCACGGCGCTGGGCAGGGCCGCCCCTGTGCCCTGGGCCATGCACAGGCTTCGGTTGCTGTTTTCCTCCTCGGGTATGAAAGGTCCCATTCATGCGCTGCAGCAGGGCTCAGGTTCTCATCTGGGCTGAGCCGGGTCCCTGAGCGTGCGTTAAAAGCAGAGGGGATTATGGAGCGGCTCCAGCCCGGGCGCGGGGCCGCTGTGATGCAATGAAGAGGTTGGGAAAGCGGCTTGTGCTGATGGAGGCGGCCACCGGCCAAGGAGCCGAGCTCGGCTCTGGCAGCGCTGGTGGTGGCAGCGCCGTGGCTGCCAGCAGCAGCTTGGGGGGTTCCCTTGGCCCCGCAGCCCCACAGGGTTGGAGGGGGGTCCTGGCTGGGGGGCTCCTGGCTGGGGGGCTCCTGCTCGGCAGTGGCTGGGCCCTTTGGGGTCCCTGGTTGTGGTGTTTGTTGCTGCCCCCAGTCCCGGTCCCTCGCATCCCCCTGCCTTGCCTGAGGCTCAGTGGTTGCAGCTCTCTGGGCTTGGGACAGGACCTGGCTCCTGGTGCCTCCCCCGTTATGGGGCCGTGTCCCTCGGGAAGAGGGGTCCATGTCCTCCCCGCTGGCCCCAGCCCCAGCTCTGCTCAGTGCCCTCGGCTTCGGTTTCCACTTTAATTAACTCGAGCAGGAGGAACATGGAAAAACCTGAGCTGGAGCCTCCCCCTCCTGCTCTCCCCAACAAAGGCCTCATTGAGGCTGGCCCAGCACCCGGCCACGCCGGTGCCCGGCGCTGGGAGCTGGTGATGCCCCGGTGAGGGGCTGTGCTGGGGAGCAGCCATTGCAGAGCCCCTGCACATCCCCTCGGCTGGGTGGCTGCAGCGGGGGATCCCCATCCCTTGGTGCGGGATAAGAACAATGGGGATGGGGGCAGGCGGCCCCCACACAGGGCACCTTCCACAGCATCTGTCATGGGAGGCCTTGGCCACCCTTCCCCAGCCTGGGGGGAGCAGCTCCATCCAGAGCAAGGCTGGGGTATGGAGGCTGGCTCGATGGAGAGAGACCATGGCCAAGGATGGCTCCAGCCCCCCATGGGCCCCTGTGCTGGGGGACAGCAGGTCCGATCCCAGCTCTGCACTGGGGCCACAGCAGCCCCTGGTACCTCACATGTAGGGATGAGGGCATCTGGGTCTCTTATAAGCCAGGACATCCCCCTGTGCTCGCCAGGGACCCCAATGCCCCCATCGTGTCTCCCCATTTGCTCCCACCACCTCTCCCCGTTGCTCCCACAGACGCGGAAGCTGTCAAAGACAGAACGGCAGCGGTTCAGCGAGGAGGTGGAGATGCTGAAGGGGCTGCAGCATCCCAACATTGTCCGCTTCTATGACTCCTGGAAGTCGTCCATCAAAGGCCAGCTCTGCATCGTGCTCATCACAGAGCTCATGACATCCGGCACCCTCAAAACGTGAGCAGGGGCCCAGTGCCAGGCTGGGGAGTGAGGGGAGGGAATGGGGTCCCTGCAGTGATGGGAGACATGGGTGCTGAGGTGGGACAGCAGGCTCTGGAGGGCTCAGGTGGGATCTGCACACCCAGGAGCTTCCCTGGCACCACCTGCATGGGGATGGGGTGGCCCCGGCACCCTGGCTGGTTCCTGGCACTGATGCTCAGAGCTTGGCTCCTCCTGGGCTGTGTCTGCAGAGCCCAGCCAAGATGCTCTTTGCTGCTGGCCCTGCCTGGGCTGCTGTGCCCTGATGGGCTCAGCATGGCAGTGGGAGGAGGGTGGGCAGGGGCTGACCCCCTTGTGTCCCCCAACAGGTACCTGAAGCGGTTCAAGGAGATGAAGCTGAAGGTGCTGCAGCGCTGGAGCCGGCAGATCCTCAAGGGGCTGCACTTCCTGCACACCCGCTCGCCCCCCATCATCCACCGTGACCTCAAGTGCGACAACATCTTCATCACGGGTCCCACCGGCTCCGTCAAGATCGGGGACCTGGGGCTGGCCACGCTGAAGCGAGCCTCCTTCGCCAAGAGCGTCATAGGTGGGGTGCTGGTGGCACTGGGCTGGCGGCTGCCACAATGGGGCGGTGATGGGGGTCACTGAGCCCCGCTCCTGCCCCCAGGTACCCCCGAGTTCATGGCGCCGGAGATGTATGAGGAGAAGTACGACGAGGCGGTGGATGTCTATGCCTTTGGGATGTGCATGCTGGAGATGGCTACCTCGGAGTACCCCTACTCCGAGTGCCAGAACGCCGCCCAGATCTACCGCAAGGTCACCTCGGTGAGCGGCCCCGAGCTGGGGTGATGCTGGTGCTGGTGCTGAGCAGGGTGAGGGAGTAGGGGGGAGCTGGTCAGATGGAGCTGGTTGGCTTTGCTGCTCCCCGAAATGTGTCACTAAAACCAGTCTGGGTGGTGAGACAGGGCCGGGGGGTCGGTGGCTTGGCCAGGCCCCACGTCCCTCCCCCTGCACCAGGCACTGCCAGCACGTTAATGGGGTGGAACGAGAGCAGGTTTGCTCAGCCACCCCTCGCCTGGGGCATCGCCGCTGCCCTGCACGGTGCTGGCTGGCTCCTGCTCACTGGGGTGGAAACCCGGCCCCCCGGGGCATGCAGGCTGGTGGGACCATGGGCTGGGAGCCATGTCCACACATGTCCCTGCTGCCGTTGGGGCTGTGCCTGGTGGCACCATGGCCCTGCAGAGCCTGGGTTCAGCCGTGGAAACCCAGCACCGTGGCAGGGTCCAGCACAGGAGATGCTGATGCACATCACCCCCAGGGCCTGAAGCCCAGCAGCTTCTACAAGGTGAAGGTGCCGGAGCTGAAGGAGATCATCGAGGGCTGCATCCGCATGGATAAGGACGAGAGGTAGGAGGGGACCAGGGGCCTGGGTGGAAGAGCCCCCCCAGCTTCCAGCCCCACGCTGAGCTGTGCTCCCCACAGGTACACCATCCAGGACCTGCTGGAGCACTCCTTCTTCCAGGAGGACACGGGGGTGCACGTGGAGCTGGCGGAGGAGGACGATGGCGTCAAGTCTGGGCTCAAGCTCTGGCTGCGCATGGATGACACGAAGAAGCTGCACGGCAAGTACAAGGACAACAACGCCATCGAGTTCCTCTTCGAGCTCTACAAGGATGTGGCGGAGGAGGTGGCCCAGGAGATGGTGGGTTCAAGGATGGAGGAGCCCTGCTCGCTGCAGGGTCCCTGCACCCCAGCCTGACACAGCCCTCCCATACAGGTGGTCCTGGGCTTCATCTGCGAGGCCGACTACAAGCTGGTGGCCAAGGCGGTGCGGGACCGTGTGGTCGCCATCAAGCGCAAGCGGGAGAAGCTGAAGCGCTCCCGGGAGATGCCGTCGCCAGCGGAGCCGGAGCAGCCACCGGGGGTGCTGCGGATGCTGGAGGAGCTCAAGTCCCCGCTGCCGCCCGGAGCCCCGGTGCCCGCCCTGCTCACACCCGGCTCCGGGGAGTCCATCTTCAGCAGCACCTTCCCCCCCGAGCCCGAGGAGCCCGAGGCTGACCAGCACCAGCACTTCACCTACCAGCACACCAGCTACTCCTCGGCCACGTGTGAGGGGGGCAGCGGCGTGGGCTGGGCTGGGGGGACCACAGGGGTGGGAAGCGGTTGGGGGGGGGGGGGGTCCCTCTCCACCTCCAGCTGTGCCGTGACCGAGCCCCGCAGCCCACGCGGGGCCGTGCTCACGCGATGCTCCCGCAGCCGATGGTGAGACCGACGGGTACCTGAGCTCCTCCGGCTTCCTGGACTCCCCGGACCCGGCGCATCGCAGCTGCCCGGCGGGGGACCCCTCGAGCCCGCCGCCCGCCCGCCCTGCGCGCTGCTTCCCCACGGTGAGCGGGGCCCCGCGGCGCTGGGGCCGGGGCGGGCGCGGCCCCGGCTGACGCCGTCCTCTCCCCGCAGAGCATCGCGGTGCAGCTGCCCCCGGCCAGCGGCTTCTCCTCCCCGGTGGACAGGTGAGGGCGCGGGGCCGGCGGCGCGGGGCGGGCGGCTGCGAACGGCGGCGCTGACGCTCCCCGTCGGGGCTCCCTGCAGCTACGCCTCCGATGTGGCGTCGGGCATGAGCGACGGCTGCGAGGGGCTGTCGGCCGGCGAGCAGAGCTCCAAGGGGCCGGCCAAGAGGGCTGCGGGGAAGCTGCTGCGGCGCAGAGCCCGCTCCAGGCTCCGCATCACCAACGTGAGTGCCGCGGGCAGCGGGCGGGGGGGCAGGAGGCTGAGCCCGGGCTGAGCCGGCCGCGCTGCCCCACAGATCTCGGACAAGAACGACCGGGTGGTGGAGTGCCAGCTGCAGACCTACAACAACAAGATGGTGACCTTCAAGTTCGACCTGGACGGGGACAACCCAGAGGAGATTGCGGCTGTCATGGTGACTGCGGGGCAGGGGGAGGGCTGGAGTGCACCCGGCCGGGCTGGGCGCTGACCACCCCTCTACCCGCAGGTCCACAACGAGTTCATCCTCAAGTCGGAGCGGGACGGCTTCATCCACCGCATCCGGGACATCATCCACCGTGTGCAGACCCTGCTCCGCAAGGATGGGAGCGGTGCTGTGGAGCTGCCCCGGAGCCCTGAGACTGAGGGCAGCCCCGTGAGTGCCCAGGGCAGGCACCGACACTGAGCACGGCTGTGGGTGCTGCTGGCCCCAGGGAGCCCAGTGGGAGAGGGCCAGGGTGCAGAGCCCTCTAACCATGGGTGGGAGCTGCCCCATGCCTGTGGCTCCAGGTCACTTGCCTGCTCCTGCAATGGGTTGTGGTGTACCCTGCCCAGTGCTGGGGCTGGGGAGGGAGCTTGGATCAGCCTGTGTGGGGCCTCTGCCCCAGCGCTGTCTCACTGCATCCCCTTCGCAGACGGACCTGCCGCTGCAGGAGCTGGCGCGCTCCATCTCCTCATCCTCTCTCAGTGGTAGGTCTCTGCCTTGTGCAGGCCCTTCTCATCCTTCCCCACGTCCCATGCAGGGCGAGTAATGGCCCTGGCCAAGCCCATGGGGCACATTCTGCCCTGGCTGAGTGCCGGCTGTCACCCCTGTGCCACAGACCTGGGCTGCACCAGCCCCAGCCTCTCAGTGCAGTCCCCGGTCCTGCCGTTGCTGAGCAGCTCCCCATTGGAGAACAACCTCGGCAGCCCGGTGGAGGCACCAGCAGCCGGTGAGCTGCAGCCAGCGCTGCTGGGCTCCCCTGCAGGTACCAGCCTGGCGCATCCATCCCGGTGCCTGGGCCCATGCCATTGACAGCCCGAGGCTTCAAGGTGCCAGGGCAGGGACAGGAGGGGGCCTGTGAGGGATGGGGTGCTCCTGATGCTCTTCTCTCTGCAGGCTCCGTGCAGACCTGGCCCCTTGTCTCGGTGGCTCCCTCCTGGCTGACAGCACCACCGGTGCTCCCACAGAGCCCCCCAAGCACCCCAGGCGGGCCCGTCCCCCCGGCCCTGCCCCAGCCCTTCCTGTCCCCACTGCTGCTCCCCACGTCCCCTGTGCCCAGCGAGCCCAGCAGCCCCCTGAGCCCCCCCGTGACCAGCACATCCTGGTCCCCCACCACCCCCTTCCTTTCCCTGGCCAATGTCTTCTCTCTGGCAGTGATGAGCGTGGCGCACACACTGCTGCCCGGCGTCTCCTCCATCGCCAGCTCCGGTGCACACGTGTACCCCCCGCTGCTGCCGCGGCCACAGAGCCTGGTGCTGGGGCCCCCCCGCTTTGTCTACCCCGACCCCACCAGCATGGCCAAGCCAGCACCAGCCTCCAGCGGGACCCTGCTGTCAGCAGGGGCTGATGTGCCCCCTGTCAGAGGGCCTGTGCCGTTCCCTCCCCCAGCACCAGCCCCACTGTGCCCCACAGGCAGCGGTGTTGGGGGGAGTCCCCTGCCATCGCTGAGCACATCCACACCAGGGAGCCTGGAGGGCAGCGCGGTGAGTGCTGGGGTGGCAACGGCTCCTCAGGTGGGGCTGTTCCGGAGGGGCTGGGCTCACTGCAGATCCTGCCCTGGATGGGGTGGGGAGCCCCTGGGATGCAGGGAGGGCTGAGCAGGCAGTGGGTCTCAGGGCATGGGAACAGCAGTGGGGTCAGGAGATGCAGGGGGACCCGGGTGGGGTGGTTGACAGTGTCTGAGTGCCTGCAGGTGCTGCCTGGCTCCCCCAAGCCCAGCCACTCACTCATCATCTCGGAGTCACCAGGCCCTGGTGTGCCCAAGGCCCAGCTCTCGCCCATCAATGAAGGTGAGACGGGGAAGGGCCGAGGCTGTGCCAGGGCACTGCGAGACCTCTGAACCCCACCAACTGCCCCCTGTCCCCAGCAGAGGCCAAGCCCCAGATCCTGGGCCGCTTCCGGGTGACACCAACCAAGGACCTGGCAGCGACGGCTCCGGTGCTGGGCAGCAGTGAGGGTGAGCAGCACGGCTCAGAGCCAGCAGCCAGCGGCTCCCCCTTGCCCGCAGCCCCGGACACAAGGGGCAGCTCAAGCAGCGACTCGGACTCAGTGCTGGAGATGGTGGAGCAGGAGCCTGAGGCTGAGGAGGTGCTGGCTGAGGAGGGCAGGGCGGCGGCAGCAGAGAGTGACCGGGAGGGTCCTGGGGAGGACGGTGGCGAGAGCGCCCCGCAGGCGGTGATAAACCAGGTGTGGATGAGCTACTCCCGCAGCCTGTCCTACCTGAGCAGCGACGACACCGAGAGCGAGGATGAGGAGATCTGGGAGGAGCTGCAGAACCTGCGCCAGAAGTGAGCAGAGCAGGGGGGGGGCTGCACCTGGGGGGCAGCACAGGGGCTGCTTGAGCTTGGTTGGGTTCAGCACAGGGCTCGGCTGCCAGCTCCTGCCTCCTCCGCAGGCACCTGGCCGAGGTGCAGCTGCTGCAGAGCGCGCAGAAGAAGGAGATCGAGGAGCTGTACCTGCGCATGGGGAAGCAGCCGCCGCTGGGCATCGTGTCCCCCGCTGCCATGCTCTCCAGCCGCCAGCGCCGCCTCTCCAAGGGCAGCTTCAACCCGTCCCGCCGCAACAGCCTGCAGCGCCTGGAGCTGGCGCAGCCCCAAGGTGCCCCCCCCCCCTCTGCTCCACCCCCGGGAGCCGCGGCACCGCTGGGTGCCCGCGCTCAGGGCCGCCGTGTCCCCGCAGGCATCATGCGCCGTAACTCGCTGAGCGGCGGCAGCAGCACGGGCTCGCAGGAGCAGCGCCTCAGCAAAGGGGTGACCTTCGCCGATGACTTCAGCCGCGTGGTGGTAAGAGCTCGGCGCCGGTGCTGCCCCCGGCGGCCCCCCCGTGCTCCCGCTGCTCACGGCTGCTTCTCTCCCCAGTAGCCGCCTGGCCAGGAGTGACCTTGTGAACTACCTCAACCAAGTGCCTGCTGCCCCCGGGGTGGGGGAGAGCCCCCTCAGCGCCTCCCTGGGGGCAGCGCCAAGCCCTGGCAGCAGCCAGCGCCGTGGAGCCGAGCCAGCCGGGTGCCCGCAGCCCCTCACCTCCAGCCCTCTGTATCTGCCCTCCCATCTCCTCCTTCCTTGTGCCCCCTGGACCCCTCCCTGCCGTTCCCCGTCTGTTTCTCCAGCCCAACCCCAGCTGCAGGACACGTGCAAAGCGCTGCCATCCCTCATGGACCCCCGCAGGCAGAACCAACCCCCCCGCAGTGATCTCAATCCATCCCAGCCTTGCTCCAGGGATGATCCAGCCCTGCTCTGCGTGGGATGATGCGTGGGGCTGGACCCATGGCCCCGGGGCTGCCCTGCTTGCTGCCGCCCTCAGCTCATCCTGCACAGCAGAGCCGGAAAGAGCTTCCCTGGGCTCTGTAACGTGACCAGGACCAGCAGCGGGTGCACTTAGTTATGAACTGATGCCTGGAAAGTGTTTCATAAATACCAATTAAATACAGCCCGGGTCTGTTTCTGTCTGTCTGGCGGGACTCGTGACCTTGCTCCTGCAGAGCACAAACCGAGCTAAGATGATACAGAGCAAAGGAGAAACTTGCCCCATCTCAGCAGACACCGGAGCCGGGCTCTGTTCAGCAGCGACTGCACCAGGCACCGATGCAGGCTGCATACGGGCTGTTTATTAACGGAAGCCATGGGCAGCGCTGCCCTTCCCGGAGCAGGGCCCTGGCAACGGCAGCCGCCAGCGCGGGAGCCCCCGGCGCGTCTCCCTGCACCGCACCGGGCAGGCCCAGACCCCGCAGCCGGGGCCGGGCGCTTCCCCCTCCCGCGCCGCGGGGGCTGCAGCTCTCGCCGTTCAGCGGGGCCGGGCCGGGCGCTCCGCGCTCAGCTCGCTGCGCTCTCAGCCCGCGCCCGGGCCCGCGCCCGCGCCGCCTCCGCCTCCTGCTCCAGATCGTCCAGGAACCGCTCCTGCGACACCGAGTAGAAGGTGTATGCGTCTGCGGGCCGCGTTAAGGAGAAGAGCGGGCGCGGAGCGCTCCCGGTCCCGGTCCCAACCCCGCCCCGGCCCGGCCCGGCCCCGCAGGATACAGATCCCGACCGTGACGGCGCCGATGCCGAGCGCCAGCAGCGCGTTGCGGCCGCGGAGGCGGCTCCGCAGGGCGCGCTCCACCTGCTCCATTTGCAGCCGCTGCTGGGGGCTCAGCCCCGGCTCCCGCCGAGGGTCGATGCGCCGTGCGAACGCCGCCTCCCGGCCCGGCTCCTGCGCCGCCATCTTTCCCCCCGCCACTTGCGTACAGCGTGCTGACGTCACATCCAGGAGGGACATGCGTCCAATCCGAAGTGGCTTTGGGAGCGAGGCGTCGAGTGGTTGGCTGCGGAGTGACGCGCGGCCGGCCGGAGCGGAGTCGAGCTCTGATTGGCGGAGCGGGGCCCCGTGACCGCGCGCGTGCTGAGGTGTGTCCCCGCTGAGGGGCCGCTGCGGCGCCGTTGGAGCAGTTACCGGAGCGGGCAATGGGCTCCCAGGCGCAAGCAGCATCCCGGTGCCGTGACCCGGGCCCCGCCTTTGGGAGGGTGTCCCCGGAGGTCATCGAGGACGCGCTGATCTGCCTGGCCACGGAGAACGAGCGGCACCTGAGCGAGCTGCCCGAGGGGGTCGGGTGCTTCAAGGAGGAGCGGATCGTGGGTGAGGCCCAGCCCGGTGGCCTGTGCTGGTCAGGGCCGGGGCAGGGCTGACTCTGCCCTTCCCTTGCAGAGTTCATCTTCCTCTTGGCTGAAAAGTGGTGCCTGGACCCGATGGCGAGGTACCAGGCAGTGGAGTTATTTGAAAGGTAAGGAGCATCCCGAGTGCTCCGTGCGTTCCGTGTCCCTCTCATGTGCTCTGGACCGCTCGCTCAACCAACCTGTGATGCGTTTTTGCAGCCCCAGAGCTTTATCTCTTTGCTCATTTAGCTCAGGTTTTGAGCTGAATACGTGCAGAACTGCTGCTTGTCCTTTTGCTTAGCAGAAGAGAACGGTTTTCTGAGCAGTTTTGGGTTTTGTAGGTTTATGATCAAGCAGGTGGAACAAATCTCTAAGTCTTCTAGGAAGAGCGTTAAACACTGTGAGCAGGGGGGAGGCAGCAGCTGCAGCTCTCTGGAAGATCAGCTCTACAACACGTTTGTCCTGCGGCTTGTGTCATGCGTTCAGCTCGCGAGCAAACTGTCCCTGCACTATACCGTAAGCTCGATGAACCTGTTCTTGTCATGGCTTTTAGCAGTGTAGCAAGCTATGGGGTACGCTTATGTCTGTTAAAAAGGAGATTAGAAAGAAAGAGGGCCATGAGAGCAATCAGGGGCTGGAGCACCTTCCGTATGGAGCCAGGCTGAGAACACTGGGGCTGTTCAGGCTGGAGAAGAGAAGGCTGTGTGGAGACCTCAGAGCAGCTTCCAGTGTCTGAAGGGGGCTACAAGGATGCTGGAGAGGGACTCTTTATCAGGGACTGCAGTGATAGGACAAGGGGTGATGGGTTCAAACTGAAACAGGGGAAGTTCAGGTTAGGTATAAGGAAGGAATTGTTTACTGTGAGTGTGGTGAGGCACTGGAATGGGTTGCCAGAGAAGTTGTGAATGCTCCATCCCTGGCAGTGTTCAAGGCTGGGCTGGACAGAGCCTTGGGTGCCATGGTTTAGTGTGAGTTGTCCCTGCCCATGCAGGGGGTTGGAAGTGGATGATCTCAAGGTCCTTTCCAACCCACACAATTCTATGATTCTGCTATTTCCAATTTTAAAACTATTACTGATCATAAAATGCAAAGTATATTGAAATGGAGACCTAAATTTAGGTTTAAACATTTAGGGCAGATGAATTGTCACTTGTCAAGTAGCAATTTGTGAGGAGATGTTCCCAATATTGGGGGGGAAAAGTACAGGCAGTGGGGAAAAGTCAGTCTGTGGTTGTCAAAAGCTGTATGTCTACAGGGGGAAAGACTGGGGAGAGAACATCTGAACTGGAGTTTTAATTCCAGGTCAACAGAGGAGTTAGACAGGGTTAGAGAGCCATGGGAGCTGCAGTGGTTCTGGCTGAAATCCAGTGGGAGGAGTAAACCAAGGAGGTGCTTGCTTCTCCCCGCTGCCCAGGAGCTCATTTGTCTTTTTTCCCCTCTTTTTCCTCCTCAGAGAGTTAACAGCGATGTAGCTTTAAAATTTCTGCAGTCTCTGAAGTACTCATACACGAAACAGGAGCTGCTCGAGTCAGAACTGGCTGTTCTAAAAACTCTGCACTTCCAGGTCAACGTCTCGACTCCTTTGGCTTACGTGGAATTGCTCCTGGAGGTTCTGAGTAAGAGGATTAAGAGGAGAGGATGGGAAAAGGGTTTCCAAAAGGGGGAATAGAGCCATTGCTGGTTTGAACCAGAATGTCTCCTCTTACAGATTTTGGCATATGGTGCATTCACATTGTGCAGGGCTTTACTTTTTGGGTGAGAACTTTGTCCATACTAGAATCCAATGGGTGCTGTTGGACAGCATGTTGAACATGATCTGTTCAGTAGAAGAGTTTAAAACCCCCAAAACCTAATGTAAGAGCATGGTTTCTACAAGTGCCGAGGTCTAACAGCCTGAATTTAGGTATCAGTGAGATGATACTGAGCTTGAGAAAGCCTGTGGCACTCAGAAACAAGGGGCAGTTGGCACCAGGAATCTCCATCTGTAGCTCGTGGCTTCTTTCTAATCCAGTTTCATGCCTTGGGATGTGGCGCTGATCCTGTGTGATCTCTGTGCTAGGGTACAACGGCTGCTTGCTTCCCACCAAGCCCTTACATCAGATGTGTATTCAGCTCCTTGACTTCTCCTACCTTGCACGAGATGCCATCTACGACACTCTGTTGAAGGTGGCCATTGAAAACTCCACACCAAGCAAACTGCAAGTGTGAGTAGCTCCCATGGCTGATGCTTTAACTGTTTGAAATGAAAACCCTAAAAAAGCCCTTAAGAAATAGCATAATTCCCATGATACCATTTTGGGGGGGCATGTTTTTTAAACCCAGTAATTTTGAGGGGCTTTCAGCATTTATTTAGCTTAATGTTCAAAGCAGTGTGCTTCTACACAGGTGCTTTAGGGGCAAACTAGGGAAATGTTTAATGTAATTATAAAACCCAGCTTTGGCACTGTCCATTAAAGTTAACAGCATCAGGCTCTGTTTGGACTGAGTAAGTGAACATGTGCTTTGTAGCCCTGCCAGAAGCAGGTGCTTTCGAACTGCAAAGCTGGCATTGATGACACCAAGAGACACTTTTACTTCTGCAGAGCAGAGTTTTTGACAGTGAAGGAAGATTTCATGCTCTTGGCTGTAGGAATCATCAGCACAAGCATGTTCGTACTAAACCCTGGGCACTGGAAGCAGGTACAGTCACTTCCAAAGGTGTTGGCTCTATGTGGGTTGTTGAAGTGCAGCAGGAAGCACGTGTGAGGGTGTTGGAAGGCTCCTGCGTGCACTAGTGTGTGTATGTCCTTGTGCTTCAGCATCTCCAGTCAGAACAAACCCCATACAGGTGAAGTAATCCCATGGGACTTCACAGCCTGTAGCTTTTTCACCTCTTCAAAGAAAATGCAGAACAAACATAAAACCCCCCTAAACCAAGCAAACAAACCCCCAACCACACAGAAAACATACTGAGAGGCTTCACATTTGTTGAAGTGTGGCCATGGGGCACTTATTTCTGTTATTCCCATTAGATTTGCAGGATTAAGAAGCATGTCTGTAAAGGAACATCTCCTATGCAGTGTTACTAAGTAGCTCTCTTGGGTTTTTCTTGGGTTTTTTTTAAGGTTGTGGAGCATTTGAACTGCATCACTGGCATCACTTCACAGAGCATACAAGATTTTTCTTATGCAGTACTGAAACAGGTCATTGGCAGCACCACTCCGAGGCAGTGCTACAGGAGCTGTGGAACAAAAGCTCTGCAACACAGAACTGGGCCTCTTCAGTAGAGCTGCCTGCCCCGGGGCAGCAAAGCACTGCCACTGCCCAGAGCACCCCATGCAGTTTGGTTTGCTTTTGGTTGGAACACCAGTGTTAAGTTAGAAAAGCTCCTTTCAGGCAACACCCCAGTGCTGTGAAGGGAGGCACCAGGACCCAAGTAGAAATAACCTCTTTGGGCAGGAAAAGTCTTTATTGTAAGACCTACATCAGCTTAGTTACGAACAGAAGTTTCCTTGAACCAGGAGAAAGCTCTAAGGAGTCACGTTCTGAAAAGGCAGTGAGGCTATGGTGTGGTAATGGCACTAGGAGCAGCTCCCAACCCCATTACAGAGCTGTACTTGCTTTCTCTATTTGCTGCTGCTTTAAAGCTAACTCTTGTCTCAGGCATCCAGGATGTTCCTGTGTCCCCTCTCTGCTCCCACCCCAGCAGGCAGTTGCCCCCCTCTGTGGTGAAAGGGACAGCTCCCCCAGTTTGGAAAGCGATGCGACTGTCGCGATAGCAGGGGCTTGCTGAGCCCCTCGCTGGGAGCTGTGCCCACGTCACATGGAAGCACTCTCTGCATAGAACAGTGCTTTATTATTTACTGGGTGCACCTCCAGGTGAGAACAGGCTGCAGGAAGCATCACAAACACCAGCACCATCCCAGCTAACAGCACCTGAAACAGTATCAAACCTTGCTACGTTGAGTGGCACAGAGTAGTGACATACAATCCTTTATTTCAGAGTGCAGTTACCTTGAGTTCCTCCACGTTTCTGTAACATTTCACTTCTCTAACCTGTGTTCAGCTGTAAGAGTGATACTGAACTCACCCGTTTGAAGTTGAGCAGTAATTTCAATCTATAAACCTCAAAGTGCCAGTTTAGCATTGATTTAACAGCTTTTTATTGTGTTCAGCTCCATGACACAACTTTACATATTGCTTTTCTATATACTACTTGTAATAATGGTCTTTTAAATAAAGTGTCTTGTGGTTTTTTGGTATTGTAAACATTTTATACTGGTTTATATTAAGAGACATCTTAATGTGACTTTCTCCAACGGAACGCAGACATCCTGCAGGTGCCAGGACGAGTTCTTCCCATGGTTACTTGTTATAGAACTGGGATGAGACCCAGGCAAGACCCCACTTCAGGTTAGTTAACATGAATTTCAGTGCTTTTGTCCATTGCTCCTCAGAGTTAAATTGTGTTTTAATAGAGTAAGAGCCACCGCTGCCGCCTGTGTCTTCAATCTTTCCTTTCTCCACGTCCATCCTAGACCATACAAAGCTTCATTAGTGTGTTACTAGTGCGAGCATTTCATTTCCATGTGACATTTTAACCTGACATTTGTTATTTTATGTAAGAATACTTCGGTTTTACCTGAAATCTAGCAAGCCTCAGGTCTTCACCTGAGGAACAGGCTTTAAGTACTAAGAGAAATGGGGTAATCTTGCATGTTATAAAGATCACGGGCTGATTCCAGGGCAGAACTGGGTCAGTCGGTGCTGTGTGGGACTGCACACGAGGTGTTCACTTCCTGTGTTAGAGAGCATTACTCACCTGTAGGGCAAACAAAACCGGGTTTCCCCTTTCTCCACTTCCTCTTTAAACTGCTGCACGCAGTCCAGGAAAGCCACCATCGCGTGGTCAAATTTATTGTCCCAGAAGAACCTCAGGCCTCCAGAGCAGTACAAGGGAAGCTCCTGGAAAACAGATGGGTTTCAAGTACTCTAAGCATTCCCATTTAGGTTCAGTCATTGCAGCTCTTTAGTCCTCTTTAGTGTGAGGCTTAAAATTGTCATGGGATCATTAGAAATGGTTTGTGGCACGTAGCAAGGGTGACTTGTTTTGTGATTGGTGCCTGTTACGTGCAGGCTTGGGTTCCTAATCACTAACAACCAGCCCAAACCATCTTCCTCTGGCCAGTGCAGTGTTTGGCTCCAGAGTCCTGTTGTTTTTAACCAGGTGGCAGGAAGAGCAGCTTGATACAGGATATGGAATTACTAGATTAGATACTAGTTATTACAGTAGAGAAGTTGTGGCATGTACTTGTCCTGTACCATAGAGTCACAAAAAGCTAAGTTTGCCTTCTGTGACCAGGGCTCTGTGGTACTCAAGGTCAGTGCGACTTGTGTGGGGTCTCTTACCTTTGATTTGTCCGTGAGGGACTCCAAATATGAGTGGTTGCCATATGGTACAAGACGGTATCTGAAAGGAGACAGGATTCACAGGCAGATGAGCTTAACTGTCTCTGGGCCAGAAGCAAAAGGTTATGTTATATGGCATGTACCTTTGAAACTTCAGGCCCATTTTGTTTGCAAGGGCATGGAGCAGCAGCACAGTCTGCCCCCAGGCAGCGTTGATCTCATTCCATTCTACAGGAACGCTGGGGAGACGGCCAAGTCTGAAGTTATTTATTGTGCCAAACTGACCACTGTGCCTGGGATAGGAGGAAGTAGAAATAAACTGCTGGAGCAGGAACAGCTTCTGGCAGTAAAGTGTGTGATGGCTGCAGTGCAACAGCCATCCCCCATGCACGGGGAGCTCAGCAAAGGGGGGTTGGGGTTCTGATTACAAAGTGTATGTAAATAGAAAGCCCTTGTTATCTGTTTATCATGGAATCCCAGACTGGTTTGTGTTGGAAGGGACCCTGAAGCCTATCCAGCTCCAACCCCTGCCACGGGCAGGGACGCCTTCCACTGGAGCAGCTTGCTCCAAGCCCCTGTGTCCAACCTGGCCTTGAGCACTGCCAGGGATGGGGCAGCCACAGCTTCTCTGGGCACCCTGTGCCAGCGCCTCAGCACCCTCACGGGGAAGAGCTTCTGCCTAAGAGCTCAGCTCAGTCTCCCCTCTGGCAGGTTCAAGCCATTCCCTTTGTCCTGCCCCTACAGGCCCTTATCAACAGCCTCTCTGCAGCCTCCTTTAGGCACGTGTGACCCCATTGGTACTGTCCCTGCTCCGAGCAGCCCCACGGTACCAGATGTGGAAGGTGGCGTTGAACACGTTGGTTTTCTTTAGTTTATCCAGTTGCATCTGGGCATAGCGCATCTGGTTCTCCACACTCTTCAGCTCATCGTCCAGCTCCAGCTGTTGCCTCTTGAATTCACAGTATTCCTTCTGATACCTTTGAACAAGAGCAAGACGACAAATGTCAAGTACTTTTACACTCAAGCGACTGCTCTCCTGGTACTCCAGGGCTTATTCGGCCATGCCAACTCCAGTTTTGCAAAGACCAAGCCACCTGCATTTGGCTGTTACTTAACAGCTTTCTCTACATTATAATCTCATTTATCTGTTCCTTAAAGTCCCTGCCATAAGCTGAGCTGTGGGTCACTCACTGAGCTTCTTCCTGCTCCAGCCGCTCTGCCTCTGCCCGCACTCTCTCAAAGTCTTCAGCCACAACCTTGCGATTCTTCTCGACATCCTCCAGCTCCTGGATCAGCTGCTCTTCTTCCAGTGCGAGTTCCTTCAGTTCCATCTGCAGCTTCTCCTTATCATCCTCGTTCATTTGTTCCAGGATCTCCAGACACCTCCTAAAGCAGAGCACCAGGATTACCAAACCAGGGATGCTGGGAGGCTCCTGATGGAAGCAGTGCAGATGGGGACTGGGGTCTCCCACTGTTGTTGCTCCCAAGCTGTGTTGATCCTGTACCATGAATCAGGAATACACAGAGCAGGGGAGCAAGACGGTGACTGAGGGCTGCTTCTGCCTGACAGGAACTGTGTCTTTGGAGCCCTGGGCTGCACTGGAATGCCACAGACCTCAGCTGGAGAAGCTGTTACCACGGGACTCTCACAAGTTAAGGTTTCATGTCATTCAAAGAAAACCCCACGTGCTCGTCAGGGATATCTCAGTGGTCATGGGAAGGCTCTGGGCTTTCCCCAGCCTAAAGCTGCTTGGTCCTGGGTTGCCTCCAGCTCACTCACTTGTAGTTCTGGCACTCGTTCTCGGTGATGTTCAGCTGAGTGTCCAGCTGGTCCAGCAGCGTGTCCGTGCACTCCTCACACAGAGGGTGATCCACATCTGTCTGCCCAGACATGATGTCAAAGAGGTCGCCGGTGACCTGCAGGAAGCATTTGCCATCAGGTTGGGTGAAGCCGTGGCTACTGCTGGTTCCTCACCCAAAACTCACCACCAGTACCACTGCATCTCCCAGAGCATCCTCCAGCTCTGGCTCGGAGGTGCCCAAACTTACCAGCTCACCCACAACTTGCCTTCAGTCTGCGGCTGAGGTTTTCCATGGTGCCGCCATCCGACGCCTCCCCGATCAGCGTGAAGCTGTTGGCACTTTCTGTTGACATCATTCTTGGAAAGAATTTAATGGAGAGCTGAGTGCTCAGGGGCCAGGCTTAAACCTGAGGCTGGCTCAAGAGGCAGAAGGGACGAGCACAGGACAGGAGGAGCTGGAGTGTGGGTGAGCTCTAGGGGATGGTGGTTGGGTTCACCCGGAGGTAAGGGGCAGCCCCAGGCAGTGCCACGCACTCCCGGGGGAAACAGCGCTCACACAGGACTGGCTTCGACAGGCAGGGCTCAGCTGAGCCCCGCTGCTGAGAGGACCCCGTTCCATCGGTAGGGATGGGACGGACAGGACCCCGTTTCCCCGGGCCTCCCCACGGAGGGGCTAGGGGCGGATCGGGCCTGCCGGGAGCGCGGCCGTACCTGGCCGGCGGGATGAACCGCCTGGACACGCCATCCTGCCGGTTCTCCGCGAAGGCTTCCTGCGGGACAAGCGGACACCGTCACCGGGCGTGGCGGGGGGAGAAGGGAACACCCCCGCCGCTGCGCCCGACCCCGCCGTACCTCCGTGAGGGCGCTCTCCTCTTCGTGCGCGTCACCGGGCCGGGCAGGGGCAGCGGCCAGCAGCGGGGCTGCGGGAGAGGAGGCGTTACCCGTGTCCGGGCCCGGCCCGCCGCCGCCCCCCGCCCTCCCTCCGCCCCGCGGTACCGGTGAGCTCCTGGATGGTGAGGCGGTCCAGGATCTTGAAGGAGGTGTCGAGCTTGAGCGGCTGCCCGCAGCGCTGGCACACGAAGCTGACCTGCGCCGTGCCGCCGGCCGCGCGGCTGCCCTCCATGCCCGCTCAGCCCCGCGCCATCGCCACCGCCGCGCGGCGGATGTGACGTCAGGCCGCGGGGCGCGGTCCTGCCAGGGGTGTAAGAGGGGCGTGTGAGCTGTGTGGAAGAGGAGCGGCCATTTTTCCCGTGAGCGGCCAGGACCTCGGGCGGCGGCGCGTGCGCGCGGCGGAGGGAGGCGCGCGGCAATTGGCGGGCGCGCCGGGTGAGGTCAGTTCCGGTGGTGGCGGCGACGCCGGTGTTGGGGCAGCGGCAGCGCGGCCCCCGCGGCATCCCCGGACCGGACCGGACGCTCCCCGCCCGCCGCCGCCATGGCCTCGCTGCTCAAGGTGGACCCGGAGGTGAAGCTCAAGGTGCGCACCCCGCCGGCGGCCCCCCCGCCCCCCCCTTGAGCGCCCCCGCCGTGCGGGCTGGGCCCGGGCCTCGGGGCGGGGCGGCCCCACGCCACCGCCGCCGCTGCCCGCTGGTTCCACCGCGGCCGTTGGACGTGAGGTCGCTGAGCACGGCCCAGCCGCCGCCGCTGCACCGGGCGGGCGCGCGCTGGCCCAAGCGAGGCCTGGAACCTGCCCCTCCGCGCCCGGTGTTGGGTTCTCCTCGTGCTGACGGATGGGCCGTTGGGGCCCGGGCCGCGCAGGCGGAGCGGGGGGAGCAGCTTCTGGCGGCCCCGGCAGCGGCCGCTCGGTGCCCAGCGGCGCGGTCAGCTCCCGGTAGTCCCTCGGAGGGCGGGAGGTGCCCCCGAGGCGCTCGGTGTGGCTCGGGAGTGACTGAGCTGCTGTTTCTCTCCCTGTGCAGGTTGATTCCTTCAGGGAGCGGATCACGAGCGAGGTGAGCATCCCCCTGCGCTGCCCCCGGTGGGACAGGGACGAGCCCATCGGGTCCATGTCCCCGAGAGACCCGGCTGTGGTCTGAGCCTCTGCAGGAAGCTCCGCAGCGCATCAGGCACCAACCGTGGCGAGGGGCTCGAGCCTCGTGCTCTCCTGGCCCATTGTCACCCTGCCTCGGTGTGACAGCAGCCACAGCACCCGTGTGCTCTGCTGGTTCCTGCCTTTGGCCAGTTGGTTTCCTGCTGTTCTCTGGCGGTGGGAACCTCGCAGCGCTGGTTCCCATCATTGTCTCTGCTTTCTCTCTCAGGCTGAAGACCTGGTGGCAAACTTTTTCCCAAAGAAGCTGTTAGAGCTCGATGGGTTCCTCAAGGTGAGATCTTTCTGTCTCCTTTTTCACCTCCGAGCTGAGCGCTGACAGCACCGTGCCAGGTCCTGGCCTCTTGTGTCTTCCACTGTGGCACACGGGGGTGAACCGGCAGCTCAGTCGCTTGCATGCATTTGAGTGCTGTTGGCTCTAGAGGGGGTGCTTCCCCTTGCAGTTCTCTTTGTGTGATCACATTTATCTTTCTTACATGTTTTGCTGTGTGGGGCTGTGCTGTGCTCTCACGTGGCTCCAACCCTGCAGGCTGTTGATAGCTTTGATCCAGGCTGGAGCTGGCACGCTGCTCTTGGGTGGAGGGAGGGCTCCTCACAGGCTTATTGTTAGACCCTTTGTGTTTCATTTGTCCTTATTTTATAGTTGGATATGGGAGAGGGCTGAATCTTCTGTTTTCTCATTGTGTTTGGTGGGACAGAATTTTTTCACTTATAATTAAATAACAAATCTGCTTTATTTTCCAGGACCCGATCCTGAATATTCATGATCTCACTCAGATACATTCGGACATGAACCTCCCAGTGCCTGACCCAATTCTTCTCACAAACAGCCACGATGGACTGGATGGGGTAAGGTTACTCTCTTGGCTCTGATCCCTGCTTCTCTTGATTAAAACTGCATGGCTTGCCCTGTGCTGGAGTAGGTGTATTCTCACTCAGTAAAAGGCTATGGCTCTCCCAAAGGCTTTTAGGATCTGCTCTGGGAAGTCTGCTGAAGGCAGTACTGTGCTCTGCAGACCTCCTTTGCTCTCAAAGAAGGATGCTTAGATCCAGGAGCCTAGCAGAGGCTCTGAGATTTCCCTTGGTTCCTGTGGGACGCTGCTGTAGCTCCTGAGTAGTTTGTGACTAAAACATTTTGTATGTTTTAGCCAAATATGAAAAAGAGGAAGCTGGAGGACCACGAGGAGACCTTTCAGGGTAAGAGTCCCCAAGCCCCTTGTGTTGTTGCTTGCACCCTGAACCAGTGCACCATGCCCTGGGGATATGAAATGGCATGAATCCCCCTTGCCCTGTCCTGACAGCAGCTGCTGCTCATGCAGGCCTATCCCCACGACCTCTCCAAGCTTGACCTACGCTTCTGTTGAGGAGGAGTCAGGTTCCAGCTCTCAGAAGCATAATTAGGACTTTTCTGATAGCCACAAGCAGTACTTGCTTGAGCCTGGCTTGCTGACAGAGGCAGCTCATCTCCCTGTGGCTCTCTCTGTCGGGAGGAAGATACCAGGCTTTGGCTTAAGCTGAGGCACAAAGAGCTTGCACACGTGGAGCAGCAAATCCCTTGTGCCCAGGCTCAGCAGCCTGGAGCTCTTCAGCTCCACGTTCTCTCTTCTTCCCTGTGGTAACTGCTGTCATCCCGTGTCAGATCTCCCCTGCCCTGCAAGTTAGCTATAGCCTGACTCAGTGTCCACAAGCCTTTGCAGGAGATCAGATGCTCAGTTGGACCTTGGGTCTGATCCGCTGGTACAGCTCTTCCTGTGTGTCCTCATGAGGTGTTTTTCTCCTCTGCTGGTAGGTACCAAAGTGTTTGTGATGCCCAATGGGATGCTGAAGAGCAACCAGCAGCTGGTGGACATCATTGAGAAAGTGAAACCAGAAATCAGGCTGCTTATTGAGAAGTGTAATACGGTGGGTATGAGCTCTGGAGCCACGTGGAAGCAGGAGGATGGAGGCAAAGCTGCTCTGGGTGGAAGGCGCTGACCCCTCTGTACTCTGTGGATGAGGAAAGGCAGGATTTGTATTGCAGTGGCTGAGAGTGGCTGGGGATAGGTGTAGGGAAATAATCCTAGAATCCCAGCTTGGAAGGGACCTCAAGGATCGTCTGGTGCAACCTTTCTAGGCAAAGCATAACCTACACTAGATATCCCAGCACTCTGACCAGCTGAATCTTAACAGTGGCCAGTACTGAGGAATCCAGCACTTCACTGGGGAGATTATCCCAGCAGCTGATAGTTCTCATTGGGAAAAGCTTCCCTGTGTCCAGCTGGAATCTCCCCAGGAGTAACTTGTGCCCATCACCCTTTCTCTCCTCCATGTGAGCCCTTGTCAAAAGGGAGTCTCACTCTTCTTTGTAGCCACCCTTTAAACACTGGAACGTGGGGGTAAGGCCTTCCCGGACCCTTCTCTAGGCTGAACAAGCCCAGCTCTCAACTTTGGATCATCTTTGTGGCCCTTCTGTGGCCCCTCTCTTTTTGAGCACGGTCTCTGTGGAGATGTCGGTAGTGATGAGTGCTGTGATCTCTCCACCACAGGTCAAAATGTGGGTGCAGCTTCTCATTCCCAGGATAGAAGATGGAAACAACTTTGGTGTTTCTATTCAGGTGAGGCACTGCTGGCTCTAGGCCCTGCTGCAGGAGGAGCTGTGCTCCAGGGACAGGGATCTCTTGGCTTCTTCTGAATCTCTCATTTGATAGTGTTCACTCAGGTTCTAAAAGCCCAGCCTGAGCTTGACACGGTACTGCTGAGACGTGCTGCTTGCAGAGCCCTAGTGAGCAGTCTTGTGCAGCTAATGACTTCCTGCTCTTCCCTGCAGGAGGAAACAGTTGCTGAGCTTCGAACTGTGGAGAGTGAGGCAGCATCCTACCTGGACCAGATTTCTAGGTAGGCATGCAAGGACAAGCCTCGTTTGTGGGAGCCCCTTGGGAAAGGGAGGTGCTTGGGGAAGGTCTCCCAGCTTTCCTAGGGCAGCTTGGGCCTGAAAAAGATCTCGGTGCTGTTAATCTGACCTTTAGTCTCTCCCTTTTCTTACCAGATATTATATCACAAGAGCAAAATTGGTTTCCAAAATAGCTAAGTACCCTCATGTGGTAAGTGAGTGGGGAAGTGGAGGTGTGCATGGTACATGCTGCTGCTTTCTGGGACTCTTTGGGCCACTTCATCACTGTCCTGTTTGGGATGAGGGTCTTGGGGGGGGCAGGAAGGGGTTGTGCGGGGATGCAGGACATCTGCATTAGAGGAGAGCAGCTGAAGGGGGGGGGTTCCCTTGGTGCTGGGGAGGCAGCGCTGGGCTCAGCCACTGCTCCCTGCAGGAGGACTATCGCCGCACCGTGACCGAGATCGACGAGAAGGAGTACATTAGTCTGCGCCTGATCATTTCAGAGCTGAGGAATCAATATGTAAGTGCAAAACTGGAGCTTGCCAACAGGAGAGAGCCCTTGTGACCCTCCTGCCCTGCCCTTCCCCTTGGGGTGCATCCGCTCCTGCCTCCTCCCTGCGCTGCTCTGGCTCTGATGAGAGGAGCTGACTGCCACCTCTCCTGGGGGTGCCAGTGTCTAGCACAAAATACTCCTTCCATCTCCTGACCTCTCCTTGCAGCCCAAGCTATCCCTTGCCTCCTTAGAGAAATCATTTCTGTGTTACATGTAGTGACTTCTGCACAATCTGGCTGAAAGAAGCCCTTACCTTAAACTAGGGGTATGATTGCATGCAAGGGATGAGGGTAGTGCCAGCGTGAGCTATGCTGCTGCTTTAACTGGGGCTCATTGTGAAGGCTGAAGGCTGCATCCCGTCACCCTCTCTGAGGCCTTGTCTCCCTTTTTGCAGGTCACTTTGCATGACATGATCCTTAAAAACATTGAGAAGATCAAGAGGCCTCGGAGCAGCAATGCTGAGACCCTCTATTAAGTGTCAACGTTTGAACTTGAGAACTGTTCAGTCAGCTAAAGACCGTCATTGCCTTGGTTTGTTACGTGACTATCGAGATGGGAAACTGGCTGGAAATAGTATCGCATTCTTAGTTAAACTCTAAAGAAACTCTTGCCTAGTTTTGTGATTGGTTTTGTTCAGGTCTCAGGAGCTCTCCCTCCCTCTAGTAACTGGTACTGAGAAGGCCGTGCTGCTTTGGGGTGCCCTAGAGGCTACTTCGGAGTGAGAGCACCAGCCAGGCAGGAACATTCCTTCATGCCTTTCTTCCTACCTGAGTAGGAGCAATACTAGAGACCAAGCCCCTGTCCTGCCCCATCTCTTAGCTGGGGGCTCTGGGAGCGGGGCAGACTGAGCATGCTGGGGTGGTGGTGCTGTGGGGGAGAAGCTGGCTCTTTGCTGCTGGACCCCTCTGCTGCTGGTGCTCTGCAAGGACAGGGGAGCCTGCCCCTCCTGGCCCTGGTGCTGCTGCCTGCTCTGCACTCCTGGCTCTCTCCTGACTGAGCAGAGCCTGCCCCATATCCCTCTGCCTTGTCAGTTCTGGCTGGGTCTGTGCAGAGCAGCACAAGGTGGTGCTTGAAACTCAGCTGGTCACTGTCCCAGCTGGTCAGGAGCTCGGGTGGCTTCTGCCCCTGGTTGTGATTGGACTTAGAGCCCCTTTCTTGGCTAAACCCAACGTTATTCACACACATCCTGCTGCCCCTTCAGCCCGAGAGGAGGGGGGGCCCGAGGTCCGATACTAACTCCTGGTAGTCTCCACACATGCTCAGGCTGAGCCCCACTGTCCCCTGGCAGTGCTCCCGTGCAGCTGGTGCTTGGGGTAAGGATGGCTGGTGCCCACCTCCCTGCTCCCATGGCAGACCCTGTAGTCCTTCCCCTGCAGAGGGCATGCTCGTGTGCCTGGGGACTCCGCCGAAACATTTCATGGTCCCTTACAAACCCCTTTGGGAATGACTGGTTGTGTTGCATCAGTTTCTGTGTGTGGCAAACGGGCCCAGAACGCTGCAGGCTCCCAAATTTTTCTTATTTATAGTATTTCTACTTAAGTCCCCTCTTCAGGGACTGTGAAATCATTTGTTTCAGGAACCTCACTGTTGCCCAGGTCTCGCTGTTTCACCTGTATATTCTCATTGTGCAGTAGCCTTAATAGTTGTGTTCCCTCCATTGTAACAACAGTGACAAATGGAATGAATCTCTCCCCTCTCTTTGTTTTCTACTTAGTTTCTTTGTTTCTTCTGCTTCCACCTCTAAGAGCCATGGTGTCTCTTGCTGGTTTCCCAGGGATTTGCCCCCAGTGTGGAGGGCTGCTGGCCCTTGCTATAGACTCTTCTGTTGTTGTTTGTAGTAAGTCAACTCTTAGTCTTCCCGCTAATAAATGCTCAGTAACAAACCAACTGCATTCTGGCTGCTGTCTGGGAGCAGCACTTCCCCTTGTGTTTGTATTGATTCCTTTTCAGTTGTCGGGCTCTCTTTGCCAGATGAACGTATGTAAACTTTGACCATGTCAAGAAATTAAAATGAGGTACTTGGAATTCTTCTAAGGTAGCCCCTTGTGTGTGATGCTGAGCTCCCAGGCTGCGCAGCGCCAGTGGCTCTGCCTTTCTCACATCCAGGTGCTCCTTCCCTGCATTCTCCTCATTCCTCTCTCTGTTGTAAACTGCTCTGCACTGCTCTGGGGGTTGTTTCTACTGCAGCTTCCCTTTGGGCCCATGGTTTTGTGTTTGAGCTGTTCTGTCCCACCTCAGCCCAGTGCATGGGACTCGGACACCTCGTGTGGTGTCTCCTTGAGACTGCAGCATCCATTGCTGTGTGTGTTCCTTTCCTCTCTTGCCTGCTCCCTGCATGTGGTGCCGAGGGAAGGGCTGTCCCCGGCCTCAGTGTCTCCTGCTGGGGGAGGCTCAAGGACACGCTCCTGCGCTCCCTGTGCTGCTGGGGCCTGACAGGCAGGAGCTGGGCTGGAAGCCAGGAGCAGGGGGGGGTTTCTTGTCCATGACCCTCACCCCTCAGTGCAGGGGTTTGTGCTCTGCTCTCTGAGTGGCACTGCTGACAGCCCAGCTCCTGCACGGGACCGTTAAACTCGGGCAGGAGAACAAAGGCACAGCAGTGGGGTGCAGACGCAGACGCTCCCATCCGCAGCCGCCGTGGGGAAGGGTCAGGCAGTTCCCACTGTTCTGTTGTACAGGAGCTGACCCCGTGAGATGAGGGAATGGGAGATTTCCAAAGGCTGAGGTCTGGACTGGGGCGTGCTTCAGCCTTGCCTGTGTCGGGAGCGTTGGCACAGGGTTTCCTGTGCTGTTCTCTCCCAGGTGTCTGCCAGTCCTGGAGTTTCTGCTGCCTGTCTCTGGGTTTGGTTTCTGTAGATGTGGGAGGCTGGTGTTGCTCCCTCCACATCTCTGTGCGAGCAAACCCCAGCAAACTCCCTCCTTGTTTTGTCTGGGAGATGTCTGCAATCATCAAAGGCACCAATGGGCAGTGTCCAAAAGAGCTGGGAGCCAGAATACCAGGAGGAGGATGTGAATTCTCCACATCAGATGTGGGCTGGAGTGAAGGGCGTCAAACACCATGAACCAAACAAGCCATGAACAAGTTATGCTGCTGTTTGAGAGACATGGCTTAAGCTGCATCAGGCTTCTTTTGGAGAAGGCACCACGAGCATCTCAGTGATGTGGCCCTTAAAGATCCCTGAGTGCTTCCATCAGGAAGGTATTGACATGGCTCTGCAGGCTCCGTTAGTTACTCTGCTCCCTGAACTTCCTGCTGCAAGATGTTAGGGCTGTTCAGTCCTAAACATTGCTCCCAGCAAGTGCAGGCTCATTCTTGTGTTGTTTGTAAGAAGCTTTGCAAGTCCTCATCTTGAGAAGCACAGCAGAAGTGGATAGGGTTTGATAACGTGGTATCAGACACGCACCCATGGCACACACCCTGCAGGCCGGTCCTGTGGCCCTGGGTGTGTGCCATGCGCTGGTTTGTCGTGGGGATGTCATTCCAGGTCAGGGTTGCTCTTTCTTTTCCAAACCCCGACATGCACAGAACCAGGGCTGTTCCCACCCTTTATTTTCAGACGTCTCCCAGGCGAGCTGCAGGGTTGAGTTGTGATTTGTGGGGCACTAAAGCCTGTGGAGCTCATCCAGTTCTTTAAAGTACTGCTGCGCTGCTTAGAAAATGACCATCTGTAATTGCAGCCTCTGCCTTGACCTTTAGGGACTTGGGATGCAAAACCAAGAGGCAAAGTGAAAACTGGAGGCTCTGCTCTTTGTGTCAGTGTGAGCGCTGTGCCTGCAGTCTCAGGGGCTTGTGCATCCTCTTGGATCAGGTCTGTAGGTGTGTGTTGGTGCAGAGCACTTGTGGAATGCCGGGTGAAACAGATTCCCTGCTCCAGGCTTACATGGAAAGGGAATTTTTCTTTCAGGCCTAGCCCCAAGTAACCCTCAGAGCCTTGACAGCATCCATTGAAAGACTGACTTGGATGTCAGCGCATCTTTGCTTAATCTGTGGCTGCTCAGAGGCGTTCTGCCACTAGAGGCCAGCTGGGGAGAGCAGGGTACCTCTGAAACCTGCAGCTGCTGCATCCCCTGCAGCCAAGGCTCTGTCCTCATCTCTCCCATCTCTCCCCATCACTTGCGTCCGTGCCCTCCTCTGGCACTGCTGCCACGTGCACCGGGAGCCGTGGCTCTGCCGGCGCTGGCGCAGCGGCCGGCGAGGCAGCAATGACACATTGCTGGCAGGGAACGGGCATGCGTGTCCCTGCCCTGCACAGCTGCAGCCTGGGCTAAAGAAGGCTGAGGCTGCCTGTGGTGGTGAGGATAATGGAGCGTGTCCTATGGCAATGTGGCCTCCTGCCTGCCAGTGTGGTGTCTGGTGAGCACGGCCGGGAAGCTGTCGGGGGGAGGATGAGAAGGGCCAGGGTGAGGTGAGGTGAGGCTGGCAGCAGGAGTGGAAATGTTGGGTTGAATCTCCAGCCATGGCTCTCTTGGATGCCTTCTGCTTCCCAGCACCAGTGGGGACAGGCAGGGATTGGAGCTGCCTGACCCCCAGCCTCTGCTGCGTGGCAGGATTGAGCCCCAAGCCCTGGATGCCACCGGCTTCTCGGGTCCCTCAGGTTGGGGTGGCTTTGTCCTTGAGCGAGCCTCTCAGGAGCTGCGCTTCGGTCGCCTGTGAACTGGAAGCAGAGACCGAAGCTGCGAGGGCTCGTCTCAGTGGAATGAATGAGTTCATGGCTGCTCGGAGGTGCAGACTGAGAGCCGGTTGTTCCCAGCGCACCGGTGCCTGAAGCTCATCCTGAGCCACCTCTCTCCATGCCTGCCAGAGCTGCTCCGGTGCTACACAAGTGATGTGTTCTCCGCAAAGGCTTTCATGGGGAGGATTTAAGATAAAATAAATAACAAGCCACTGCAAGCTCGGAGCGGGGCTGCCCGGGACCGTGTTTACAGGGAGGCAGCCTCAGACACGAGGAAACGCAACGAGTGGCAAAGAGGTGGAATTCTACAGCATGGCAACAATTCCCAGCTTGTCAGAGGCGCGCAGAGGTCGCAGGCACCTCGGGCTGACGACAGGAGCTGCGCTTTTACAGGCAGCCGCAGGAAGCGAGGTTGGACGGAGCGAGTAACGGAGTTGTGTGGAGCCTGTCTGAGTCACTGACCCTGCATCCCCACTGCTGCCTTCAGACACTGCTCGGGCAGGACAGAGGAGGCTGCAGTGAGAGATCTGCCCTTTCTGGTCACCACCAAGCTCGGGTCTCCTCCCCTGGCCTCTCCCAGTGCTTTGTGCTCACCCTGCTCACCCATCCAGTGCAGGGAAACCGAGAGAGGAGCAGCTGGAAACCCCGCTCCGAGCTGCTGCGAGAGCCCAGGGACCAGCAGAGCCATGAACGTGAGAACCGCGCTCGTGCTCCTCGCTCTGGCTTTAGCCACCGTATTGGCGCTGGTCTGTGTGCTGCTGACCAGGGGCAGGGCCCCCCCTGCCTGCCCGCACCAGCCCCCAGTGCAGGAGGACCCCGACGGCGGCCAGAGCCTGGTCTTTGCGGACCTGACCCCCGCCGAGCTGGCCCAAGTGGTGCGGTACCTGCAGGGACACCTGGGGCTGCGGCTGGTGGACGCCGCGCGGGCAAAGCCCTCCGACAACTGCATCGCCTCCGTGGAGCTGCAGGTCCCGGCCAAGGCAGAGGCGCTGCGGTTCCTGGACGGGGCGGGGGCTCGTCCCCCCCGCGAGGCGCTGGCTGTGCTCTACTTTGGGGAGCAGGCAGAGCCCAACGTCACCGAGTACGTGGTGGGGCCGCTGCCGGCGCCGGTGTATCACCGGGACGTGACGGTGCGCAGGTACGGGGGGAAGGTGCCGTACCACCGCAGACCCACGCTGGCTGTCGAGTACAAGCAGCTGGCCGGGTTTTTAAAGAGCCAAGTGTTCCCCGCAGCTCCATCCTTCATGCGTCAAGTGATGGAGTACGATGGAGGCAGCCTCGCAGCCCTGACGGCCGCTCCCCGCGGGTTCCAGTCTGGAGACCGCATCACCTGGTTCGCCTTGTTCCAGAACGTGAGCGGGTTCTTCGTGCACCCGGTGGGGCTGGAGGTGCTGGTTGACCACAGCAGCCTGGACATCTCCCAGTGGGCGGTGAGCAGGGTCTTCTACAACGGGCAGTACTACAGGGACATGGTGCAGCTGGAGAGCGCCTACGTGCAGGGTCGCATCAGCGTGGAGAAGGTGAGGAGAGCGCCGCGGGACGGGGACTTCTCGTCCATGAAGCCGCGAGCGCCTTGGGCCGCGCTGTTCCCTTTGCAGTACGAGCCGCAGGGTCCCCGCTACAGCGTCAGGAACAACCACGTCCTCTACCAGGCGTGGAGCTTTGCCTTTGGGATGAGCGCGAGCACGGGGCTGCGCCTCTTTGACATCCGACACAAGGGGGAGAGGGTTGCCTATGAAATCAGCGTCCAAGAGGCAATGTCCGTGTACGGCTCCAACTGCCCCGCAGGGATGTCCACGAGGTACATGGATGGGAGCTTTGGCATCGGGCGCTACACCTCCCCCTTGGTGCGAGGGGTCGACTGCCCCTATTTAGCCACGTACCTGGATGTGCACTTCCTGGCCCATTCTCAGGTCCCCCAAAGCACTAAAGGTGCCATCTGCATCTTCGAGCAGAACCTGGGCTCCCCGCTCAGGCGCCACTACTCCAACCTGCAGTCGCTGTACTACGGGGGGCTGGTCAACTCTGCCCTGGTCCTTCGGTCCATTGCCACCGTGGGCAACTACGACTACGTCTGGGACTTCATCTTCTACCAGAACGGGGCCATTGAAGGCAAGGTCCAGGCCACGGGGTACGCGAGCTCATCCTTCCTCCATGGGGATGGCCTGCGATACGGCAATAGGGTTTGGGAGCACACGCTGGGTACCATACACACCCATTTCATCAACTATAAGGTGGACTTGGATGTGGGAGGTAGGTCTGGGTCTTCCTTTACTGCCTGCCATTATCCTGGTAAACCCCAATGCCGTGGGGGGTTGCCTCCTGTCTGTTGAGCCCCTCATAAGTAACATCTGAACTCTGCTTTTCCACTCTCCCAAGCTCTTCTTTCACTGCAAAGTCATTCCTATGCATGGAGCAGCCTGCTGAGGTGATGGAGGCAGTGGGAATTGGCTGGGAGCTGCGTGTCCAGGCCAAGGAAAGTATGAAGGTAGCAGCTGTAAAATGTTTGTGTTTCCTGGAGGCCTCCGCCTGGCACGGGGCTCATTGCCATAGGACCGGCCCCGTCTGCAGGGCTGGAGGTGGGAACCGGCTCTTTGGTGCCTGATGCTGCTCCTGCTGCTCTGGTAACGTGGGGGAGTCTGTTTTGTACCCTGACTGCCCAGCGTGAGCCTGGCAGCAGGACCGGTGCCCTGCGGGGCTGAGCTCGTGCAGCTCCATCCTGCTCCTCCTGTAGGGAAACACAGGGAAGCTGCATCCCAAACCCCCGGCTGCGGGGCTGCCGCAGTGAGCCAGCGAATTCCCTTTGCTCCTGCTCCGAGCCCCGGGTTTTGGCTGCAGATCCCTGCGGAGCTCTGTGAGTGCAGAGCAGCCCCTTGCTGCTGGCTGCCCCATGACCCTCCAAGGGCTCTGCTTCCCCTTAAAGGCCATTGCAGCGGTTGCAGGCTCGGGAGGTGCGAGGGCAGCGCTGGTGGTGTTTGGTGCTCCTGTGAAACGCAGGGGGAAGAATGTTCAGCATCTGCACGGGAGCAGAGGCTGTGGCTGCAGCAGAGCGAGGGGAAATGCAGCTCCAGTGACTGCTGCTGCATGCGGGAGTGATGTGCATCCAGTGCCGCTGCTCCAGCGGCCTCTCTGGTACCCGCCTGTGGTGCCGTGGTTTGTGTGGCCTTGGAAGGCGTTGTTACAGCCAGGAGCAGGCTGGATGCTGGTTCCCTCCCTGTGAGTGAGGCACGGAGATGTGCTAAGACCCAGTTCCTGCCTGGTGCCGATGCTCAGCTCCCTGCTCTGCTTCCAGATCTGGAGCCCCTGCTGCTGCAAAACGCTCTTGAGAAGAGCAGTGTGAGAGCCGAGACCCATTCCCCAGCCAGGGAGGGGAGCCCTTTCCCAGCAGCGGGGCTCAGCAAAACTGCAGCACAGCAACAACGGGGCATGTCCCACAGGGGCTGCTTGCATCCTCATCCGAGGCTGCTGTGGGACCTACAGGGGAAAAGGGCGAGGATGGAAGTGAGAATGAAAACTGAAGCTCCTGAATTAACATGATCCCAAGCGTGCTGAGTTGATCCAGTGGTTGCAGCCTCAGCCCAACCCTCCCATCTGTGCCTCAGGCTGTCCCCACCAGCAGGCAGTGACATGGACCACGCTCCTGTGCTCCGTCCTTGGCTCTGATGGAGCATCGCTGCCGCCTTGCACGGGGCCACAGTGGGAGCAGCCTTGCAGGAACTGGTGCCAGTGCAGGAGCAGGCTCCTCATGCTGCAATGGGGTGGCCCTGACCCCTGCTCGCTGCTCTCTATCGTGTGGTCAGGAATGTGGAGCTTTCCTGACAGAGGCCATTTCTGTCTGGAACCGCTTCTGTCCGAGGATCACGTCCTCTGGAGTGGGGCTGGGTTGGCTGAATGGGGACAGATTTGTCCCCTTGGTCACCCTGCAGCCCCTCCTCTCCCTGCTGCAGCAGCTCCCGGGGCTGCCTCTCGCTTGGGGTTGCTCCCAGGGGTTTGCTGGGTGCTGCCGGTTCTCGCCGAGGAGCTCCCTCCTGTCTCAGGTTGTCTGCCCACGGCTGGAGCCCGGCTGCAGCAGCCGAGCCCCTTCCCGCAGGGCTGGGAGGGACGGGGAGCAGGGACAGGGAGAACTGGCCTGGGGAGGTGCTGAGGAGCTGCAGGTCCTGGGCTCTCCTGGAGCTCCCATTCCTCAGGGAAGCAGGGCTGGTCCCAGGGCACTGAGGTGCAGAAGGATTGACCTGGCTGAGCTTCCCCCCCGCCATCGCTGCGCTCCCACAGGAGAAGGGATGGGGTCCCATAGGAGATGCTGCAAGAAGCAAACACCCCTTGGGCAGGCAGAGGATGGGGCTCTGCGGTGTCACCCTGCAGCAGAGAAGCCCATCGGGAGCTGGGGAGTGAGTCAGGCACCGGCTCCGGGGTGGCTTCCCCGCGGTGTCTGGGGTGGGGAGCAAACAGGATGAACTGGCTGGGACCTGTGATCTTCTCTCAGCCCCATGCAAGCTCCAGGCTCCATCCCCACCTCCTGAGACGCTTTTACGCCCACAGACGGCACCGGGATTAAGAGCCTGGTCTGCAGGAGAGGGACGTACCCTGGATGCTGCAGCCGAACCCTGCTCGTGGGCTCTGCACTCGGAGAGATGAACCCCCGGCTGCCCTACGTGCTGCTGCTGGGGGCTGCGGTGGTGATCTTGGCTCTGTCCTGCGTGCTGCTGAGCAGGGGCAGGCGATCCCCTGGCTGTGAATCCCAGCCCCGCACCGAGGAGGAGACGGGAGCCAGGAGCCAGAGCCTGGTCTTTGCGGACCTGACCCCCGCCGAGCTGGCCCAAGTGGTGCGGTACCTGCAGGGACACCTGGGGCTGCGGCTGGTGGACGCCGCGCGGGCAAAGCCCTCCGACAACTGCATCGCCTCCGTGGAGCTGCAGGTCCCGGCCAAGGCAGAGGCGCTGCGGTTCCTGGACGGGGCGGGGGCTCGTCCCCCCCGCGAGGCGCTGGCTGTGCTCTACTTTGGGGAGCAGGCAGAGCCCAACGTCACCGAGTACGTGGTGGGGCCGCTGCCGGCGCCGGTGTATCACCGGGACGTGACGGTGCGCAGGTACGGGGGGAAGGTGCCGTACCACCGCAGACCGATGCTGGGCAGTGAGTATGAGCAAGTGGGAGCTTTCTTGAAGACGGCGGCGTTTGCAGCAGCGCCGACCTTCCTGAAGGAAGTCCTCGAGTACGACAGCACCAATGTGGTGTTTGAGAGCGCAGCCCCTCACGGGTTCCAGTCTGGAGACCGCAAGTCCTGGTTCGCCTTGTTCCAGAACGTGAGCGGGTTCTTCGTGCACCCGGTGGGGCTGGAGGTGCTGGTTGACCACAGCAGCCTGGACATCTCCCAGTGGGCGGTGAGCAGGGTCTTCTACAACGGGCAGTACTACAGGGACATGGTGCAGCTGGAGAGCGCCTACGTGCAGGGTCGCATCAGCGTGGAGAAGGTGAGGAGAGCGCCGCGGGACGGGGACTTCTCGTCCATGAAGCCGCGAGCGCCTTGGGCCGCGCTGTTCCCTTTGCAGTACGAGCCGCAGGGTCCCCGCTACAGCGTCAGGAACAACCACGTCCTCTACCAGGCGTGGAGCTTTGCCTTTGGGATGAGCGCGAGCACGGGGCTGCGCCTCTTTGACATCCGACACAAGGGGGAGAGGGTTGCCTATGAAATCAGCGTCCAAGAGGCAATGTCCGTGTACGGCTCCAACTGCCCCGCAGGGATGTCCACGAGGTACATGGACAGGAGCTTTGGCATCGGGCACTACACCTCCCCCTTGGTGCGAGGGGTCGACTGCCCCTATTTAGCCACGTACCTGGATGTGCACTTCCTGGCCCATTCTCAGGTCCCCCAAAGCACTAAAGGTGCCATCTGCATCTTCGAGCAGAACCTGGGCTCCCCGCTCAGGCGCCACTACTCCAACCTGCAGTCGCTGTACTACGGGGGGCTGGTCAACTCTGCCCTGGTCCTTCGGTCCATTGCCACCGTGGGCAACTACGACTACGTCTGGGACTTCATCTTCTACCAGAACGGGGCCATTGAAGGCAAGGTCCAGGCCACGGGGTACGCGAGCTCATCCTTCCTCCATGGGGATGGCCTGCAATACGGCAATAGGGTTTGGGAGCACACGCTGGGTACCATACACACCCATTTCATCAACTATAAGGTGGACTTGGATGTGGGAGGTAGGTCTGGGTCTTCCTTTACTGCCTGCCGTTATCCTGGTAAACCCCAATGCCCTGGGGGGTTGCCTCTTGTCTGCTGAGCCCCTCATAAGTAACATCTGAACTCTGCTTTTCCACTCTCCCAAGCTCTGCTTTCACTGCAAAGTCATTCCTATGCATGGAGCAGCCTGCTGAGGTGATGGAGGCAGTGGGAATTGGCTGGGAGCTGCGTGTCCAGGCCAAGGAAAGTATGAAGGTAGCAGCTGTAAAATGTTTGTGTTTCCTGGAGGCCTCCGCCTGGCACGGGGCTCATTGCCATAGGCCCGGCCCCGTCTGCAGGGCTGGAGGTGGGAACCGGCTCTTTGGTGCCTGATGCTGCTCCCGCTGCTCTGGTAACGTGGGGGAGTCCGTTTTGTACCCTGACTGCCCAGCGTGAGCCTGGCAGCAGGACCGGTGCCCTGTGGGGCTGTGCTCGTGCAGCTCCGTCCTGCTCCTCCTGCGGGGGAGCACCGGGAGGCTGCATCCCAAGCCCCCGGCTGCGGGGCTGCCACAGTGAGCCAGCGAATTCCCTTTGCTCCTGCTCCAAGCCCTGGGTTTTGGCTGCGGATCCCTGCGGAGCTCTGTGAGTGCAGAGCAGCCCCTTGCTGCTGGCTGCCCTGCCAGCCTCCAAGGGCTCTGCTTCCCCTTAAAGGCCATTGCAGCGGTTGCAGGCTCGGGAGGTGCGAGGGCAGCGCTGGTGGTGTTTGGTGCTCCTGTGAAACGCAGGGGGAAGAATGTTCAGCATCTGCACGGGAGCAGAGGCTGCGGCTGCAGCAGAGCGAGGGGAAATGCAGCCCCAGTGACTGCTGCTGCATGCGGGAGTGATGTGCATCCAGTGCAGCTGCTCCAGCGGCCTCTCTGGTACCCGCTGTGGTGCCGTGGTTTGTGTGGCCTTGGAAAGTGCCGCTGCCGTCGTTACAGCCAGGAGCAGGCTGGGTGCTGGTTCCCTCCCTGTGAGTGAGGCACGGAGATGTGCTAAGACCCAGTTCCTGCCTGGTGCCGATGCTCAGCTCCCTGCTCTGCTTCCAGCCCCGGAGCCCCTGCTGCTGCAAACTGCTCTTGAGAAGAGCAGTGTGAGAGCCCAGACCCATTCCCCAGCCAGGGAGGGGAGCCCTTTCCCAGCAGCGGGGCTCAGCAAAACTGCAGCACAGCAACAACGGGGCATGTCCCACAGGGGCTGCTTGCATCCTCATCCGAGGCTGCTGTGGGACCTACAGGGGAAAAGGGCGAGGATGGAAGTGAGAATGAAAACTGAAGCTCCTGAATTAACATGATCCCAAGCGTGCTGAGTTGATCCAGTGGTTGCAGCCTCAGCCCAACCCTCCCATCTGTGCCTCAGACTGTCCCCACCAGCAGGCAGTGACATGGACCACGCTCCTGTGCTCCGTCCTTGGCTCTGATGGAGCATCGCTGCCGCCTCGCACGGGGCCACAGTGGGAGCAGGCTTGCAGAAACTGGTGCCAGTGCAGGAGCAGGCTCCTCACGCTGCAGCGGGGTGGCCCTGACCCCTGCTCGCTGCTCTCTATTGTGTGGTCAGGAATGTGGAGGTTTCCTGACAGAAGCCATTTCTCTATGGGACCGCTTCTGTCTGAGGATCGCGTCCTCTGGAGTGGGGCTGGGTTGGCTGAATGGGGACAGATTTGTCCCCTTGGTCACCCTGAAGGCCCTGCTGTCCCTGCTGCAGCAGCTCCTGGTGCTGCCTCTCGCTTGGGGTTGCTCCCAGGGGTTTGCTGGGTGCTGCCGGTTCTCGCCGAGGAGCTCCCTCCTGTCTCAGGTTGTCTGCCCACGGCTGGAGCCAGGCTGCAGCAGCCGAGCCCCTTCCCGCAGGGCTGGGAGGGACGGGGAGCAGGGACAGGGAGAACTGGCCTGGGGAGGTGCTGAGGAGCTGCAGGTCCTGGGCTCTCCTGGAGCTCCCATTCCTCAGGGAAGCAGGGCTGGTCCCAGGGCACTGAGGTGCAGAAGGATTGACCTGGCTGAGCTTCCCCCCGGCATCGCTGCGCTCCCACAGGAGAAGGGATGGGGTCCCATAGGAGATGCTGCAAGAAGCAAATACCCCTTGGGCAGGCAGAGGATGGGGCTCTGCGGTGTCACCCTGCAGCAGAGAAGCCCATCGGGAGCTGGGGAGTGAGTCAGGCACCGGCTCCGGGGTGGCTTCCCCGCGGTGTCTGGGGTGGGGAGCAAACAGGATGAACTGGCTGGGACCTGTGATCTCCTCTCAGCCCCATGCAAGCTCCAGGCTCCATCCCCACCTCCTGAGACGCTTTTACGCCCACAGACGGCACCGGGATTAAGAGCCTGGTCTGCAGGAGAGGGACGTACCCTGGATGCTGCAGCCGAACCCTGCTCGTGGGCTCTGCACTCGGAGAGATGAACCCCCGGCTGCCCTACGTGCTGCTGCTGGGGGCTGCGGTGGTGATCTTGGCTCTGTCCTGCGTGCTGCTGAGCAGGGGCAGGCGATCCCCTGGCTGTGAATCCCAGCCCCGCACCGAGGAGGAGACGGGAGCCAGGAGCCAGAGCCTGGTCTTTGCGGACCTGACCCCCGCCGAGCTGGCCCAAGTGGTGCGGTACCTGCAGGGACACCTGGGGCTGCGGCTGGTGGACGCCGCGCGGGCAAAGCCCTCCGACAACTGCATCGCCTCCGTGGAGCTGCAGGTCCCGGCCAAGGCAGAGGCGCTGCGGTTCCTGGACGGGGCGGGGGCTCGTCCCCCCCGCGAGGCGCTGGCTGTGCTCTACTTTGGGGAGCAGGCAGAGCCCAACGTCACCGAGTACGTGGTGGGGCCGCTGCCGGCGCCGGTGTATCACCGGGACGTGACGGTGCGCAGGTACGGGGGGAAGGTGCCGTACCACCGCAGACCGATGCTGGGCAGTGAGTATGAGCAAGTGGGAGCTTTCTTGAAGACGGCGGCGTTTGCAGCAGCGCCGACCTTCCTGAAGGAAGTCCTCGAGTACGACAGCACCAATGTGGTGTTTGAGAGCACAGCCCCTCACGGGTTCCAGTCTGGAGACCGCAAGTCCTGGTTCGCCTTGTTCCAGAACGTGAGCGGGTTCTTCGTGCACCCGGTGGGGCTGGAGGTGCTGGTTGACCACAGCAGCCTGGACATCTCCCAGTGGGCGGTGAGCAGGGTCTTCTACAACGGGCAGTACTACAGGGACATGGTGCAGCTGGAGAGCGCCTACGTGCAGGGTCGCATCAGCGTGGAGAAGGTGAGGAGAGCGCCGCGGGACGGGGACTTCTCGTCCATGAAGCCGCGAGCGCCTTGGGCCGCGCTGTTCCCTTTGCAGTACGAGCCGCAGGGTCCCCGCTACAGCGTCAGGAACAACCACGTCCTCTACCAGGCGTGGAGCTTTGCCTTTGGGATGAGCGCGAGCACGGGGCTGCGCCTCTTTGACATCCGACACAAGGGGGAGAGGGTTGCCTATGAAATCAGCGTCCAAGAGGCAATGTCCGTGTACGGCTCCAACTGCCCCGCAGGGATGTCCACGAGGTACATGGACGGGAGCTTTGGCATCGGGCGCTACACCTCCCCCTTGGTGCGAGGGGTCGACTGCCCCTACTCAGCCACCTACATCGACACACACTCTCTGTCCGAGACCCTGGTGCCCAGCAAGAGAAAGGCCTCTCTCTGCATCTTCGAGCAGAACCTGGGCTCCCCGCTCAGGCGCCACTACTCCAACCTGCAGTCGCTGTACTACGGGGGGCTGGTCAACTCTGCCCTGGTCCTTCGGTCCATTGCCACCGTGGGCAACCATGACTACGTCTGGGACTTCATCTTCTACCAGAGTGGGGCCATTGAAGGCAAGGTCCAGGCTACAGGGTACACAAGCTCATCCTTCCTCCATGGGGATGGCCTGCGATACGGCAATAGGGTTTGGGACCGCACACTGGGGACGATACGCACCCATTTCATCAACTATAAGGTGGACTTGGATGTGGGAGGTAGGTCTGGGTCTTTTCTCTCCTATGTGGCATCTCTGAATACTTTTAGACCCCTAAAACTTGACGGTTTTGGTCCTTACACAGACTTCTCTTTCCATGTGGATGGGGGGGTGTGCTCCCACAGACCTGCCTCCCTTCGGTTCTTAGAGCAATGAAAAGCTGCTGCGATGCAGGGGTGCTTCCCCCTCTGTCCATTGCAGTCACCCCTCGGTGCTGTGCAGATGCCTTCATGCCCGTGCTGGGTCCTTCCCCTCCTGGCCATGCACAGCCCCTGCCCCTGTCCCAAGCCCCACATGATGGCAGTCAGGGTTGATCAAGCTGTTCTGTGGGTTCATTCCTGCTTCCTGGAGCTGCCTTGGGCTGTTTCTGCTGCTGGTGTGCGCTGGGGCACAGGGGCAGGCACTGAGCATGCGGCTCCTGCTCAGAGCAGCAGCTCCGGTTTGCTTTGTCTTTGCCATCTTGTCCCTGGCTTCGTTTGCTCCTGAGCTGCTCCCGTTGCTCTGAACCTCTCGCCCATCCCTTTTCTCTCTGGGAGGACCTGAACTGTGCAGCAGTGCTCCAGTTCTGTGATGTGCAAATGCGCTCCGAGCCTGGGCTCTTCCTGGTGCTTTCCAGCTCCCAGGGCTCATGCTGATGAGCACAAACACAGTGCCTGGATCATCAGGTGCTCGACTTAATTAGAGTCTGCTTGCATTGGGAAGCAAACCTGTTCTTCTGCACTGGGATGGGGCTCTCCTCTGTCTCTCACAGAGGGGGAGAGTCCCCATGGGTGGTAGCGTTGCCTTGGTCAGACAAAGCTAGAGCCATATGTAAGTGCACACAGCATCATGGAGCACTGTAACTGCTGTCACACGCAGGAGCTGTGCTCAGAGCCTGGGCTGCAGGTAGTGAGGATGGGGAGATGTCCACAGGGAACAGGGGACTGCAGGGATGCTCCTCAATGACTTTGCTTCTGCTTCACAGGGGTGAAGAACTCCCTGGTGGCCCACGACATGGCCTTCGAGATGGTGCGGGCTCCCTGGAACCCAGAGCAGCAGATAGAGCGGCCACGGCTCACCAAGCAAGTCCTGGACACAGAGGACCAGGCTGCCTTCCGGCTCCAGGCAAAGATGCCCAGATACATCTACTTCGCAGCCAACAGCAAGAACAAGTGGGGCCACCAGCGTGGCTACAGGATCCAGGTCACCAGTTCTGCAGGGGACCATGTCCCCGAAGCCAGCCCCATGGAGAGGGCCATCAGCTGGGCAAGGTCAGGCTGCTCTGACTGGGGCAGCAGGCTCTTGGAGATGCCCCCAGCCCCACTGTGTGGGAAGGGTGTTCCCTGGTGGGGAGGAACAGGGAAAGTGCTCTCCTGGGCTGGGGTTGCCCCATGGGAGCAGGGGGTGGGTTTAGCTCTGCCCTGTCCCAGGGCGCTGCTCCCATCTCTTGTCTTCTCCTCAGGTACCAGTTGGCCGTCACCCGCCGGAAGGAGGAGGAGCCCACCAGCACCAGCATCTACAACCAGAACGACCCCTGGACGCCCACCGTTGCCTTCGCTGACTTCATCAACAATGAGACCATCACCAATGAGGTGAGCCGGGCTCCCCTGGGCTGGAGCTGTGGTACCCAGCCCCAGAGCTGCCCCAGTGGGAGAGGAACAGCCCCGGGGAATGAGGGAAGCGGTTTGAGCATCCCCTTTGCTGTGTACCTGGTGCTTTGGTCGGAGCGCAGAGGTCATTGTGCAGAGCAGGAGCTTGTTTTTCCCTATGGAGAAATGCAGCAAAACAGGAAAATCCCTGTGGAGCCAGAGCTTGGCTGCAGAGCTCCGGGCAGGGCCCTTGCTGCCGGGTGGGCATCTACAGCCATGGCTGGGGACAGGTCTTTGGGAAGGGAGGGGATCTCTCCTTGGAGAGGGGAGCTCTCGGTGTGGGAGCAGCCAGGCTGGGTCCCCTCCTGCTCTCCTGGAGCTTTCCATGGCCCCTGGGCACGTTCTGGTCGTTGCTCTGCAGGGCTCTGCAGTAACCACGCTCTTGTGGCTCTTCCCTGCCAGGACCTGGTTGCCTGGATAACCGCTGGCTTCCTTCACATCCCGCACTCGGAGGACATCCCCAACACTGTGACAGTAGGAAACTCGGTGGGCTTTCTCCTGAGACCCTACAACTACTATGACCTGGACCCCTCCATCTACTCGCACGACGGGGTGTTCTTCACCAGTGAGCAGGATTTCACAGCCTGTGAAGTCAACCCCATCGCGTGCCTGCCCCAAACTGCTTCTTGTTTGCCAAACTTCCCCCCCTTCACCTATGATGGCTTCCAAAACATGAGCAGGCTTTAATGCCAGAGGACAGTGTTGGGGGCACAGAGGCCCCAGGCTGCCTGCTCTCTCTCACTGGTTCGGTGGAGTTGTCTCCATTGCCAGTTGTGCAACAACTTCACTTTTTACCATTGCTTTCAGATAGTGCTCTGTAAAAGGGAAGCATGGTCTTCCTGGCGTGGTGCTGCATGGGAGGTCTATGTGAGCTCTGCTACTTGCTGAATTTGAGTCTGTCGCAGAGGGAAAGCGAGGAGAAAGCCCTGTTCCTGTGCTCTAGAAGCAAGCGCTGTGTAGTGCCTGTCTCAGGTTAAGAGAATGAAAACGGTTCTGGTCCAGTGCTCTCTTCGAGTGTCTCATTCTTATGACTTACAGCAGTGTCTGCTGCAGGGATGCTGCGGGGTCTCTGCTGTGTTTCCTTAACCCACAGACCAGGCTCCGGGTGTCCGGGCATGGGACGGTCCAGGGATGGGCTGGGGAGTCCCAGGGCTCGGTGGGGACAGAGCCAGGACCCTTCTGGGACGCAGGTCCTGAGCTCTCACTGCGGGGTGCAGAGGGGACCATTGCAGGGAGGGGTCTCATGGGCCCCCCTGTGCAAACCACACAGACTTCATGAAGCCACACAGAGAGCCCAGTGCAAGGCTCGTGCTGCTGCTGTTTACCAGAGTGCTGAGTGGGTCCTGGAGCCCTCATCCCCCTCCTCACAGCCTTATCTATGCCAGCATCAGGAGGTGCTTTGGGGGGCACCAGCCACTGTCCTCTCCCTCCTTCCCAGCTGCAGGACCATGCATGGGGGGGCTGTCAGCAGTGTGCGGTGCTGCAGTGTCTGCACAGGCTGTGGAGGTGCTGCTGGTGATGGTGGGGCTGTGGCGCTGGGCTCAGCGCTGCTCTGCACAGAGGAGCATCGTCCTTGCGGTCCCCATTGCTGGCCTGGATGCTTGTGTCTGCAGGGTTAAGAGGAGGAAGTGCAGGGAGATAGATTTATTTCCCCCAAGTGACTGGATCTGTTCTGTGCAAGGTCTGCACTGGGACAAGGGGAGGAGAACAGACGCAGAAGCATTAAGTGTGCTTGAAATTATGACCCACTGGGGGAAGCAGAGGAAAGTTGCCTTTTATGGTCCCCAGCAAATCCTGGCCACATCTGAGAGCATCCCTCATGCGCAGCCCAATGGGCTGCTCCCTGTTGAGAGAACGGGGGATAAAACACAAACCCAACCAAACCCAGCCCCTTCTGGTCACTGGGGAGGTTCTGCAGCTGGGAGCTCGCTGTGCCAGACCGTGGGAGCGCCGAGCCTCAGCAGCCATGAACGTGAGAACCGCGCTCGTGCTCCTCGCTCTGGCTTTAGCCACCGTGTTGGCGCTGGTCTGTGTGCTGCTGACCAGGGGCAGGGCCCCCGCTGCCTGCCCGCACCAGCCCCCGGTGCAGGAGGACCCCGACGGCGGCCAGAGCCTGGTCTTTGCGGACCTGACCCCCGCCGAGCTGGCCCAAGTGGTGCGGTACCTGCAGGGACACCTGGGGCTGCGGCTGGTGGACGCCGCGCGGGCAAAGCCCTCCGACAACTGCATCGCCTCCGTGGAGCTGCAGGTCCCGGCCAAGGCAGAGGCGCTGCGGTTCCTGGACGGGGCGGGGGCTCGTCCCCCCCGCGAGGCGCTGGCTGTGCTCTACTTTGGGGAGCAGGCAGAGCCCAACGTCACCGAGTACGTGGTGGGGCCGCTGCCGGCGCCGGTGTATCACCGGGACGTGACGGTGCGCAGGTACGGGGGGAAGGTGCCGTACCACCGCAGACCCGTTACCGGTAAGGAGTACATGGATATCAACGTCCTCATCCGGACGGAGCTGCGAAAGGCTCCGCGATTCCTCGCTGCTTGCTGTGAGTCTGATGGGACCGACCTGGCCACCCTCACAACGGCCCCACGTGGCTTCAAGTCCGGTGACCGGGCGACCTGGTTTGTCCTCTTCCATAGCGTGGCTGGTTCTGGCCAATACCTCTTGCCGGTGGGGCTGGAGGTGCTGGTGGACCATGGGGATCTCGATGTCTCCCTCTGGCAGCTGCGCCGCATCTTCTATAACGGGCACTACTTTACCAGCATGGGGGATCTGGAGGAAGCGTTTGTGGCCAACTCGCTGGAGGTTGTCAGGGTCCAGAAGCCTCGGGCTGAATCAGTGCTGGGCTCAATGAGGCTTCGGCACCAGCCCGGCTCCCCGGGTCCGCTGCATTATGAGCCCCAGGGTCCCCGCTACAGCGTCGTGGCCAACCGCATCACCTTCCAGGGCTGGAGCATCACCTTCGGCATGAGCCCCAGCTCTGGCCCGCGCTTCTTTGACATCAGGTACCGTGGGGAGAGGATCGTCTATGAGCTGAGCCTCCAGGAAGCCTTAGCCCTGTACGGCTCCAACTGCCCCGGGGGCATGTCCACCCGCTACCTGGATGGGAGCTTTGGCATCGGCAGGTTTGCCTACGAGCTCGTCCGAGGCCTCGACTGCCCCTACACCGCCACCTTCGTGCACCAGCACTACCTGGTGGAGTCGGACACCCCCAAAACCAACCAGAACTCGCTGTGCGTTTTCGAGCACGACGCTGCTCTCCCCCTGCGGCGCCACTTCTCTGACTCGCACTCCTTGTACTACGGGGGGCTGCGGAAAACCGCGCTGGTCGTGCGCGCCATCTCCACCCTCATCAACTACGACTACATCTGGGACTTCATGTTCCACAGCAGCGGGGCCGTGGAGGTCCGCGTGCACGCCACCGGCTACATCAGCACCTCCTTCCTCCACGGCCAAGGCACCGACTACGGCAGCAGGGTTGGGCCCCACACGCTGGGGACGATGCACCTCCATCACATGCACTACAAGGTGGACCTGGATGTTGACGGTAGGTCTGGGGGCCTTTGCGTGTGGCTGCGGTTCGCTGCGGGCTGCGGTGCTGAGGGTTTTCCCTGCTGTTCCCCAGGGCAGCTGAACTCCCTGGAGACCCAGGACATGGGGTACAAGCTCATGAAGGAACCCTGGAGCATGCAGAACACCATTGAGCGGCTGCACCTCCGCAGGAAGAGGCTGGAGAGGGAGGATGAGGCGGCGTTCCCGCTCAATGCCCCCATGCCCCGCTACGTCTCCTTTGCCAGCCCCAATTCCAATAAGTGGGGGCATCCGCGCAGCTACCGGATCCAGATCACCAGCTTCGCTGGGGAGCACCTCCCCATCAGCAGCCCCATGGAGAGAGCCATCAGCTGGGGCAGGTGGGTCCAGGGTTGGACACCGGGTCCCACTGGTGCCAGGCTGCAGGAAAGGGGTAAACCCCAAACACGCAGTTTTTGGCTCTGAAAATCCCTGGAAAAGCTGCTCAATGCCATCTGCTTGCAGCAGTTCACAGGCACGAATCTGACCCTAGATAAGGTTAATTTAGAGCAATTGCATGCACCAGCCCCTTCCTTTCCCCTCCCTGATGCAGGCCAGAGCTGGTGCCCCGGCACACACCAGGGATGCGCTCAGCCCCTGTGCATCCCCAGGCGGTGGTGCCCAGCATCGCATGGGTGAGCCCCTCTGCTCCCTGCGCAGGTACCAGTTGGCCGTCACCCGTCGGAAGGAGGAGGAGCCCAGCAGCACCAGCATCTACAACCAGAACGACCCCTGGACGCCCACCGTTGCCTTCGCCGACTTCATCAACAACGAGACCATCACCAACGAGGTGAGCCGGGGTCCCCTGCACCAGGGGATCCCAATGCTGTGGGTGCAGCCCCTGTTCCTGCCCCATGTGTCCCGCAGGCAGCCTGGGTGGGTGATGGGCTGAAAGGGGTTCCCTGGGGCTGACGGGGTGCCCGGCTTCCCTCCTACCCAGGACCTGGTTGCCTGGATCTCAGTGGGGTTCCTGCACGTCCCCCATGCTGAGGACATCCCCAACACGGTGACCGTGGGGAACGGCGTCGGCTTCTTCCTGAGGCCCTACAACTACTTCGATGAGGACCCCTCGGTGGACTCACCCGATGGCGTCTACTTCAACAGCGAGCAGGACCCCGGGACGTGCGGAGCCAACCCGCTGGCCTGCCCGCCCCCAGCCTGTGCCCCCCATCTGCCCCCCTTCCGATACGGGGGGTTCCTCAACCTCAGCCTGGCCCCGCTGCCTGGTGCACTCTGATGGGGAAGGGGCTGCTGCTGCCCAGCCCCTTGGTGTATGGGGTCCTTGGAGGGGGTCCTGGACTGCCCTCCCCGTGTCTGGGATGCTGCACGCTCAGGCTGAGCCCAGTTCTTGGTTCAGCCCCACAGCCTCTAAAGGACAGCCCCAGGGAGTGACCTCTCATAGACTGCATCCAGGATGCCACCCAAAATGCTGTGGGCTGCCCCCAGCTGCTCTCCTCTTCCAGGACCGGGGCTCCTGCTGCTCCCCAAGGTACGTCACTGCACAGAGGGCGATGGTGCTGGCCAGGGCTGGGCACTGCCCAGAGCTGCAGCTCCCCTTGGAGCCGTGGTCCAGCAGCATCGGGATACCCAAAACGTCCACCCCGGCCCCATGGATGTGCAGCTCCGGGGCTGATGCTGAGCTGCGGCTGCTGCGGCGGTGCCAGGCTCTGGGGACAGGGACAGTGCGCTGAGAGCCTGCAGGACAAGGACCATGGGGCGGGCGCTGCCCCGTGTCCACCCTTCCCCAATAAACAGGCACGTGGGTGCTTTCTCTGACCAAACCAATGTGGAGCTCATGGGTCCTGTGGCTGGAGGCCAGAGCCCAGCGCTGCTGCAGGCACTGGTGCCTGTAACGGGGGGTCCTGGCTCAGCTCTGGGGTGCTCCCGGGGTCCAAGGGCCATGGGGCAGTGCCTGGCAGCGGCCGTGCTCTTGGACCCGGGGTGTTGGCTGGAGCTTCCTGCCGGGGACAAACAAGGGAGTTAATGAGTAACGGCCGGTCCGAGGTGCATCAATCGGCTCTGGCCTTGGCTGCTGCCCAGTGAGCTCAGCCCCCGCCAGCACGGGGACCCTTGCTCCTGCACCCCCCACCGAATTCCACACTGTCCAAACCTCACCCTCGCTCTACCGGGCTGGGCTGGGGACACCGAGGAGCTTGGCGAGGGTCACTCAGCTCCAGCCTCATGTGGCTGCAGGTGCCAAGTGCTGGTCAATGTGTCCCTGGGGGGGCATGGTGGGCATCCATCCCCTCTGCCCCCTTGCTGTGGGAGCTGGGTCTGCCCAGGGCGAAGGTGTGATGGGCTCGAGCAGCCCTGAGCATCCCCTTGGAGCCGGCCTGGCTCGCTGCAGCGCAGGGAAGGATGCTGTGCAGCACAGGGAAGGATGCTGTGCAGCGCAGGGAAGGATGCTGTGCAGCGCAGGGAAGGATGCTGTGCAGCGCAGGGAAGGATGCTGTGCAGCTCAGGGAAGGATGCTGTGCAGCGCAGGGAAGGATGGGAAGGATGCTGTGCAGTGCAGGGAAGGATGCCGTGCAGCGCAGGGAAGGATGCCGTGCAGCGCAGGGAAGGATGCTGTGCAGTGCAGGGAAGGATGCTGTGCAGCTCAGGGAAGGATGCTCTGCAGCGCAGGGAAGGATGCTGTGCAGCGCAGGGAAGGATGCTGTGCAGCTCAGGGAAGGATGCTCTGCAGCGCAGGGAAGGATGCTGTGCAGCGCAGGGAAGGATGCTGTGCAGCGCAGGGAAGGATGCTGTGCAGCGCAGGGAAGGATGCTGTGCAGCTCAGGGAAGGATGCTGTGCAGCTCAGGGAAGGATGCTGTGCAGCTCAGGGAAGGATGCTGTGCAGCGCAGGGAAGGATGCTGTGCAGCTCAGGGAAGGATGCTGTGCAGCTCAGGGAACGATGTTGTGCAGCGCAGGGAAGGATGCAGTGCAGTGCAGCGCAGGGAAGGATGCAGTGCAGCGGAAGGAAGGATGCTGTGCAGCGCAGGGAAGGATGCGGTGCAGCGCAGGGAAGGATGCAGTGCAGTGCAGCGCAGGGAAGGATGCAGTGCAGTGCAGGGCATGGATTGGCACGAGGCCCTGGTGTGTCCTGAGGTGACAGCAGGAGGACCGTAGTGGAGCATGCGGGATGCTCCCTGCTGCGGCTCCCTGCCTGCCACTGCGTGCCCAGGTGCTTGCGGTGCTGCCTGGACTCTGCCCGCACGCTGACGCAGGCAGGACCGGGCAGTTCCATGCTGCAGCGACCCAGCTTGCTCCCTGCTGCTGCCACGGGCTGGGAATGTTCTGGATGGAGCAGTGGCCCCGTGTGCAGCACAATGCATTGGAGCTCCCCCATGCACAGCATCGCCTGCAGTTGCAGCCGGTGCCTTGGGAGTCGTGCGGACACCGTGCCCCAGAGGCAGCTGCGCACAGCTCCGGGTGCTGAGCCTGATCCAAAGCTGGCTGCACACAGAGCCCAGCACTGGGATAAAGCACCCGCAGCCTGGCCCTGCTCCTCCATGGGAAAGCTGGGGCCAGTCTGGGGCCAGGGATCTACCTGGAGAGCAGGGCACTGGGAAGCAGCACTCACAGCCTGGCCTCTCCCTGCCGTGGCCCCAGTTTTCCTGCAGGGATTCTATCCAAGGGTTTGCTAATCCCCATCCCCCAGCACCTTTTGCCCTCATTTTCCTCTGTGAAATCTCCCAGGGAGAATTTATTGCTGACTGTTTCCACACGTTCTGGATGCGGAAGCCAAGGCTGCCGCATTCCTTCGCGCTGGGTTGGAGACCCTGGAACGAGCTGATGGGGAGTGTGTTTCGCAAGAGTAATTCCATTTCCGTGCAACCTTCAGCATCGTTGGGGTTCTGTGCCCGTACCCCAGGCAGGGAGGTTGGCAGTGGTTGTGCCTGTTTAGTCCCTGTGTTTCCCTGGGTTTTGTGCAGGCCAAGGGGGCAGGATGCTGCCCGCAGCAGCACAGAGCCTGGGCACGACCTCTGCCTGCTCCATGCCGTGGCAGACAGCACATGGGCAGCGGTTCAAGGATCTTGACCTGAACTTCCCGAGGAGGGGAGATAAGTGATGTATTTTCACTGGCTGCTAATCATTAACGCCTCTTGCCTGTCCCGCAAGCACCGGCAGCCGCCTCTTCCACTGCGTGGGGCTCTGCTGGGGCACCCTGTGCATGGGGCTGCCATGGGGCTGCCATGGGGCTGCCATGGGGCTGCAGGTCCATGCCCCAGCAGGGTTCTCTGGCCAGGCTGATGCTGAGTGCTCAGGCTCCTGGAACAGCTCCATGCCCCTCATTCACCACCACCTCCCGGGGATGCTGCTCCCCAGGGTGATGGAGCTGCGGTGCCAGCACTGCTGCAGCAGCAGCACCGCTGGGATGAGTGATGTGTTCAGCTCCATCCCTGCAGGCAGGGCACTTGTGCAGGAGGGGGTTAACCCAGGGGATCTGTGCTGGGGGGAATGCCTTCCCTTGTTTGCGGGTTAAGGACCCTTCCTTGCACCCTGTAACCCCACACCAGAGACCAGAACAACGTCTCTGGCAGCCAGGAAAGCTCCCATGACACCCAAGCAGCTTGGCGTGGCAGCATCAGCTGGAGGCACCCGGCCCTCCATTCCCCGCTCCTGGGCATCCCTGCAATGCTCTGGTGGTGCTGGGCTGATGGCAGAGGGATGGGGCATGCACCACAGCTCTGGCACAGGCAGCTGCATCTCCTCCCTGATAACAGCGAGCGCTGCGGTTCAGTGGGAGCAGCCGAGCCGGGTGCCAGGAAGGGCAGGAGCTGCAGGGGCCCCGGGTGAGGCAGCCACCAGTACTCTGCAGGGAGGGCACGGTGTGGGAAGGGGTTAAGGTGCTGGTGCCGGAGCACCCCGCGCTCCACGCGCCCCGGAGCCTGTTTTGACGTAAGCTGTTCCAAACATGTTTGTAACAACCCCTCGGTGATGCACCTTTGGCAAAAGTGGTTTTGGGTCCAAAGATCAGCGCTGGGACAAGCAACCTGCCCGCAGCAAACACGACCCTGAGCAGTATAAAACGCCTGCTGTGTGGGACAGCCCGAGCCACGCAGGAGGATGGAATCCAGCATGAACGTCCTGCACGATGCAGGCATCCAGGCCACACACTGGCTGCAGGAGCACTTCCGCGGCTCCCAGGACTTGTTCCTCTTCATCTCCTTCGCTGCCGACCTCAGGAACGCTTTCTTTGTCCTCTTCCCTATCTGGTTCCACTCCGACGAGGCCGTGGGCATCAGGCTCATCTGGGTGGCCGTGATCGGCGACTGGCTCAACCTCGTCTTCAAGTGGTGAGTGGCCCCGTGCCACAGCTCCCTCCACACGTGCTGCCACAGCTGGAGCAGTGAGGGCCAGATGTGCACCCTCAGCCTTGACATGGGTATAAACCAAACCAAAGAGGTCATGCCCCAGCCTGGCAGTGGGCTCTGGTACCCATGGGTACCATCCCTGCAGCAGCCTTTCAGCATCCCCAGCTTCTGGGGCTGCACCCCGTGTCCCTGCAGCAGGACCCAGTTCTGTGCCTTCCTGCAGCTCAAATCCCCCTGGAGGCCTGTGCTTGCCTGCAGGTGTGACAGGGATGGGTGGCCTCTGCCTTTGATGCCACCACAAAACAGCTGCTTTTGGCCTGAAAAAGACTGAAGGGGAGCAGACACCACTCTTGTTTCTCAGCTCGTTGTCTTGCTCCCCCCTTTCAGGGGCCAGGGATGGGCAGAGCACAGGCACCATTTGCTATTGGGACCAAGCAATCAGCTGCATGTTGTGTCTGTTGGGACACCCTGGACCGTTCCATGGGTCCTTTGCCTCTTCCAGCTCCCAGGCCAGAGTGGAACCCGCAGCTGTGCCACCAGCTCTGCTGCCCAGGACCCCTACAGCCCCTGCTCTTCTTTCTTTGCAGGATCCTCTTTGGGGAAAGACCATACTGGTGGGTCCATGAGACGGATTATTACAGCAACGCCTCTGCCCCAGCCATCCAGCAGTTCCCACTCACCTGCGAGACCGGCCCTGGTGGGTTCCTGCAAGGGGCAGTGGGTGCTTGCCCAGGGCCCTGCACATGCACCCCGTGGGGATGGAGGTGGTGGCATGGCCATGGCTGCAGATGCTGCCCACTGTAACCCTGCCTGGCTCCAAGGGGAGGGCTGGAACCGCTGCCGGTGGAGGCAGGACAGCCCCTGCGTGGAGCAGACCTTGACCCCGCTGCAGACGTGGCGGTTCAGCACCAAGCCCTGCCTGTGCTCGGCTGCAGCCCTGTGCCAGGGCCATGCTCGGCTCCAGCCCTGTGCCAGGGCCATGCTCGGCTCCAGCTCTGTGCCAGGACCATGCTTGGCTGCAGCCCTGTGCCAGGACCATGCTCGGCTGCAGCCCTGTGCCAGGGCCGTGCTCAGCTCCAGCCCTGTGCCAGGGCCATGCTTGGCTGCAGCCCTGTGCCAGGACCATGCTCGGCTGCAGCCCTGTGCCAGGACCATGCTCGGCTGCAGCCCTGTGCCAGGGCCATGCTCAGCTCCAGCCCTGTGCCAGGACCATGCTCTGCTCCAGCCCTGTGCCAGGGCCATGCTCGGCTGCAGCCCTGTGCCAGGACCATGCTCTGCTCCAGCCCTGTGCCAGGGCCATGCTCGGCTGCAGCCCTGTGCCAGGACCATGCTCTGCTCCAGCCCTGTGCCAGGACCATTCTCGGCTGCAGCCCTGTGCCAGGACCGTGCTCTGCTCCAGCCCCACTCCCTGGCAGCCGCTCAGTGGGCTCCAGAGCAGCAGCTGCAGGGAGGTTGGTGCTGGGCACCATGCGGTCGGTGCCCTCTATGGGGGTCTGATGTGGGGCTCTCTTTGCACTCAGGGAGCCCCTCCGGACACGCCATGGGTGCAGCAGGTGTGTATTATGTCATGGTGACGGCGCTCCTCTCCGCTGCCATGGGGAAGAAGCAGTTGAAGACACCCAGATACTGGTGAGCCACAGGCTGCAAGTCCCTGTGGTGGGCAGGGGCTGCTCCAGAGCCAGGCGGGCACAGGGCTGGGGGCAGACCCGGGCAGTGCAAGTGAGCCCTGGGACTGCCATGGGTGCCTGCCCCTTGCAGGGTGCTGTGGACGGTGCTGTGGATGGGGTTCTGGGCAGTGCAGGTCTGTGTCTGCCTGTCCCGAGTCTTCATTGCTGCCCACTTCCCCCACCAGGTCATCGCAGGGGTTATCTCAGGTGAGTGCATCTCACCCCATCCCCTTCCCCACAGCACCGGGCAGGAACGGTGCCTGAGAGATGCATGTGAGGTGTTGATGCAAAGCTGCCTCTGTGGCTTTGCAGTCACTGCCCTCCTCCACATGGGCAGGATGCCCTCCAGGCTGTGCCTTTGTCCCTGTCCCATCTGAGGCAGGAGTCCCAGTGGGGTGGGCAGGGCACTGCTGGGCTCTGAGGGACCACAAACATGGGTGTGAAAGGGCCATTACTGTGTGAGGGACAGCGCCAGTCCCTGTGAGCAGCAGTGACCACTGTGTGGGAGCACTGGGGAGCCCCAGCAACGTGTCCCCCGCTCAGCCCAGCACCCTGAGGAGCAGGGATGGAGCAGGGATCCCTCACTGATGGGCGCTGCCTCCTCTCCTGCTTCCTTACCGTCAGGGATGGCCGTGGCCAAGAGCTTCCAGCACGTCCGCTGCATCTACCATGCCAGCCTCCACCGCTACGTGGGCATCACCTTCTTCCTCTTCAGCTTCGCCCTGGGCTTCTACCTGCTGCTGCGGGCGGTCGGCGTGGACCTGCTCTGGACACTGGAGAAGGCACAGAAGTGGTGCAAGCGCCCTGAGTGGGTCCACATTGACACCACCCCCTTCGCCAGCCTCCTCCGTAACCTGGGCATCCTCTTTGGGCTGGGGCTGGCCCTCAACTCCCACATGTACCTGGAGAGCTGCCGGGGGAAGCAGGGCCAGCAGCTGCCGTTCCGCCTGGGCTGCGCTGCTGCCTCCCTCCTCATCCTGCACCTCTTTGATGCCTTCAAGCTGCCCTCCCACATGCAGCTGCTCTTCTACGTCCTCTCGTTCTGCAAGAGCGCAGCCGTGCCGCTGGCCACTGTCGGCCTCATCCCCTACTGCATCTCCCAGCTCCTGGCCACGCGGGACAAGAAGGCTGCATAGGAACGGCCCTGCAGGTAACGGGGCTCAGGGGCAGTCACAGACTGTGGGTGCACCCAGCACTGTTTGCTCCCCTCTAAGCCTGCACAGACTGATTGAGGACAGTGAAGGTGCTGCCCGGCGGCTCCTGCATGGACCCATAGCACTGGGCACGGTGTAGGCTCGGGTGGTCTGTGGCCAGTGATGGCCCAGTGAGCCCAGTGCTCTCCTGCCGCCCTCCTCACACCCAGGACCTGGTGCAGCACGGGGACAAGGCTGTGCTCCCCTGCAGCTCATGGGGCCGTGCCACGTCCATGCTGCAGGGCTGGAGACGGCAGCACCGGGAGCAGGGTGCTCGCCCATGGGTGCTCAGGGGCTGCTGGTGAGGCAGCTGTAACAGGAACAGGCAGATGCTGTGATTGGGAGACAAAGCACTGGCTTACACCCAGGGATGCACATCTGCACACACATGTATCTGGGAGCAAGAGGGGTATTATTAAAGCTGAAGGTGTGTTTAGCTGCTGAGTGTGCCCGTATTGCTGGCTGCTGAGTGGGATGGGTGCCTGGCTCCAGGGCACAGGGATGAGGTGGGACTGCTGCTGGTGTTGACAGAAGGATTAAACCACTGGGGAAGGCAGTGCTGGGCTTCCCCAGTCCTCATCGCTGTTCAGCCCCCCGGTGCAGTCAGATGCAGGCAGCACAGTGGGAAGGGATGAGCTGCTTTTTGTGCTGTTTAGCCCGGGTTTCTGGGTACAGGCACAGGGATGTGCTTGTGTCACCTCACTGCTTATGGAAACAAGCACAGCTTTGGGACCGAGCGGCTCAGCTGGGGCTGTGCTGAGCCCCAGGGCTGTGGGGCAGGGCTGGCTCAGCCCCTGGATACTGTACACACAGTGTCCATCTCCCCCAAAGCACCAGCTCCTGCAGCCTTTACCCCATACCCACCTGTAAGCATCAACAGTGCTCTCTGCTGTGGCCCCTCTCCCCTGCCCAGAGCCTGCAGTGCCTTTGGGACGTGGTGCTCAGCAGAGCCCTGGTAACACCCATGGTCTTGCTGCAGCTTGGATCAGCCTTTACTGCACATGGCTGATGTGTGGAGGCTTTGCAGCCCTGGGCAGGCCTCCGATGGGAGCCCTCTGCCAAAACACCGAGAGCCACCAGGTGAGAGAGCACCTTCCTTCCGACCCGATGGCAAATCAGAACCCACACCAAACCCCACCCCAGAGTCACAGAACAGTGTGGGTGGGAAAGGACCTTAAAGCTCATCCAGCTCCAGCCCCTGCTACAGGCAGGGACCCCTTCCACTGGAGCAGCTTGCTCCAAGCCCCTGTGTCCAACCTGGCCTTGAGCACTGCCAGGGATGGGGCAGCCACAGCTTCTCTGGGCACCCTGTGCCAGCGCCTCAGCACCCTCACAGGGAAGAGCTTCTACCTAAGAGCTCAGCTCAGGCTCCCCTCGGGCAGGTTCAAGCCATTCCCCTTGGCCTGTCCCTACAGGCCCTTGTCCAAAGCCCCTCTCCAGGTTTCCTGCAGCCCCTTTAGGCACTGGAGCTGCTCTAAGGTCTCCCCTTAAGGAGCTTGTGGGGGGTGGAATGTATCAAAACTGTCAGAGACCATGGGAAGCAAGAACTACAGCAGGCAATTAAGAGTGACCCATCCCTGTCTGGTACTTGGAAGATGTTGGAACTGGCAAGGAACAAGGACATCGGAACTGGAAAGAGGATTTCTAGACCTTTCACCTGATGTAACCGCAAGGCAAACACAGATGTGCTTGGCTAATTGCTTGGAAGCATATAAATATTGTGCAACCTCTGCCATAAATGATCCAGCTTACACTCTGCCTCTGGGTCTGTGCCTCCATCCTCACAGAGCCTTCTCTTCTCCTTCTGACCCAGCCCAGCTCTCACAGCCTGACTCCAGAGCAGAGCTGCTCCACCCCTTGGAGCATCGGGAAGAGGCGTGTATCCTGTGCTCATCATAGATAAACCTCCTTAGGGTAGAACTTTCTCTTATTTCTCTATTAGCAGCACCTGGACCAAACCTGCCATTTCCTGCAAGAGGGGGGGAAATTCCCCATTTACAGAGCCTGCTTTTTCCCGCTGTGACTCCACACCGTCCCTTAGGCCCCGCAGCTGAGATTGCAGCAGGTCCAGGACACAGCCGGGCAGAAAGGCGAGCCGAGGGGCCAGGGGGAGCAGCCTTGCCACATCCCAAGGGAGTTTACACCTGCATTAGCCCGAGAAACTTGCGAGGCTCAAACCCGCACCAGTAACAACTGCACCCCACCAAGGGAAAGGTTTGCCTTGCTGCTGGGAACACGCACCATTCCTCTAGGCACTGATGGATCCCTCGCAGCAAAGCGTGGAGGGCACATCCCCGTCCCCAGCGTTCCATGAGCGCCAAACCAGCTCACACAGAGCACACGAACGCCAGCAGCCGGGTTGATGTCTTTATTCTCTGGGAGAGGAGGTGCTGGAGCTCATGCAAGGCAGTGAAGGACGGCCCTGCTTTGAGAACTGTTCTTATGCTTCAGGGCTCCCACTGCTGGTGAATTCCTGGAGCAGAGCTTCCACCTCTCCTCGCCGACTCATCCTGGTGGCCTTGCCCTGAAAGCGGCCTCGCTTCCCAGCTCCTTTGCCCCCCAGCAGCTCTGCCACCCTGCAGTAACAGCAGTACAGACTCCGTACTTGCAGAGAAGAGACTGGCCTGGCCCAACCCCTTCCAGAGAGCAAACACCTCAATGATGCTGCCCAGGCTGCAACATCCGATTCTCACTCATTTCAAAGAGCCCACAGAACATGTTACCTGGGACCTAAATTCTCAACTGCTTCAACTGGTCCAGCTAGAAGAAAGAGTCCTGCTTCTTTTTCATCTCCCACAGTCAGGAACAGCAGGGTTTCCTGTGGATAGACGGATGGATCTGGCTCCAGAATACTCAGTGCCCTCCTTGTCTGGAGGAGGACAAAGGCACTGGCCACAGGACCCATCCAATTTAGGAGTCTGTGTGCATTACCGAGGCAGAGACTCAAGCTGAAGGAAGCAAAATGGAGCAAGTTTCTTAACCTTAACTTCAATCATATGTTGTGAGGGAGAGGACAGGTACAGGGGTATCCACATTGAAAGGATAGCTGGCAGTTGGACTGGATGATCACTGTAGATCCCTTCCAACTGCAACAGTCTATTCCATTCCCTTCCATCCTATCCTATTCCCAGTAAGGTTCTGTGCAGCTCTCTGGGCACAGGCTCTTCTACAGTGCTCTGGATTTTCCCTGATGTATTTCCTGACTGTTGAGGATTCTCCTGCAGACCCAGGCTGATGGGGACAATAATCTCAGGTAACTTTTGGAAGGAAACACACCTTGCTTGGGACTATGGGACAAAGAGAAGCCCTGCCAGCCCCTGCCTGGGCTATAGCCTGAATGAATGAGCCCATAGGGTCAGGTGAGTCTCCACCAGTCACTTACCTCTGTCCCAATCTCATTAGCGATGATGTTCATAAACTCAGAGTCACCCTCTTTCCTGTAGGGATGGGTAAAAAACAAAACACTTCAGAAAGAGGCAAAAATCCCCTCTAGAGTCCAAAACATCAAGAAGAAACCAAAGGTCTGATCAGGCCTGGGGTTTTGGCCTCTTGCTATTAGGATGGAGACCAAGGGTTTTCTGTGTATCTAAACCCTCATTGTGCACTCCTATGGATATAAGGGGGATTATTTGTGTTTAAGAAATAGAGTTCTTCAGTTTTATTTGAAAATATCAATGGCAGAGAGAAGCCAGACAGTTATTTCACAGCCATAAAAGCAGAAGAACGCAATGACTGAGTTGCTAACACGTTCCTTTAATGACACAGCCTTCCATTAGACTGAGGCAGTTTAATCCTCTATCCACCTTGCTTATATTCTTCCTTGAGAAACAAGCCTGAAAAGGTGTTGGAGAGATGCAACTGCCATAACACGTGTAAGATACCACGATGCCATTTCCCCCTTTTCCCTGAACTCCTCTGTACCTGTGTAGCACAAAGAGCTGACTTGGAACAGGCTTGCTCTTGAAGTCCCGGGCTATCAGAACAGCAATGTCTCTAAGCAGGTTCAAGTTATTCTGCAAGAAAAGCAACCAAACTGTGCTGCAGATGGAGAAATCACGAACCCTCTGCTGTGCTCCCAGGGGTGGAGCAGTTTTCCTAACATCCACAATGCAATTCCCAGTTAGGACTAAAGCCTGGCTCTACAGGAAGCCTTTCTCAGCCCCCCTTGTACCTTCTGCAGCAGTTTCACTGAGCTCTGCAGTCTTTTCACGGCCTCTACGTGCTCACCTGGTCCATTTCTGAAAGAACAAGAACTGGGATCACTGCTCTGGAGGACAAGGAAAGGGTTTGTTAACAGAGCAAGGTAACACCATAAAAAGCACCATTAGACATTTGCTGAAGCTTATGTGCTATTTGTCAGAAGGAATCATAAAGATGAAGTAACAGAAGTGGAAAGGGCATTACTTGAGCAGTGAAGTCAGAGCCTTCTCAGTACTGTGACTTTGTTCAAGTGACTTCAGCACTCTGTTTCCTGCCAGGAAAACCAAGTTGGTTTTGTTCTTTTTCCCTTTTTCTGTGCCGAGGAGTTTAATAACCTTAAAAAGAAAATCACCCCGGTCAGAAAAGAACAGTATTTTCCTTGTACTCACACAGGTTATGCCTTGTTGTGAGTACTGACTCTGCCAGTGATTAAAATCAGCCATCAGCTCAACATGCAAAACCCCCAAAGGATGGTGATACAGTGGAATGAGCATGATTTGCTCATCCTGGGTTGCACTCTGCAGTGCACCTGGAGGTCTCTGGTGGGATACAGACCCCCACAAAAGATTGAAAAGACAGAAATGCTTAAAAGCAGCTCTAGAATTTTCTCTCCACCTCCCTGCAGAGGATTCCTCTCTCATTCACGACAAGCACTCAAAAATATCAATGCTTTAAGCAGAGAACAAATGGCTGCAACCCAGTGTGGCACTGCCACGCTGGCAATCCAGCCCATGTCCTCGCAGAGCACTGGCAGTTCAGGTTTGCTGCACGTGAGGGCTGTTCTGCTATGAAGAAAGGCCAGGCCAGGCCAGGAGGGGCCTTTCCTGCTTTCACCTGAGTGAGTGGATGCAGACTGCACCCTGTGCATGGTGCTGTTGGCTTCACCCAGCACAGGGCTCCTGTTACCCCCTCTCCCACTGGGACAATGCCAGCAGACCGTGGATCTCAGGGACTTCCAAACCCTCCTGAGAGCAGCTCAGCACCTGCAGGTCACTCAGGTTGGAGACGTGGGTCCCACAGCACATGTTGGAGTCTATGCCTTCGATGTCAATAACTCGCACTGGCCCTACGTGGTCATCCGGCAAACCCCGGCTTCGCACCTAGCATGAGGACATTGGCACACAGTGGCATCCATGCTCTGGTTATCCCGGCCCCGCAGGCACCATCAGTTCTCTCCCACCACTCACTGTTTCAATGTCAGGGTCATCTGCAGCCAGTTCCCTCACTGTCACAGGCACCCTCTCCCTGATTTTCTCATTCACGCTCCTCTCCAGGGCCTCTATTTGCTCTGCTGTCATGGAGGGGGTGTCCAGCTCAATGACGCTTCGCTGGCGGCCCAGCTCCCTGCACCAGTGAACATCTGCTGCTGTAGTTAAGAGCTGCGGGCAGGTTCCTCTGGGCAGCACCATCCCACTGCTGGAAACGTGACTGAAACAAGCATTCCCTCCTCTCTGTTACTTACAGAGCACACTGTGCATATCAAACACCCAGAGACAGAGCCAATGCTTTGCACAGCTTTTCCCCAAAGCTTCTCCCTGGCTCAGCCACCTCTCCCAGGCCCTCTGAGCCCAAGTGAAATGTCCCCAGGGAAACTGATATATTCCTGCTCAGCTCCTCACATGGCAGCACACGCCAAACAAGGTGAGACTGGGGCAAAAGGAGCCTTTCCTCTGCTCACCAGGAAGTTGTCTTGAATCCAAACATCTGGTCTGCGATGGCAGTGATGAGATGCTGCCCTGCAAGAGATGCGCAAGCCGCAGCTTTGAGCGCCACCGGACCCAGGAGCAGGACAAAGAACGCTTCAAACCAGGCCGAACGTTTCCTTCCCGACCTGTTCTCAGCGCAAGCGGAGCCCGGCACGGGCAGAGCTGCCGGGATGCCCCTTCCCCTGGCCGGGCTCCGAGCCGGGCACCTCCGGCCCCAGCAGGGAGGCGTTACCGGGCACGCACCTGAATGCTGCTGCATGTGGTCGAAGCGGCGCTCCCAGTCCAGCGCCAGCAGCACCTCGGTGCCCGGCTCCAGCGCCGTCCGCACGAAGTGCACGGCCTCGGGGCCCCGCCGCGTCACCCGCAGCACCGGCACATCGCCGATGAGCCCGCGGTCATCCGGCTGCGGACACGGCCATCAGCGCCAGCGCCACCGCGGCTCTGCCCCCCCCACCCCGCCCGGCCGGCCCGTACCTGCCCGCCGCCCTCGGGGAAGAGGATGGTGTCCTCCAGCACCACCTGGAACCCGCGCACCGGCTCCCCGCCGCCCTCGGGCCGCAGCTCCGCCGCCCGGCACGACACCACCCTGGTGGCGAACTGCAACGGGGCCGGGGGCTCCGTAAGGGCCCGCGCCTGCCCCGCGGCCCCGCTGCGCCCGGTGCCGGCCCCGCCGCTACCTGCCGGGCCCAGCTGTCCCGCTGGCACTGGAACACCATCGCCGCGGCGGGCACACAACGGGGCTGGCGGCGGCGACGGCGGCCGCGCAGGGACACGGGGCTGGCGGTCGCGGAGGGGCGGCGCCTGCCGGGTGCGCGCTCCCGATGCCGCTGGGTCTGAAGGAGCGGACGGCAAACGGCGGCGGCGGCGGCTCACGTTTATTGTAACTGCACGGGGAGGCCGCCCGGCTCCCGCCGCCGTGGGTCGGGGGCCGCCGCGCTCGGCGGGGCCGCGGCTCTGCTGCCCCGGGAGCCCTGCCCGCGCTGCTCGTGGGTGCGCGCCGGAGGCCTCCTGCGGCGTGCTCGGGTCCTGGGCTTCAGGGCTCGTCCTGCGGGAGGGAGGAGCGAGGAGCCAGGGAAGCAGCAGCCGCCGGCACCGCCTGGGCAGCCCCGGGAGCGTGTCCCCGGTGGGCTCCGGGTCGGGCTGCCCGAGCACAGCCTTGAGCCGCTCCGCTGCTGGAACCACGGCAGGCTCGGGGGCAGTACTTACATCCAGGTCATCCATGGCGGGGGGGGGTCCTTTGTCCGTCACCTTCTCCAGGAGCTGGATGGGAAACCAGCGGCCATGGGCACTGAACGCCCAGCTCCGCCGCCCCCATCACCCACAGATACCCCGGGATCCCATAGCCGGGCTCACCTCTGCATACTCCTCCATCATGGCCCTCTCCAACTCCTCATCCCCTTCCCAGTCTCGCCAGTTGTCAAAGTCCACGGAGAGCCAGGCTGGCTGTGGGCAGAGGGAGCATCCCCTGAGGGAGGGGACACGGCAGCGACCCCTCACAGCCTGGGGGTTGCTCTGTGGGGCTGCTGCTGCACGGGGTAGGCTGGGGAAGGGCAGGAAGGGGAATGTGCCCCTCCTGACTCTGCCTGCATTGAGTGAAGGGAGTTCTGCATCCTTCCTGCAGGGCAGAGCTCTGTGGGCTGATGGTACCCATGAGGCTGAGCTCCCTTTGGGGTCCCTGTGTGGGGCCCTCGGTTTCTGTCCCAGGGCAGGTTGGTCCCCAGGAGCCACAAGGTGCTGCGTGGGGACAGCGCAAGCGCTGAGGCTGGTTCTGGCACGCCAGGCACCACACGCACCTTGATGTTCTCCTTGGTGATGCGGGGCCAGGCCACTTTCTCCTTCCATTTTCTCATAAAGCATGTGATGGAGCGGTCAGAGCGCTTCTCCCGCGAGTCCTGCCAAGACACTGGGGATGCCTCAATCCTGTCTGTAATCCACTGCAGCCCCGGACTGGATTGAACTCAGCCACATGCAGGCTGTGGGGGGACACAGAACCACAGAGACAGGTTTTCTGGCCCAAGGTGGCACCATGAGTGCCACATCCAGGCTCAAGGCTCCCGGGTTGGTGCTCACACCACTCAGGCTTTTGGGGAAGGGGCAGGACTCAATGTTAAATGGCATTGCTCAGGGTTGGGTTTAACTCCGAGTGTAATGCAGGCTGTCCAGAAGAGTTTGCTGGAGGGGAGCCTCACCTTGGAGTTGACCCTGGCGTACAGGTCGATCTCATTGTAGAACTCCACGCCGTCTGCATTTTTGCAACTGCCGGAACACCGCAACAGCCGGGCTGAGGGGACTGAGGCCAGACGGGCCCTGCCCCTTCAGAGCCCCCCTGCGTCCACACCACCCCGAGCCAAGGGACGCATCCCCGGCACAGGGCAGCTCACCTGAACACCAGCCTCTGCTCCTCAATGACCACCTCCACATCCCTGCTGTCCTCGACGCAGAACTCCAGGTACACGTACCGCGGGCGGTCGTACCACAGCGTCTTTGCGGGTTGCCTTGGCAAAGAGCAGAGCAGCGGCTGCCTCCATGGTGCCCAGCAGGCACCGGCTGGGGATCGGGGCAAGGAAGGAGCCCCAGACACACGCACTTTGCCCACCACGAGGTGGGCGCCGGGCCGGGCAGTGGCCGCTGGCCCGCAGCGCTCCGCTCTGACGCCGCACATGGGCAGCAGCGGGGACCGCCGGCCCCTGCCCTCGCTCTCCGCTGCCGTTCCCGGCGCCACTGCCCCCCTGCCCAGGGCTGAGGGTCGAGTCCGGTGGTGCCTCGGGCTACGAGCCCTGGGTGGGTGCCGACACCGCTATCGAGTCCTGCCCGTCCCGTCCCGTCCCGTCTCCCCGGGCCGCACTCACCTCGCCATGGCCGTGCCGGCTCCGCCCCGCGCTATTTCGGGCCGGGGACGCGGCTGTCGCGGGGCCGGCAGCGGGGGCCGGGCCGGGCCGGGCGAGGCGGGGCGGGGCGAGGCCTCCGGGCGGGACCCCCGGGCCACCAGGGGGCGCGGTAGCCCAACCCCGCTCCGCCCCCGGCAGGCCCCGCCCCGCGCCGAGGCGGCAAGATGGCGGCGGAGCGACGGCGCCGGTAGCGACAGCCATGGAGACGGAGGGCGGCCCGCTGGGCCCGGGGGAGCGCTGGGCGCCGGTGGGAGCCGTGTCGGCTGCGGCGGAGGAGGAAGCGGAGGAGGAAGAAGATGATGAGGAGGAAGCGGCGGGCGGGTCGCCGCAGTCGGTGCCGCGGCTGCGGGCGGAGCGGCGGCGGCTGCACGGGGCGCTGCTGGCGCTCGCCTCGCACTTCGCGCAGGTGCAGTTCCGGCTGCGGCAGGTGGCGCGGGCCGGGCCGGGCGAGCAGCGCCGCCTGCTCCGAGACCTGGAGGACTTCGCCTTCCGCGGCTGCCCCGCGCCGCTCGGCCTCGGCCTCGGCGGAGCCCCGGTGAGTGCGGCCCCGGTGCCGGGTGAGGGGGTGCGGCCGGTGCCTCGCCGCGATGGGCAGGCGCGGCCTGCTCTCGGGCCGGAGCTGAAGGAAGCACCGCTCGCACCGCGGTCCTGTTCCCTGGGGCTTGGCGTGTCGGTACATCTGTTTACTGGTCCCTGTTCCCAGGGTGAGCGAGAGAAGCGGGAGCAGACGGAGGTGCAGAAGGAGAAGCAGAGGGAGCTGATACTGCAGCTCAAGACACAGCTGGATGACCTGGAGACGTTTGCTTACCAAGAGGGCAGCTATGATTCTCTGCCACAGTCTGTGGTTATGGAAAGACAACGGGTAAGGCCTGTGGACTCCCAAGCATTTGGGAGCCTTGTACAGACTGTGGGAGCTGGTCAGTCCTTATTTCTTGACATCAACTGTAGTAAAGTATCAGTATCATAGAATCCCAGACTGGTTTGGGGTTGAAGAGACCTCAAAGCTCCTCCAGCTCCAACCCCTGCCACAGGCAGGGACCCCTTCCACTGGAGCAGCTTGCTCCAAGCCCCTGTGTCCAACCTGGCCTTGAGCACTGCCAGGGATGGGGCAGCCACAGCTTCTCTGGGCACCCTGTGCCAGCGACTCAGCACCCTCACAGGGAAGAGCTTCTGCCTCAGAGCTCAGCTCAGTCTCCCCTCAGGCAGGTTCAAGCCATTCTCCCTTGTCCTGTCCCTACAGGCCCTTGTCCAAACCCCTTCTCCATCAAGGTCAGAGGGTTGTGGAGCTCATAGGTGGCTGTGCCACACAGAGAGATCGTGCTGCTAATGTGTTTTGCAGATGATTATCAATGAGCTGATAAAGAAGCTGGACATGGACTTGAGTGAAGATTTTGCAGCGCTCTCTCCAGAGGAATTGCGACAGCGTGTGGATGCTGCCATAGCGCAGATTGTTAACCCAGCCAGGGTGAAGGAGCAGCTGGTGGAGCAGCTGAAGACGCAGATAAGGGACCTTGAAATGTTCATCAACTTCATCCAGGGTCAGTGCTGAGTTTTTGGATGAGTGGGCACTGAATTGTTTCTGATTCCCTGAGAAGGTCGTGGGGGGGGAGGTCATCGATATCAGAGGATGCAGAAGGAAGTTTTGGGTCACAGGGAAGTACAAGTCTCTGAACTGATGGTAGGAAGAAGGAGACTGACCCAAAAGGTGCAGAGAGGTATAAGGAATATTGTTGTTAATATTTAGGACCTGCAGCTTAAATTAAAAGTGTTAGCTAATAGTGTGAAATTCTCATTCTAGATGAAGTTGGAAGCTCTGGTAAGGCGGAAGATGGACACTGTGAGTGTGCAGGCAGAAAAGATGGTGGTGGCTCCCACAAACCAAATACACGTCCTCCTGGAAATAGAGGTGGGCACTGTGTGGCCTGGAGCTCCTAGCATGGCTCTTGCCAGCACTCACATGAGGTTCATGAGCAGGAACCAGCAGCCAGTCACGCCAGGCTGCTCTGCTGTTTTCCTGGCAGTTGGCATCCATGCTTTTCTGCTCCCACTGACAGCCTGTGTTCCAGTTCCATTCCCTTCCTCCATGGGCTCCCTGGAACCATCAGAGAACCTGAACATGTGGCACAGAGGGTGGGATTGGTGCTCAGTGGAGATCAGGAAGAAAAGGGGCTTTTGAAGCAGACAGAGAAAGCTGTTGTCATGTACACACCATTGGGCAGGACTGTAATTAATGCTCTTTGAGCTCTTAGCTCTGTGAGTGGGTACACTGAGCTGGATAGATCCAGAGCTCTTCATATAATTTGAGACTTAGCTGCTTACACATGAATTTACTGGGGCTAGAATAGTGTGCTAGAGAAATCCTGCAATACTCTGTTAGAGGTGTAATACTGGCCCAGATGGAATTTAGGTCTTACCATTGTGGCTACTCCTACAAACTGAATTGAATGGTGGCATCAGGACTAAGCACTGCATCTTAGCCTGCTGAAGCAAGGCACTGCTTGAAAGTAGACAGTGATCTCCATCAGCAAAGGTTTTGGTGTCTCCTGTTTATACATGTGGTATGGTCATGTCTACAGAGTGGTCTTTCCTCACTGTGTGCATGCTCACTGGGAAGCCTGTTGTAGGACTTCCCCTCTGTAAGATGACCTCATTGTTGAGAACAGGCCATGCCAATGTTTGCTTTTCTGGTGGGTTTCAGTGCTTTGAAACTAGAAAGAGTAACATCAGTCCTAGTGCCAAAAGCCCCCAAGGAGGAGAACTTGCGGTGGAGGAGGAGCAGACATTTGTACTACCTTTGTGTGTCTGAAAGAGCAGAGCTGTTGATTCCTTGATGATAAAGCTTATTATTTCTCTTGTCTAACCTGATCAGTGAACCCAGAAGATGCCAGAAAGATGAGAGAAACCGGCCTGCACCTCATGCGTCGCATGCTTGCCGTGCTGCAGATATTTGCTGTCAGTCAGTTTGGTTGTGCCACGGGTCAGATTCCTCGCACCCTCTGGCAGAAGGACCAAGACAACAAGGACTATTCCCCCTTAATCAAGAAACTGGAGCTGTCGGTAGAGCGGGTGAGGCAGCTGGCAATGAAGTACCAGCAGGAAGACCACGTTATCAGTTCCTCCGACCTGCAGGACATTCCCTTAGGAGGCAGGGATGAGCTGACTCTGGCTGTGCGGAAGGAATTGACCATTGCTTTGCGAGACCTGATGGCTCATGGGCTCTACTCTGCTTCCCAAGGAATGAGCCTGGTATTGGCACCCATCGCGTGCTTGATTCCTGCGTTCACCTCCTCACCGCAGAGCATGCACCCCTGGGAGCTCTTTGTGAAGTATTACAACGCAAAGAACGGGCAAGCCTTTGTGGAATCCCCGGCTCGCAAACTCTCCCAGTCCTTTGCCTTGCCTGTGACAGGAGGCATGGCTGTGACACCCAAACAGAGCCTGCTGACAGCGATTCACACTGTCCTCACGGAGCATGACCCCTTCAAGCGCAGCGCGGACTCGGAGCTGAAGGCGCTCGTGTGTATGGCGCTGAACGAGCAGCGCCTGGTCTCCTGGGTAAATCTCATCTGCAAATCTGGAGCTCTGGTACAGGCCCACTACCAGCCATGGAGCTACATGGCAAACACAGGCTTTGAGAGCGCGCTCAACGTTCTCAGCCGCCTAAGCAACTTGAAATTCAACCTCCCGGTAGACCTGGCTGTCCGGCAGCTGAAAAACATCAAAGACGCTTTTTGATGTGTTTTTATTGTAGATCATCCCTTTTCCACAAGCAGGGCAGCTGCTGGGCCCAAAGCCTGGCTTTTTTAAGACCCAGTTTGGCTCTTTGAAATTGATACTTGCTTTTAGGGAAATCTCATGGTATCTCGATGCTGGAAATCTGCGTGTTTACACGGCTGCTGCTGTACAGCACCTCACCCTGCCCCTTTATGCAGCCCTGAAGAGCAAAATTGCTTTGCTGGTGTGTGTTCAGTGTGTGGGGCTGGCGGCGGGCACAGAGCCCTGTGCAGCTGCAGCTTGGCCCCTATGCTGCCTCTGCTCTAAATGCTGCCCTACAAGTCTGTCCTGCAGACCGAGGCAGTGGCTTGCCCTCCCTGCTGTGAACGTGGGGGAAAACCAGGGCAGAGCTGCGGGGGGGCCCTGTGGCTCCTCCGGTTTCTCTACCCAGCCCTCCCTGAGCCCCTTTTCCCAAGCTTTAGCGCACACACCGGCTGCCCGCTGTTTCCTAGGGGTGCATTAAACCGCTTTAGCAAGTGTCCGTGTGCGAGGACCCGGTGCCCGTGTTCTGTGTCCATCACCAGCCGTTGCGCGGTGGGTGCTGGCTCGCCGGCTCTGCGGTGTTAATAGCGGGAGCGGGGACTCGGTGCTGGGGTGGTCACTGGTGATGCCCCCCCCCCCCCGTTACCGCGGCCACCGGGACGGGGTCACCGGAGCGGGGGGGGGAGCGGGGACCGGTACCTCCGCCTGTTGCCCGGCAACGGCGGCGTGGGTAGCTCGACGGGTTCCTAAAGGAAGCGGAAGTGACGCACGGTGAAAGGTGGGCGGTGCGTCTGCCGCTTTCTCTTCCGGCCTGGGAGCCATCGCTGTGGGACCTCCGGTAAGTGCGGCCCCGGGCGCGGTATCCGCCGCCATCCGCGGCAGGGGGTGGCCCGGGGGCGGTGTGGGCCCGGCCGTGACTCCCGCACGGTGTCTCCGCAGAGATGGGCAAGTTCATGAAGCCGGGGAAGGTGGTGCTGGTGCTGGCCGGCCGCTACTCGGGCCGCAAGGCTGTTATTGTGAAGGTGAGCGCGGGGCTGCCCTGGGGCGGGCGGGAGGCCCGAGCGGGGCCGCGGTGTGGTCCGGGAGGTGTCCCCCGGAGCTCCGCGGTGCCATCGGCGGCTGCTCTCGGTGTGTTGCAGAACATCGACGATGGCACCTCGGACCGGCCGTACAGCCACGCGTTGGTGGCAGGCATCGACCGCTACCCGCGTAAGGTGACAGCCGCCATGGGCAAGAAGAAGATCGCAAAGAGGTCCAAGATCAAGTCCTTCGTGAAGGTTTACAACTACAACCACCTGATGCCCACCCGGTGAGTGCGAACGCTGGAGCTACTGAGGCGTTTCGTTATGTCACTGTGTAAAAGTGGGATGCAAAACAGGGTCTGAGGGTGTAATGCTGAGGGGAAGTATTAGTGATCAAACAAAACAAAGCAGCCGGTTCCTTCTTCAGCCACACTCCCTTTCCTCTTGGTCACGGGTGTTGGTGGATGTGCCATTGAGGCAGTCATGGGGGTCCGGGCTGCCAGCAGAGCTGTCATGGCCTGGACACGTTTCTTCCCATCCCCTTTGATCTCAGCTGGAGCTGCCTGCCCCACACACAGCATTGCATTCCAGCCTGAATTCCACGTTACTGGGTGCTCGGGTGGTTTGGTGGTTCACTGACCTGAGGGGCTTTAGGATCTATGGTTGCTCAGCCCAGCTTTCGTCCCTGCGCTGCTCAGTTCAGCTGTGTTCACCTCTGTGCCCATTGCCATGGCTTTTCCCAGCATTGCTGCTCTCTCATCCAGGTATTCCGTCGATATTCCACTGGACAAAACAGTGGTCAACAAGGATGTGTTCAGGGACCCTGCTCTAAAGCGCAAAGCAAGGCGTGAAGCCAAGGTGAAGTTTGAGGAAAGGTGAGTTGGAAGTTCATCTTTTCATGGTGTCACCTCCCAGCCCCAGGGTGAGGGCTCGGCATGGCCAGTTCCAGGTTGGATGCTTCTTCCCCAGCTTCCTTGGATATATTTTGGGTTGAGGGTGTCCTCTCCTCCATGAGCTTGTGGGGTCCTTGCCTGGGAGCTGCTGCGCTGGGACAGGGAACACTTCTCTGGTGTTCGGGGCAGTGCTGCAGCCCTGTGCCAGCACCAGCAGGGCCTTCAGGTGATGGTCTTGGCATCGCGGTGCTGGTGTCCCAGGGGCGTTTGGGTTGATGATGCTTCTCCTCAGCTTCTGTTCAGAGACTCCTTCAGCAGCAGGAGCGGCACGGCCACTCTTGTCTTTTAGAGGGGACCTGCCAGAGTGTGGGCATCCTTCATGAGGATAAGAACAAGGCTGGGAGCTGACCTCTTCCCTTGGGAGCTGGGATGTGCACAGCAGCTCTGGCTGCAGCCCGGGTGGAGGACATGGGCTGCATTGCCTCTAGAGGAGCCTTAGGAGCTGGGGACCGCTTGGGTGTGAGTATGGGAGCGTTTTCTGACCTCAGTGTCTTCCTGTTTCAGGTACAAGACGGGCAAGAACAAGTGGTTCTTCCAGAAGCTGCGATTCTAAAGGTGTAACCAGGTTGCATCAATAAATGTTTATTAAACCCCATTTTGTTTTGTTGCAAAAAAGAAGCGGCAGTGTTGGGCCTTTTCCTCTGCGGTGCCCATCATAGAATCATAGAATAGTTTGGGTTGAAAAGGACCTTAAGATCATCCAGTTCCAACCCCCCTACCATGGGAAGGGACACTTCACACTAAACCATCTCACCCAAGGCTCCGTCCAGCCTGGCCTTGAACGCTGCCAGGGATGGAGCATTCACAGCTTCTCTGGCCAGCCCATTCCAGTGCCTCACCAGTGAAGAATTTCTTCCTTATATCCAATCTAAACTTCCTCTGTTTAAGTTTTAACCCGTTAGTCCTCGTCCTGTCACTACAGTCCCTAATGAAGAGTCCCTTCCCAGCATCCCTGTAGCTCCCCTTCAGATACTGGAAGGCTGCTATGAGGTCTCCATGCAGCCTTCTTCAGGCTGAACAGCCCCAACTTTCTCAGCCTGGATCCATACAGGAGCTGCTCCAGCCCCTGATCATCCTTGTGGCCTCCTCTGGACTTGTTCCAACAGTTCCATGTCCGTTTTATGTTGAGGACACCAGAACTGCACACAATGCTCCAGGTGAGGTCTCACAAGAGCAGAATAAAGGGGCAGGATCACCTTTGACTTGCTGGTTACGCTCCTTTTGATGCAGCCCAGGATACGGTTGGTTTCTGGGCTGCAAGCGCACACTGAAGCCAGCTCATGTTCATTTTCTCATCAACCAGCACCCCCAAGTCTTTCTCCGCAGGGCTGCTCTGAATCTCTTCTCTGCCCAGCCTGTAGCTGTGTCTGGGATTGCTCTGACCCAGGTGTAGGACCTTGCACTTGGCATGGTTAAACTCCATGAGGTTGGCATCAGCCCACCTCACAAGTGTGTCCAGGTCCCTCTGGATGGCATTCCTTCCCTCCAGCGGATCAACTGAACCACACAGCTTGGTGTCATCACAAACTTGCTGAGGGTGCACTCAATCCCACTGTCCATGTCAGTGACGAAGGAGTTGAGCAAGACCGGTCCCAACACCGATCCCTGAGGGACACCACTCGTTACTGGTCTCCAGCTGGACATGGAGCTATTGACCACAACTCTTTGCATGTGGCCATCCAGTCAGTTCTTTATCCACCGAGTGCTCCACCTGTCAAATTGATGTCTCTCCAATTTGGAGACAAGGATGTCATGTGGGACAGCATTGAATGCTCTATGCAAGTCCAGATAGATGACATCAACTGCTCTACCCCTGTCCATCAGTTTCATATCCCCATCACAGAAGATCCTCCTGCTCTGGGGTTGGGGAGAGCTTTGCAGCCTTTAGGGTGTCTGTGGAGGGTGTGGGACTCTTCTAGGGGGGCTCTGCTCTCCCCTCCTCCTGCCCAGGGGCAAGCAATGTTCTGCCCCTGCTGGGAACCCCAGTGCCCAAAGCGGTGTGAACTGGGATGTGGGTGCGGGACAGACGGCTCCCGGTGTCTGTGCCTCGATGCCTTGTGGTGATGTGCCGCTGGGTGTCCGGTTTCGGGCGGGCTCCGTGGGTGCCGTTTGCCGCACGGGGAGGGGGGAGGCAGCCCCCGGGGCTGCTGCGGGAAGCGGAAAGGAGAGGAAAGGCGGGGCCGGGTGCGAAAGCGAAAGCGAAGGGGTCCTGGCCCCGGCGATGGAAGCGGAGGAGGTGAGGGCTGAGCCTCGGGGCTGGGCGCAGGGCCCAGGGCCCCCTCCCCTGAGACCTCTCTTGCCTTTAGGACTCCTTCGTGCAGCTGCCTTGCCCCTCGGGCCCGGGCACCGGCTGCTTGGGGCTCACCGCCGAGCACATCCGGCAGGAGATAGAGCGCTGCAAGGTGCGTCCCGCTGCCGTCGGGTCAGGCGGGGAGCTTGGGTGCCCCCGGGCTGCGAGTCGGGAGTTAAGGGGCGTTAAGGGAGGCCGGGCTGGGGCCGGGGCCGGGCAGCAGGGGGGATGCTGCAGTGTCACTGATGGAACCTCTCACAGGAGCTTTGCAGCGCTCTGGAGCAGGAGCATGTGGACCTGCAAACGGCCACGGGAGCTGTAAAGCAAAGGACACGAGAGCTGAGGAAAGAGAGAGAACGCCTTTATGAAAACTTCAAGCAGCGAAAGTATTTAAACAGAGAGGAAGAGATCTGCCTCCAGGTTGGTGACCAGACCCGACTCGGGCTTGGGGAGGTGGCAGCTGGGTGGAGGGGACGTGTCACTGGGCACACTGCTCTGGGGTCGCTTTGCTCTGGACCCGGTGGAGGTTTCACAGGGCATCACATGAGGCCTGTGCCACGCAGTGGAGGGCTGCGAGTGAATGTGAGGAGCAGGGCAGGGCTGCAGGCAGTCAAGAGCAGAAAATCAGTGCAAGTGAAGGGAGCTGTGTCCAAGCACAGCGCTGTGCTTAAGGGCAGCATGTGTGTCGGGGTGGTTCCCTTGCTGCCTCCTCTTTCTTTCCTTGCAGGACAGCATTTTGCTAGCAAGGGAGATGAAGACCACACTGATGCAGAAGCATCGGATGCTGAGCAACATACTGGAAGACAAAAGGAAGAAGGTCTTCTGGAAGGATCCAGAGATGGTAACTGTGTGTGTGGGCACCCACCTCTGCTGGCACGGGGCTGGAGAGGCTGCAGGTGAATGATGCTGGGCACTGTATGAGGACTGGCACGGCTCCTGCCAGCGGGTGGCTCCTGTGACAGGACCAGAAGCTCCACTCGTGGCTTTGGGACTTCAGGCACAGCCAGACCCTGGGAGAGACTCTCCTGAAGCTGTTTTAGTTGTTTATAGGACAAGGGGGGATGGGTTTAAACTTAAACAGGTCAGGTTCAGATTAGAAATAAGGGAGAAGCTCTTCCCTGTGAGGGTGCTGAGGCGCTGGCACAGGGTGCCCAGAGAAGCTGTGGCTGCCCCATCCCTGGCAGTGCTCAAGGCCAGGTTGGACACAGGGGCTTGGAGCACTCTGCTCCAGTGGAAGGGGTCCCTGCCCGTGGCAGGGGTTGGAGCTGGAGGAGCTTTCAGGTCCCTTCCAATCCAAACCATTCCGTGATTTTGAGCCATGAGCTTGTCTCCAAGTCTGGATTGGCAGGGACAGGCCCTATGCAGGGTCCAGTCTTCTCCAGGTGCTGTCTATACACTCAAACCTAGATGCTGCTGCCTGCCTTGCCAGAGAAGAGGATGGCATTTAAGGGACTTGTGACAAACAAGGATGAGAACAAGCTGATGCTTACCCCACTGGTCCACTACCCTTTGCAGGGGGGCTCAGCTCTCATCACCTTTGAGAAGGCAGAGGGTAAGAGTGAGAAGAGCCCCACCACAGCTGAGTGTTGTGGTTACCTGACTTTGGAGCCTGCCTTGCTTCCCTTCCCTGGGCCAGGCTTTGGCACTCTGTCCCCTCTGCCAGCATTGGGGGGGGGGTTTGCCCCCTCCCCACAGCGCTGCCCCATATCCCAGCCTACGGCCCGCTCGAGGCAGGCATCAATCCCCTGTGTCGGGGGCTCTCCCTGCTTGCAGTGGCCCAGAGGATCATAGAGGCGAAGGAGCACACGGTGGAGCTGAGCTGTGGGGAGGAGCTGGAGGAGCTGGACCAGTGCAGAGTGCGGGTGCAGGCAGCACCGGTGGATGTACTGCTGCCATCTGCCCTGGAGGTAGGTCCCAAGGGCCTGCAGCTCCCAGCTGAGCTGCCCAGGGCATGAGCCAGCTCTGCCCTGCCACAGCCGTGCCTTTGCCAGGTCCCCAGTACCAGCCCACCGTGTCAGTGTTGCAGCTCTGGCACTGGCACTGACCAGTACGGGCTACCCCCAGATCAGGCTCACTCAGAACACCAGGAGCATCATCCTGTCTGACCTGCCCATCCTGGACATCCCCGAGGAGGCACTGCTGGACAAGTTGGTGGTCTTCTTCGGCAGGAAAAGGAATGGGGGTGGCGAGGTGGAGAGCAGTGAGCTCCTGGACAACTCTGGCCAGGTGGTGCTGACCTTTGCAGAGGACAGAGGTGCGTGGGCAAGGGCTGAGCACAGGTCATGTCCTGGGAGCAAATGGAGCTGTGTCTGTGGGGAGAGGGGAGGGCAGAGCGAGCTGCGGCTCTCCTGTCCCTCCTGAGGCTGCTGGTGCAGGTGAGCTGAGGCTGGGCAGTGCCAGCCTCAGTGTCTGTGCCAGGCCAGTCACCTCCCCAGGAGCTCAGCGGGGCTTTGGGTGATCCAGGGCTTTCCTCACCCCCGGCAGTGGCAGAGCTGCTGATTGAGAGAGGCCGCATCCAGGTGCCCTTGGGGAAGCAAACATACGAGCTCAAAATATCCCCGTGCCTGAGCGGGGAGGTCTCAAACCTGCAGGTAAGAGCCCGAGCCCCGGTGCCAGCCCAGGGCCAGGCAGAGTGGGGGGCTCCTGAAGCCCCGCTCCTCACCTTGCTCTGCCCAGCTCCAGCCCTCCCGCTGTCCCCGGACCGTCCTGCTCTCGGGGATCCCGGACGTGCTCAGCGAGGAGCCCATGAGGGACATCCTGGAGATCCACTTCCAGAAGCCGAGCCGCGGCGGGGGGGAGGTGGACTCGGTCGGTTACGTCCCGTTGGGCCGCCACGGGGTGGCCGTGTTCACGGGGGACGCGGAGCAGCGTCCCGGCGATTAAACCGTGTGCGGGCAGCGGCGTGTCCGTGGTGCTGGGGCCGGGCGGGAGGTGCGGGCTCGGGGCGGGGCCGGGGCAGGTTTCGCTTTCGTTTCCCGGCAGCGGCGGGGCCGGAGCCGGAGCGGGGCCGGGGTCAAGGGCCGAGGTGCGGGGGCCGGTGCGGGCATGGCGGGCCGCACGGTGCGGGTCGGGGGCCTGCCCGCAGAGCTGCCCCCCGACAGGGTGGCCGACAAGCTGACCATCCACTTCCTGCGCTCCCGCAACGGCGGCGGCGAGATCACCGACGTGCAGGTGCTGCGGGGCGGGAGCCAGGCCTGCGCCCTCGTCACCTTCGAGACGGAGGAAGGTAACGGCCCCTCGAGGGAGCGGCCCGTGGGCTCTGCCCGCTCCCGGACCCCCCTGCCCCGTGCGGTGCGGGCAGGGGCGGGGCTGATGCCGGTGCTTTCCCCACCCAGTGGCCCAGAGGATCCTGAGGGTAAAGAACCACGTCTTGTCCATCGGAGGGGAGAAATACCCGCTGGAGGTGACGGCGCACGCCGCAGAGCTGAGCCCCGATGAGGTAGCGCGGAGCAGACGTGGCCGTGGCATCCCCGCTGCCGCAAGGCCTGTGCTCGGGAAAGGGGGACCTCGTGCTCGCCTTTAACCTTAATGAGACTTAAGGCAAACCCACGTTTATTCCTAGTCAAAGGAGGAATCTTTTCCATGCTGGCAGCACAGGGGCAGTGGGACAGGCCTGGCACGCGTTCATTGGTGTTTGTGCCTGTCAAAGTGAGGAAGAACGGTCAGACTGGAGGGAAGGGGCGGTTCTCCCTAGCCCATCTGGTGGCAACTGTGGGATCCTCTTAATGCCCTTGCGTGTCATTGGCTGAACACACACAGTGGATTGCTCCTGGGTCCTGCTCAGCACAGCTTTGGAGACGGGCTGGTGTTAGGAGGCGCTGGGGAGCTCTTCCCTCCTCCTGCAGTCTCAGCAGAGTAGGGCAGTAGCCACATCTTGTGTCTTCGTGTCTGAGCCCTGCCAACAGGGGCATGGGAGTTAGCCTGGCTCTGCAGACCCTTCTGCAAGCCCCTGCTGCTTGAAAGCCTGCAGCTGAAGCTCTGGGAGAGCAGGGGAGCAACTGCACTGCAGGCGCAGGAGGGACAATGGCGCTCTTGGGTGTGAGCTGTGTGCAGAGCTCTCAGTGTGCAGACGTGGAGCTGCGATTTGCCCCTCGTGTTCCTTGCTTGCAGAAAGCTTTTGACCGTGTGTACAAGGTCCAAGAGCTGCTTGGGCTCCCTGGGCTCTCAGTCCTGCCTGTGTTGGCTCCCACCTGCTGTGAAAGCAGGATGCTGAGAGGTGGTTGGGTCACGTCGTCTTTCTGCCATAAGAACACAGGGGCTGTGGCAAGCGCTGGGTGCATCTGCCTCCCCTTTGCCTTGGAGGGGGTATTTTCCATCCTTCTCTCACTCCTTTGCTATCTACTTGCAGATCTTCTTATATGCTTCTGTGATAGTTGACTATGGCAAGCTTCCTACTGGCAAAGCCCTCCTGAGGAGCTTGTATAAAGGCTACAGCAACGTGCAGCTCAACTTTGACTCCAAGAATGCCCACTGCGTAGTCAAGGGGCCGTTCACTGAGCTGCAGGCCTTCAGCAGAGAGCTGCTGGGCAGCCTGAACCTCAAGAGCCAAGCTGCTGGAGAGATCCTCCTGCCAGATTCCAGCCCTGTGGCCAAAGAGACCGGAATGCCTGATCCCCAGCAAGAGCCTGACTCTGCTGAGTCAGCACAAGACACAGCAAAGCTCCCGAACTGGGACCAGGCATGTGAAGAGCCGGGTACAGCTCCATCGCCTTGGAGACCTGTGGATGGGAAAGCTGTGGAGCACCTGGAGGACTTCTCCCTAGTGATGGACTCAGACATTTACTTGTACATGCAGAGGTTCTGTGCTGCCGAGTACCAGGGAGTGCTACAGCAGCATCGTGTGGATGTGGTGGATGTCAGCAGCGATGGCATCGCCATGCTCTACTTCCAACCCGCTGCAGGGATGCCTGGGGACATGGGTGCCTTGCGAGAGGCCCGCTTGGCCCTGCAGGAGCTTTACCAGCAGCTGGAGGTGAGCTTGCGCAAGGAGAAGATCACCAAGGGAGGACTGGGTATGGACAGCCAGGCTCTCAGGGCGCTCACACAAGAGCTGCAGAAGCTGTATCCCCAGTTGCTCTGCCATGAGGATGTGAAGCAGCTTTATCTTATTGGAAACCTCGTTGATGTGTCCGAAGCCAAGCAGTATCTTCAGGATTCCAGTGCCAGAAGAGGCGTCGCACAGGCCATGGTCAGCAGCTCCCTGCCCTCACAGCCAACAGCCTCCCACACCACAGAGAACACACTGCACAAGCCCAAGGAGCCTGCAGGCACCCCAGCCTCAAGGTTCAGCCCAGGCAGGCCAAAGCTGAGAGGTGAGCTCAGACCACCTGCCAGCTTCAGCACCCGGAAAGCTGAGAGGGCTCAGAACCCCCCACCAGTGGGGCCTTCTGGAAAGCACCCACTGCAAACAGATGCTCTAAGTCCCAGTGACCCAATGGCACTGACCCAGCGGTACCAGCCTGGTGCCTCTACAGCAGGTGTGGATCTGGGGGCAGCAGCAGAGTCTCAGCAGAAGGACCCCAAGGAATGGGAGCAGGTGAAAGGAGGTGTCAGGCTTACAAGACACAAGGCTCTGTCTGCCTTTGGGGGCAAAGACAGCAGAGATGCTAAAGGCTCAGGTCCCATCAAGCATCACTCACTTGCTAGCACACCCAGTGCCTTTGACACAACGAGGACCTCTAAACCCTCCGAACCCAAGCCTCTTCTGCAACGTTCCAACAGCTTCTCCCTGCCAAGACCAAAGGAAAGCGAGAAGCTGCAGGGCACGGCCCGGGCAGGCCGGGCGGGTGGAAGGGTGAGTGAGGAGATGAGCCTGGACTCCCTGCAGTGGTCTTACCTGAAGGACGTTCACTGTGCTGCCATCGCTGAGCTGTGCGGCGATGGGGGGGTGCAGCTCTCGGAGCATCGCGATGGGGACTGCACCCTGCTCACGCTGCAGGCAGAGGGTAGGGAGAAGCTTTTGCAGGCGAAATGGAAAGTGGAAGCTCTGGTGCGGAAGTGCCCTGACCTTGTGTGTCAGAGTATGAGCTACTCAGAGCTTGCTGTGGATGGTCCCGATGACAGTGCCCTGAGTGAACTGTGCAGCCTCTTGCGAGGAAACTCCTTCCAGGTTGGGTTCAGCAAAGACAAGTACAACCTGTACCTTGCCTGCCCCAAGGAGATGCTGCCAGGAGTGACTGAGGCCTTCCAAGTGTTCTCTTCCAGTAGGCTCCCTGCCCTGAAGTCTCCAGGACCAGAGAGCACAGGGTGCCCTAGTGCTGTCCAGCCAAGCAGGAGCCAGGACACGGTGCTGGGTGCAGCCCTTTCTGGTAGTGTCGAGTCCCTTCAGATGGACCTGCAGGACCTGACCATTAGTGATACAGCAGAGCTTGCAGGTGTGATCCAGGATAAGAGGTCCGCGAGCCTTTGGGGGCTCCAGCACACACCGGGGCAGGAGGATGTCAATGACTGTGCTGATTCTGGGGCTGAGCAAGCAGGAGCCAACCTTCTGAGCCCTGCTGTGGTGGGTAACTCAAGTCCCACCGGTCTGAAGGAGTCCCAGGAGCAGCTGAAGACCAAAGGGCCTGTGGGGGAGCCGGATACGGCAGGGCTGAGGCAGCTTCTGCCGGACAGGTTCCAGTTTGCAAGAGACAAGAGCAGAGGAGGCCCCGGCGATGCGATGGGACCCCTGCGCTCCCCAGTGCCTGCAGCGGACGGGGCTCCTCACTCGCTGCCCGCCCGGCTCTGCAGGCCCACGGAGGCTGCAGCCCTGGCCCCGGGCAGGGCTCTGCTCCCCGCAGGCAGGAGCAGTGAGCAGGAGGGGCAGACAAGAGGCCCCAGCCCGGGGCAGGAGAGCAGCAGGAGCGCTCGGGGCCGGTGCGATGCCTGCCATGGCTCAGCCATGACCTGCACGGCGCGCTGCGGTCACTCGCTGTGCAGGACGTGCTTCGCAGGGGACAGCCCGCAGCCACCCTGCTGCAGCGTCTGTACGCTTACCCCGGGCTGCAGGATCCCAGGGAAGTTCCAGATCTCCTCCTTGTCTCAGAGTCTGCCGGGCTACTACCGAGACCCAACGCTGCAGGTTGTCTACACCATCCCCGACGGGGTGCAAGGGGTAGGTACCACCGCTGCAGGGCATGCAATGGGGTCTGCATGCAGCACGTGCAGTGTGGCTGGGGTGGGAAGGAGAAGGGCAGCTCCAACTCCATGCCCCACATGCAAAGCAGTGTTGAAGCATGGCTCTGCTGGTTTGGGAGCAGGTTGCTGTAAGCTCTGCTTCAGTTCCAGGGCACTAGCAGGCCATGGGGCCACAAGCTGGTGAGATGCCAAACACCAGCCCCGAGGCACAGCGCTCAGGTGATGGTTTGAAATGGTTTCTCCCTGTTCCAAGGTCGGTGACCCCCACCCAGGGCAGCCTTACAAAGGGGGGCATTTCCATGCCTTCCTGCCCGACAACAGGGAAGGGCGGCAGACAGCAGTGCTTCTGAGGAAAGCCTTTGACTGTGGGCTGACGTTTCACATCAAGTCCTGCAACGGCGAGGAAAGAGTGACATGGGGCCTTATCCCGCACAAAACCTCCTGGGACGGAGGCAAAGCCAGGTAGGACCCAGCTCATCCCAAGCTTCCAGGTGTGGGGGTTTCTAGTAGCAATTGAAGGGGGAGAACCATGGGCTCCAGCTCACCCCATCCTGCTGTGAGTGCCTATTCCCGGCTCCCACAATGGGGACTCTGCTTCAGCCCGCAGGCTCTGGCAGAGCAGCTCTGGCCCCCTCCAGCTGGAGCTAAGCCCTTGCCCATCCCACTCCTTTAAGCTCTCTATGGATGGGAATCCCGGGCCCTGTTCACTCACAGTTCCCCTGCCTTTCCCTGTGTCCCTGCAGCCAGCCCTGGGTGCAAGCTGTGACTTCCACTCCCAGCCCCACTGAATGCATGGGGCAAAAATAGACTGCGCTCCCCTCTTCCTGTACTGGAAGGGAAAGGGAGGTTCTGGAAGGTGGTTTTAGCACCGTCAGCAGGATTCACACCACTTCCCTCTCTGCCCCACAGGAATGGTTATCCGGATGCCCTGTATCTCCGGGAGGTTTGCACTGTACTGAAGAAACTGGGCATTGCATGAGCCTCCTTGTGCAGCAGCCACAGCTCCTGCCTTGCTTCACCTTCCTCTCCAGCTGAAACCAGTGCAGCTTAACACAGGCAGCTCAAGAGAGAGCTCTTGTTTGTCCTCCTGTGGCCCCAGAGGCAGCCAGGAATCAGGTCAGTGACAGCAGCACCTCCATCCCCAGCCTCACCATGGACCAGAGCCCCACTGCAAGCCCGGGATGCGCATCCTCACAGCCAGTAATGCAGCTTGTGTCAGGCTGAGCCCTGACGTGGATTCCAGCAGCACGACCCAAACCGGGGCAGGAGCCTGCCTCAGCTCGGGCAGATGGTGCAGTCCCAAAGCCACCAGCTCCCAGCTCCATCCCTGCTCTAGGGCCAGCAGGAGCGCTGCTGCTCTGCTGGGGGAGCACCCCATGGACCATGCCTCCATGGGACCATAGAGCCTGTCCCTGTCTGTACCTAGAGAAGCACAATAAACAACGTTTATCCCCCCCGTTTTTAGTGGTTGTTATCACCCCAGGCACCTGCTTCAATCACAGAGACACCCAGACACAGAGTAAAGGGCAGAGAGCAGCTAATGGCTTGCCACACACAAATAGATGCCCTCTAGACCAGGGTGTTAGAGCATCACTGTGACAATGGAGTAACCAGTGAGCAGTCCTTGCGAGCAGAGGTGTGTTCTCCCCCTTGGGAAGCAAACTGACTGCATCCACCCACTGCCTGCCTGGGGAAGGAAGAGGCAGAGCTGGGGCAGAGGGTTCATTCCCACAGCAGACTGAGCAGCAGAGCACGGGCAGGGTGGGTTGTTATGCTTTTAATTAACATCTGAAACACATAAGGCATATGGTAACATCAGACAGAAGAGCATTACACAGCATAGTCATGTAAACAGCATTGGCACACTTGCTTTCTGTCCATCTTGGTTACACGCACAAAGCGGAATACAAAGATTTGCCATGTGGCTGTAGGATGAGTTTCACTCATGTCACACTCCAAACCAACACAACTGGGACAGCACAGACCAGACTGGATGGTGCGAGAGGCTCAGCCTAATGCGTTCCACATCACGCTCGGGTAATCCTCGCCAGTCCACTCTGCCAACACCAGGGCTTGGCACACCAGAGCCTTCATTAGACAACAGTGTGGCTTCACACCTCTGACAGTAGCTCTAAGTGGGCCAGGATCCTGCACCAGTTAAAGCCTGAGGCCCACAGCACTTCTTACTTCTCCCTGGTCAAGCGATTCTAGTTTAACCCATTGTCCAAAACGGTGCAGGTGAACTCCTTCCTCCAGCTCAAACGGATCTGGCAGGGATCATGCTCCTCTATGCAAACAGAAGCTGCAACACAGGTGAGCTCGAGAGCATCCAGAGTCAAAAACACGACAGAAGCAGCCTGCTGATAGCAAAGGGGTTGCATTTTGTCCCAGACCAGTCTGGGAAGGCGCCTGCAGTAAACGGCCCTGCACAGGCACCCCTGCACTGAGCGGCCCCAGTGGACAGGGCCATGAGCTGCTCACACTTGGACTCCTCACCACAACCTTTGGATCAGGCAATGAGCAACAGAAACACTAAAGGGCACTTGTTGGAGCTGGAATGGCACCCTGCCGCTGAGCACAGGAAGCTCCCGTCTCCTCACTCTGCCCTAAGCCGTTAAGCAACAGTGAGTGGAATGATTGTGATCCTGGGGTTTGGTTTGGTTTTTGCTTTGGTCCTTAGTACACAAACCTGCTGGTTAATGGAGTTAAGACACTTGGAGTTGTTGTACATCGGTTCTAGACTTCTTAGCCCATAAAATGTCCATTAAAAATAAGGTAAAAAAAAAAAAACCCCAAACAAACCCAACCCAAGAAGAACCAACCCCAACCCCTAGAGGGGAGCAGTGGGAGTGAGGCGGTGGAGAGCAAGGTTACACTTAATCCTGGCTCTCTGTAGAAAACACTGTTGCTACCAAGGGACATAAAACAGACAGCGCTAAACACAAACCAATGGTGACTGCTCAGCACCCTGGCCCTGATAAGGGCTTCAGGAATGTGCAGGGAGAACACATGAGCAGCTACAGGGAGGGAGTGGGGAGCTGGAATTGATTCCAAGGCAGCAGATAAAGCCTTGCTCAAGGACTGCCTAAAGCCCAGCAGCTGCCCTGGGGGAGACAAGGGCTCCACGGAGCTCTTGTGGACTGGGGATCGCAGAACCCCAGCCTGGAGGGCTGTAACACACGGGAAGGGAGCGCCTCATCCACGGCAGGTCAGACTACATCACTAGGGTTCACAGAACAGAGCTAGCAGAAGTCACAACAGGTTTTTGGCAATACTTTGAAAGGCCAGGATGGAAAAGGCTCCAGTGACTTCCCAGTCCTTACAGGCATGGAGAAGAAGGCACCGAGATACTGTTTTCTGAGGTGGAGCACAAGGCAGCACGGCAGAGGTGTCCTATGGGAAGCTGCATCGGCAGGGACAGCCTGCGAGAGCCTTTCTATGCTGCCTGATCCAAGAGCATCCAAGTAAGGCACTGAGCACACGCTTGGCCGAGAGTAAAGCAAGGAGAGGATGTTACTGGGACAGACAGTGGGAGAGCGTTCCCCTTTCCAAGTGTGCAGAACCTGAAGGTGCGCAGGGCTGTGCTGTGTGTGAGCACACCGCTCCTTCAGCAAGAGGAACAGGTCCAGACTTCCCATTCTAGCAATTGAGTCCTCCTGTTGTCAGACCGGGTAAAGCAGCATTAGACTCTGTTGGGCTGCATCTGAATTGGCACGAGAGGGCAGATTGAAAGGGGAAGCAGGAGGAGTTTGGATCCAGAAAGGTTCAAAGTTGTGCTTGTGAGTTTCATTAGACCATGTTGGTGAAGTTCACGTATGGGAGATGGACTGACAAGGATGGGCAGGCCCCAGCCTCCTCTGAGCTCCAAGGGAATGGGGTTGGTTTAACGCTTCATGTGCGGAGGCCAAACAAATCCCATGAAGCCTTCCCACCCCAGCTCCTGTCACGCCCCCATGATGGTGGGCAGCGGGTACAAAGTGGGGAAGCTGGGGTCCTCAGGCAAGGGGGGCTACCACAGATCAGATTTGGCTGGGGTACGAATAGAGCCCTGCCTGAGCAGCATTCTGAGTTGGTCCTGCAGCCAAGGACTCTCCCCTAGGGTCAGGATGCATCCAAGGAAGCTCCTCAAGGCCAAAGCCCTCCCTTTGCTAGGTGAGTGACTGCACCGTTTGGAGCACTGGCCATAACCTTAAGAATGGATTCTAGTGACAAATCCAGGTGACCCCCAAATCTGCAGGCGATGGAGCTTTAACTGGAGAGCAGCTTTCATTTGGTCCCAGTGAATTGGCTCAGCAGTGGCAGAGCCAGGGCAAGGCCCCCAGAGGCTGTGCCTATGCTCTGCTAAAGAATTAGGGTCTAAGCACCTGCAATACAACACTGACAGGAGGATAGGGCTGGACCCTCCTCACCTACACAGGAGCCCCAGCATATGGGGTCCTTCATATGGGGTTGGGTAAGCAGGACTCCCAGTAGCAAGGGTTTGCCACAATAGGCTTCTCTTCTTGGGGCCCTCACATTTACCTTTACAAATCCAGAACAAAGCCTAAAAGCCTGCAGCACCCCCAGTCCATGGCACAGCCCTGAGGCAGGCACAAACTGCATCTGAGTCTGCTCCGGGCTGAAAACGGTCCAGCAGGAAGAGGAAGCACCACCCAGGGTAAGTGCTCGCAGCACTGGGCTCAGGGCTCCGCACAGCTCCATCTCCAAACGCATGGAAGAAAGAGAAGGGGAAACTGGAGCTCTGGCCTGGGAGGAGCATCCCAGGCAGCTCCTGAGCCCTCGGTGCTGGAAGAGAGCCCAGGAGCCCCATGACTTGCAGTTTCAGAGGAAGAAGAGTCAAGCCCTGCCGCAGCACTGAATCACGAGCTGAGAGCTGCTTCGAGTGGATGCCTACCGAGCTAGCAAGAAGAGGATGGGAAGCACTATTTCAACTGCTCGAGATGCCCAGGCCAAGAGGCTTGGCAGAGCTGGGCTGTTTACCATCTACAGCAATAACCTGGCAATAGCCCCACTGAGCAGCATGCCAGAGAGGAGCCAGCCCAGGCTCCTGGGAAGTGCTTACAGGCCTGGTTCTTGCAAGATACTCCCCCAGAGCACACCAAAAAGCAAGCATTAACGGGCTTGTTCTGTTCCCATCCTGCTAAAGTCTGGTTCAACACTGCAGCCCTTGGAAACACAAACACGAGGGTGAACTTTAGCCTTAACAATACCAGCTTGGAGCCCAACATTAATAAAGCACAGAGCCAACATCAATTGTTCCAGTCATTTGAGACACAGTTGAGTCCTTACGGTCTCTAAAAATCAGACACAATTTAGATCTCCCTATGCAGTTTGGAAGCAGAAAATGGACAAGATCAAGTTACCCAATTGGACCTTTTCTTCTGCACTCAGACACAGACCAGCCTGTCAGGTTATCTGCTGACTGCGCAGAGAAGGGACTGCAAATGAAGTGCAAGATGCCCTAGACTCCAGGATGGTCATTTAGAAGGCAAAGGCAACACGGCCTGTTATGAACTGACTGGTGTTAGAGGCCTAGGAAAGCAGAGGGAAGAGGGTGGTTAGTGTAAAGAGAAGAGCAACCAGTGCTAGAATGAAACTGGGCCAGCTCTGCTTTTGCTCTGGCTGTGGAGGGAACTTCCCAAGCCTGGCCCCAGCTGAGAGCGCAGTGATGCAGCAGGACCAGGTTCTGTGGAGACCCCTGGCAGCTCCTACAGCATTTAACACCTTGACTCTACAGCAATGGGCTGTGCAGTTGTTAACCACCACTGCTGGAAGCCTCACCTGCACTGCCAGGGAAAGAGGAAGTTAGTTTGGAAACTCAGTAGGGAAACAAGGGATGAGTAAAGTGTATGAAAGAAGCAGGCTTCAAACCAGACAGCGAGGGCAAGGGGTCGGTCACAATGAAAGCATGCAAACCTCAGCTGAACGTTAACCACGATGTTCTGGTGAAGATGGAAGCTACTGATCTGTCCATTTCCAGGTCCCAAAGAGATCAAGGAGTTAACCCACGAATTCACAATCTGCACCCATCTCTTCTCCTTAGTTCTCTTCTTTTTTGGACTCTTCCTTGGGTGCTTCAGGAACCAGGATGACCTTTCCAACATTCTTCTTCTCTTGCATCTGCCTCATGGCATCTGCCACCTGGAAGCAACAGGAACCCAGTGAGACCCACACCCACCATGCACTGGCCCTTCTGGGGTGCCTGGTCCACCCAGACTAGTCCGGGGGCCATCCAAGGCAGCTTCCCTGGCAGAAGGCCTCTGCACAGAAGCATTTTGGACAGAGCGGGGCAGCTCCCTCCATCTAGGGACATGAGGAATCCCCATGTGACAGGGAGAAACTGTCCCCATGGATTCACACAGAGCAGCTCCAACAGGAAGAAGGATGTGAAGCAAACCCTGAAGAGTGAAGTGCATGTCTCCACAGCTTCCTTTCCAGAGGGGAGCACTGCAGAAACCCAGCCAACAGCCGGGATGGTGCTTCTACCACCACAGCCCCACAGAACAAACATGCACAGGGCTCTAGTGTTATCAAGCAAAACAGCCCCTGGGCCAGGCCTGGATTCACCAGTTTTCCTTAAGCACTTGCACCAGACTATGAACAGCAACTGGTTGTTACTAAGTCCTACCCCAGCAAAGGATTCCCAAGGGGAGAATGGGCCTGGACACACGGATGCAACAGCACAGAGCAGAGCTGCTGAACACTGCCGCTCCCAACATCCCCATTCTGCTTCACTGCCTGGGCTCTGTCTCCCTGCTGGAAGGGCAGTAGCAGCATTCCCAGCTGTCTGCTCCGTTACAGGCTGCAAACTCAGGGCAGTTTCCAGTCTGATGCAGAACCCAGACCCTCTATGGGCTGCTGCTGCGCACAGAGCACAGCTGAGCATCTGCCCTATTCCATAGGGATGCTGTCTGGTGCTGCCCAGCTCTGTGCACTGGAGCAAAGAGCCCACCCCCTTTACTCCCCCTTAACATCTAAGAGGACAAAAGCACCTGAGGACAGGTGTTATCAAACATCTGCAACAGCTGAGCCCCCATGAGCAAGGTGTTCACACTGAATCAGAGCTCACTGTGCAGAATACACTCACCCACTAATTTCTGGGTGCTGGAACCTATATGTTAACTCAGACTCACCTGATCAAAAGGCCATACAGAGTCTATTTTGGGCTTGATTTTGCCTTGACTGTAAAGGTTATCCAGCTTGGATAGAACACGTCCAATGAGCTCAAATTCTTCATCCATAGAGCCAAGGTCATAGCCACACACAGCCTTGTTATGATGTAGGAGCTGCAAGGCATTGATGCTGAACTGGTTCCACCAGGTTTTAGCCATAGCCACGAGGCTCTTCTTCTGCCCAGTGAGCAGGTTTGCTACCCCTAAAAAGAAAGGAAGCCACGGATGAGCCTGAATGACCACAACCCGAGAGGCAGCAGACACCCCATAGAACAGCTCAGACTATATGCAGGGCAACAGCTAACCAGAGTGATGGAGGACAGAGGCAAGAAGGATCACATCAGGATCAGTCCATTTGACCTTCCACGTAAGAAGGAACCTGCCTTGGACCATAGGCACCCATAAATGACCAAAATACAGAACAACTCCTCTCTTGGGAGGGCAGCAGCAGCACAGCTGGACTGGCAGAGGCAGGAGAGGGTTACAGGTCACATCCAGGCAGGCTGGAGGGACAGCACCCCCTTCTACAGCCAGGCTTCCTCAGGGGAGCCACAGGCTGCAGCAGCGCGGACAGCAGAGGCCGTACACTGGTGCATGTGTCTGGAATCCCACTGGGGGTTGTGTGAGGGCTTTGTCCGGGGGACAAACTCACAGTGTTCCAGGGCTGGGGAATGGAGAGATAAGTATTCAATAGCCTCAAACCTCCTCACCCACACATCCTCTAGCAGAAAAGCAAGGCTCTATTAGTGCTGTGCATTAAGTCAGCCTGGACAAAGCAGCTGTGCCAGCATTCCTCGTGAGCCCATTCCAGCTTCCCCTGCAGGCACTGGCTCGTACTTGGAAAGCCATCTCACCATGGGAGGGAAGAGCCTCGGAGCCTGTGAGCAAAGCTCTGGGAACACAGCACAAACCTCACTCCCCTCAGGCAAAGCTTCCTAAAGCCCTTTGTGAAACAGCAGCACTACACACACAGAACAGTGAGCAACAGGCACGGAGCATCCCATGCAGATCCAGATGCACGCTGCCATCACTCGCTCCCCCTGCTGCAGGAGCAGGGCTTCGGGCACACTCTGCTCACACTCACCATAAGTGATGAGTTTGCCCATCGGCTTCAAGAGGTTAAATGCTTTGGATGTGTCAGATCCTCCCAGTGGGTCCAGGACAATGTCAACACCTAGAAGGAATCGAGAGTAAGCAGGAGTGAGTTTGCACTGGGGATGCACGCAGGACGGGTGTGTGAGCCCTCCAGCACCCAGTACCTTTGGGAGAGATCTTCCGGACCTCCTCTGCGTAATCCATCGTTCTGTAGTCAATGGGGTGAGCGACCCCGCTGCTCCGGAGCGCGTCGTGCTTGGAGGCGGACGCTGTGCCAAAAATGGTGACGTTTTCGACAGTCTTGCAGAGCTGGACGGCAGCAGTTCCCACACCACCTGAGAACAGCAGCGAGAAACACTCAGAGGCAAACATCCCCAGCAGGCAGGAAAGCCCCTGGAGAGGTGATTTATCCCTGCTTGGACTGATGGCACTGCACCGGGAGGGGACGGAACAACCCGATGCCTGTGGCACACTGGTGGAGACTGAAATCAGTTCAGTCCCGCCCTGCTCTGATCACTTCCTCGCCATGGTACCCGTTCAGAGGCTGCACACTGAAGTCTCACCACGGGCTGGTGAGGACTATTTACCTGCAGCCATGTGGATGAGGACACTTTGGTTGGGTCTCAGGTTTCCAAAGTCGAACAGGATCATGTAGGCAGTGATGTAGTTGACAGGAAGCGCAGCCGCTTCCTCGAAGCTCATTCCCGCAGGCATCAGGAAAGTCTGACGGGCTGGAACGTTCACCACCTCTTGCCAGAGCCCCGACTTCGCCAGGACCATCACCTTATCACCAACCTACCGTCAAACAGAGGACAAGGCGGTCTGAAACAAGGCCAGGCTTGCAGAAGTCATCACACATCAGAGCCAGGCACACACGTGTCTGCGGGCACACCCGTGGTCCACTCCCTGGGCACCAACACCAGGGCACCTCCTGCCATGGACCCGCATGTACCAGCAGACCCCTGAGGAGGTCAGAGAGATGGGGCCTGTGTCCTGCCCTGGGAGCAGGAGTCTGAGCACTGAAACATCACTGCTGCCCCTTGTGAAGGATCATTCTGCTTACAGGCAGGAGGCTTGGGGCAATGCTTAACAGGGAGAACCCTGCAAAACGCATGTCCAAGCTTAGAAAAACCTCCCAGGTCTGAACCTGAAGGCTGAAGCATCCCCAAACATCTGCTCTTAATGCCACTGCGCAAGAAATATCTGCTCACTCTGCAACAGGAAAGACACAACAAAACACAGCAAGCAGATAAGAGACAGAGCCCCAGAAGCGAGCAGGTCTCCATTTCCACTTCAGTCAACCAAGATGTTTTCCTGGAGGGAAGGGAACCTCCCTTGAGGACTGGGGGTTTTTGAGACACTTCATTTTCCTCGTTGTTCACCCCAGAATCGTTTTAAAGCACCACAGCTGCAGGAGCCCTGAGACCCGAAGGTCTGGGATGTGCAGAGCCAACTCTCCTGTCCCCTGAGGTGCTGGAAATGCGGCAGCCAGAGCCTCGCAGACCACAAACCCAGCACCAAGAGCAGCCAACCTGCTCCTGCCTGCACCTCAGCACCCTCAGGTGGGTCTTGACAGCCCTGCAGCAGCTAGAGGCTTCCTTCCACATTCGTGGAGTTTAAAAGGATGCTCACAAATGTGCTCAGGAACGGCACAGTCCCGCTGTAGCTCAACACCCTACCAGTGCTTGCCACCACCAAGAACAGCTTGTATAGAGAGTCATGGAAAGGTTTGGGTTGAAGGGACCTCAAAGCTCCTCCAGCTCCAACTCCCTACCACGGGCAGGGACCCCTTCCACTGGAGCAGCTTGCTCCAAGCCCCTGTGTCCAACCTGGCCTTGAGCACTGCCAGGGATGGGGCAGCCACAGCTTCTCTGGGCACCCTGTGCCAGCGCCTCAGCACCCTCACAGGGAAGAGCTTCTGCCTAAGAGCTCAGCTCAGTCTCCCCTCGGGCAGGTTCAAGCCATTCCCCTTGCCCTGCCCCTGCATCCCTGCCCCAAGCCCCTCTCCAGCTTCCTTCAGGCTCCGCCGCCCTTTGTCCCGGGGCTTTGTTTGCTGCCGGGGCCGCGCGGGCGGGACCGCGCCGGGCTCTGCGGGGGGAGACGGGACGGGACACGGGACCGCGCCCCCACCCCCGCCGGTCGGACCGGGACCACCGGGACCGGGACCTCGCGGGGCCACCGGGGCCGCACGTGGTGGGCGGCGGGGCGGGGCCACCGCAGTGCGGCGGGGAGAGCCGAGCCCACCCGAACCGAGCCGAACCGAGCCGAACCGAGCCGAACCGCCCCGCCCTCACCTGCCGGTCGTGGACGCCGTCTCCGAGGGCGCGGACGACGCCGGCGCACTCCATGCCGGGGCAGACGGGCGGCGGCGGCAGGCGGTCGTACAGCCCCTGCCTCGCCAGCAGGTCCGCGAAGTTGAGGCCGCAGGCGTGGACGCGCACCGAGACCTCACCCGGCCCCGGGCCGCTGCTGCGCCGCGACTGCACCTTCAGCTTCTCGTAGCCGCCGAAGCCCGTCAGCACCAGCGCCCGGTGCTCGGCCGCTTCATCGGCGGCCGCGGGCGGCTCGGGGCCGGGGGCCGGCTCGGGGGCGGCGGCAGCCGGGGCCGGTTCGGCGGACATGGCGGAGCGGAGCTGCGGGAGCGGATGCGGGAGCGGGGCGGCGGCGGCGGGCGGCGAAAAGCCGGGGCCCGGCCGAGGGCGGGGTGGGGCGGGGCGTGCGGTTGTGCTGGTGGAGCCGCCGAAGGGCTGGATTCCTCCGGGACAGCCGCGCAGCTGGAGCCGCGTCTGGCCGAGATGCTGCAGCTGCCGTCACTGCTGTCACTGCTGTCACCGGCGCGGAGGGTTCATCAGCATCGCTTCGGGTGGCCCTGAAATGGCTGCGGGGAGTGGAAACGGACAAGAGGGAGGAGTGGAGCTCCAGTCCGCAGGAGCTCGAGGAGAGCTTTGCAATAGGAGCTAAAGACAGATAAAAAGGACGTGGAGCTGTTGGAGTGAGGCCAGAGGGGGCCAAGGAGCTGCTGCGAGGGCTGGAGCAGCTCTGCTCTGGAGCCAGGCTGAGAGAGCTGGGCTGGGGCAGCCTGGAGAAGAGAAGGCTCCTGAAGGGGAGACCTGAGAGCAGCTCCAGTGCCTAAAGGGGCTGCAGGGAACCTGGAGAGGGGCTTGGGACAAGGGATGTAGGGACAGGCCAAGGGGGAATGTCTGTATCCTGACACAGAGGAGCCTCTGGCAGTGGGATGCACCCCGTGCCGGCCACCCTGCTTAGGGCTTTGTTCCACATCCCTTTATTTTCATGCAGGGCTCTCCTCTCCTCTGCTCTCAAGGAACTCAACAAGGAACAGGCAGGAGATAACAAAGCCATGGTGGGTCCGCAGGCAGCTGCCTGTGGGAGCTTTGTCTTTGCCCCAGGGCTGATTCACGATGGACTACAGCAGGTCCAAGCCCACAAAACCCTCCCCTCATCTGTTGAGGCAGCCTGGGCCCCATTGGGCGTGGGCTGAAAGTGCCTTGATCTGTCTGTCTGGGTTTGTGGGAACTCAAGAGAAAGAGTCCTTCTGCCTTTGTTCTGCTTTTGTCTCACCTGTGTTGGCAGCATTGGGATGCACACAGATGAGATCTCCCAGCTGTATCACACATACAAGGATGCTGTGCCTCCTGGATGACACTGTGCCTGTATCACAGTCAATTACGTTTAGATTTGACAGGTAGAGCAACAGGTAGAAGAAATGTGACACAACCCCTCAGATGTTCCTGCCACTCACAGCCACAGCTCCCTGCGCCGCTGTTTTGATCACAGAGACAATGGAGGTGACTGCCAAGCGGTAACTGATGCTCAGTAAACAAGAGTCCTCATGATGACAGCAGACTGAAGAAACCCTTCCAGCACAGCGTATCGTTCCCACAAAGAACACTGCTGAGGATGCTTCAGCATCTTCCCCTCCACAAACCCAAGCTGCAGAGGCTGAGGATGTGCGGCACAAGCAAGCAGGATGGCTGGCATGAGGCCGGTTTGCTGATGTGCACAGAACAGCATCCCACCGTGTCCTCCTCTGGAGGCAGGCACCTTTTCCCTTGTGGTCCTTGCAGAAATCCTGTGAAATGAGAATCTTTCTCCTTAACTTTAACCTTCCACAGCAGCATCAATAATTTACTGACAATGGCAGCCCCAAAATTACAGGCTTAGCGCATCCACATGCTGTGCACCCGGGAGGAGCTGATCATTTGGCCAGCATGTCTTCCCTTGCTGAAAATGCACAACCTCCCCCTCAGTGTGCTCATCGCGGCTTGCAGGGATGAGGTAACCACTGGACACGGTGCGTGTCTTGTGAAGGGAGTTGGTTTTCTCTGCACCACAGAGAACTGATGCATCTCAAGGGCTGTGCCACACGTGCAGCATTCCCTGGGCTCACCCTGGGGATGTGGGATGCTCTGCAAGGAAAAGCAAGCGTGGTGCTGAGGCACAGTGGGGTGCAGAGCCTGAGAGCCTCCCCCCCACCCAGCCCCTGCTGCACTGTGCTGGGCCTGCTGGAAGGAGGGCTTGAAAGAAAAGCCCAATTCGTGTTCGTGATGTGCAGTTCATGTGTGACATTAAATGGAAAAGAAGCTGGAGTTCTGAGAGTTCATTTTGGTTCACTCCCCGCCCTCCACCACTCTCCATGTGAAAAAGAGCTGCAAAACTGAAAATACTTCATTTTGACGAGTGATTTCACATGCAAAGGTGGTGGAGATCACTCCTACTGCTGGAGAAGCTGTTCCCTCTGAGCCCCTCAGCCAGGGAGCAGCCAGGCTCCCCTGTAACCCACAGCAGCGGTGCTGGGAGCCGCTGGGTCTGGCTTAAGGGGCCCAATGGGCAGGACCATGCACATCCTGCACTGCCTGCATCCAGGGCAAGGCCAGGGCAAGGCCGGTGCTGGCTGGAAGCTGCATTTCAAGGAGCCGGATGCAGTGTGGGAGGGGATGTGTGCGGGGAGGAGGTTTCCACACGCAAGGGGCCAGAATCAGAGAATCAGCCATTTCCCTCCTCCCACCCTGACCCTCTTTATTTGCCTTTGGTGCTGCCAGCCCCTGCACAGTGATCAGCCTGCAGCCAACCTCTGGAGTCCCCCAGACCCTCCCATGTCCCTTCAGCTGCTGCTGGGCCTGATGGATCCTAAGAAGTGTCCTGAGAGTGGGGGAGAAGGGAGCCGCTCACCTCCACAGGGATGCTGCAGAGGCTCCACATCACTTTCTCCATAGAGAGAAACCCACAGCTGTAACAGAGGTATTGTGCTTCCCACACCATGCGTGCTCCGACTGCAGTCCTGCCAGCAGAAGGCTTGTCAGTTGAATGCCTCCTTGCTTTAATCCCTGAGATTGCAGAAGGATGCTGCTTTCATCTGATAGCATTTATGGGCTCTTATAATGAGTTTTGGCTTGCTGAGATAAATTAATGTGCTCAACCGGAGGTGTAAACTTCATTAATGGCAGCAGTGAGTCAGATCAGCGTTATTCTAGTATAGGATGTAAACAGGCTGGACACATGAAAGGGGATTTGGCTGTTGGGTTGTTTCTTCTCTCTCTCTTCCTTTTAACCTTCCTAATTGATGTTGATTTGTATCTTTTCTGCTGTGTGTGTGTTCAAACTCCACTGCTTTGCCACCTCTTCATCTTGCAGTGGAAACCATCAAATAGCACACCATTCAGGACTGAATGATGTAACTGCTGAGTGTTAACAGCAACACGCTGCAGTTCTGCCTGGCACCTTTCTAGCTTTCACATATTTGACAAGTCAGACAAAAAGATGCTTAAGACAAGCATGAGAAATTACAGTGTGTCCCTTATTCCTGTCCCAGGTTGTTGGCTTACCAGTGGAAACAGGATGTTGCAGTGGTTGTCAAGGACCAGACTTTGAGACTCTGTGCAAGCACAAGAACGAGATGTCCCAGGCTCCAGGTTTCAGGCTGTGGGTCCTTCAGTAAAGATTGGCTTCCCCTAGTCCCATTTCCCTATTACAGGTCCTGAGGATGTTTTCTAGTTCCTTTGTATAGGAAATAACGCAAACACAACACAATAAAGCTAATTCCTAATGGCCATTAAGATCCCGGAGAGCATGGCTCAGACAGGGAGGGTCTAGCCACTGGAGAAGCGTTTTCAGGAGCAGACATGCGAGAGCCATCTGTCGCCCCACCAGACGTGGTGACAGCCACAGCACGGCTCTCTCCGCATCCTGCTCGGAACATTCACACCATGACTGAAGGTTGCCGGGATGCAGCAAGTGGCGCCTGCCAAAAGGTGCATTGCACCAAATGGAGCGCGGGGCTCGGCACTGAGAGTGCCCCAAGTGGCTCCAAGCAAAAGGCGCTCGCAGCTGCTTTCCCTCCGCGAGGAAAGCCCCCTGTGGCTGGCAGATTTACAGAGGTCTGGAGTGTTAGATACTGATGTACAGATCATTGTGATGTATATTAATAGAACTGAATACATATTTTATGTATTGAGACCAGCCCTGAGGAGGAGTTGGGGGTGATGGGAAGCTCCCCGTGACCTGGCTTCAGTGTGCACTTGAGCCCAGAATCCCCCTGTGTGCTGGGCTGTATCCCCAGAGCATGAGCAGCAGCTCAGGGAGGGGATCCTGCCCCTCTGCTGCGCTCTGAGGACCCCCCCTGAAGTCCTGATCCAGCTCTGGGGCAACAGCACAAGGGGGATGTGGAGGTGCTGGACTGAGGCCACAGGAGGCCATGGAGATGCTGCGAGGGCTGGAGCAGCTCTGCTCTGGAGCCAGGCTGAGAGAGGCTGGGAATGGCTTTAACCTACCAGAGGAGAGACTGAGCTGAGCTCTTAGGCAGAAGCTCTTCCCTGTGAGGGTGCTGAGGCGCTGGCACAGGGTGCCCAGAGAAGCTGTGGCTGCCCCATCCCTGGCAGTGCTCAAGGCCAGGTTGGACACAGGGGCTTGGAGCAAGCTGCTCCAGTGGAATGGGTCCCTTCTCGTGGCAGGGGTTGGAGCTGGGTGAGCTTTGAGCTCCCTTTCAACACAAACCAGTCTGGGTTTCTATGATTCACTACAGAGTTTCCTGCTTCCTCTGAAGCAGGGTCACAATAATCTGTTGGTTGGAAGCAAAACACTAATTCCTTTTGAGAAACACAGTGAAAAGCTTTCCCAAGAAAGGGTGTTGTCCAGGGGAGCAGCTTGTTCCAGGTGACAGTGATGGCCACCAGGCACTCCTTTACCCACAGTCGCAAGCACAACGAACTTTGCTTGCTGTTTCTGCACAGAAGAGCTGGGTGACAAACACACACACAGACAAGAAGGCGAAAAACCCTACAGGGCTTTACAAAACATGACACAGTGCAGCACAAGCTTCTTTCCCTGGGGAGGGTGGAAGGAAACGAGCATGTGACAGTTACTCATCACATTGCTTAAGGCGAGGCTGGGAGGCACAGAGATGCGGCAGCAACATGCACTGAAGGCGGAATCGACTGACAATAGTTTCCTGGCCCATATAATGCAGGAGTCAGACTGGGTGAGCTACACTACCGTGATCCTAGGGCAGCCTTATCCCTCTGTCTTGTCTGGTCTTGTCTTAGGTCTTGTCTGGTATGTGATGATAGGATGGATGTGGGGGGCCTGAGTTCTCGTTTGACCAGCTGGATGTGCTCAGGACACACCTCCAGCCCCGCCTGTGCTTGGCCCCAAGACACGGGGCAGTTCTGCCAAGCGCACACTGGCCCAGGTTGATGTGTCCCAGCAGAGAGCAAAGCAATGCTGGAAGCCACGGGGTGCCTCCATGGCCCCGTGCCCTGCCCTGCATCCGCGGGCGTTCCTCACCCCGGCTCCAGGCTCAGCACCAGGATTTATACATGAAAAGAGACTGTGATTTCCACAGAAACAAACTGCCCCCTCAGTCCATTAATAAACCCAGTTTTCACTGCCAAAACATTTCAGTTTCCGTTCCTTAAGACTTGCTTTGTTTTCACTGTCTCTGTTTTCACTGCATTTTGTGACAGCTTGTCTCTGGCAAATGAAAGTTTGCTATTATGGTAAATCCTCCTGCAGCGTGGCCAGCAAAGCAGCAGCAGTAACTACAGGAGCCTTTGCTTTCTCAATGATTCTACTTCCAATGGCTGGCTCTGATTTCCAGCCGCACCGCCGGGACTTGGGGGGATGGAAGGCACAAGGTGCTGCTCTCCCTGCACAAAGCCGTGAGCCAGGCCCCGGCTGGTGCAGCCTCCACACGGACCCTCGCCAGCATCAGGGGAGAGCGGCACAAGATGCCGGCAGTTCCCGTTCCACCGAACTCCTCCGGGGAACGAGCCCCTTTCCTTGCGCAGTGCCACGGCGGGAACGGACGGGGCAGCTCCGAAAGGGCCCGGAGCGATCGCGGCCCCTCGGTCCCCGCTGTGCCCGCGCCGGGCCCTCCCGCAGCCGTCGGCAGCGCGGTGCTGGGGGGCCGGGGCCGGTGCGAACCGCTCGGGGCCTCCACGGTGCTGCGGGAGGTGCCGGACGGGGGGAGCCCCCTCGGGGCAGTGCCCGACCCCCGGCTCTGGGCCCTGCTCCGAGCCTGGGGGGGGGGGGCCGCGGAGGGCGGAGAGCGGAGGGGGGGGGGGCGGTGCATCCCTGCCCAGCGCCGGCTCCGCTCCGCGCCTGGTTGGTGCTGCCGGGGCCGGGGGCGCGGCCAGGCCGGGGCCGTCCCGGTAAAGCGGCGGCGCGGGCGGCGCGGTCCCGCACCATGGAGGGGCACCTGGCGCGCTGCAAGATCGTGGTGGTGGGGGACACGCAGTGCGGCAAGACCGCGCTGCTGCACGTCTTCGCCAAGGACTGCTACCCCGAGGTGTGCGCGGCCGGCCGGGCGGTGCGGGCGCGGCGGGGCAGGGCTCGGTTTGGCTCGGCTGGGCTCACCTCTGCTCACCTCTGCTCTCCCTCCGTCCCCCCAGAGCTACGTGCCCACCGTCTTCGAGAACTACACGGCCAGCTTCGAGATCGACAAGCAGCGCACCGAGCTCAACATGTGGGACACCTCAGGTGGGCCGGGGGGGGGGGGGCACGGCGGGACCGGGACGGGCTGTTCCCTCTCCTTGAGCTCCAGCAGCCTGCGAGCCCCCGCCCGGGGCCCGGGCTGCCCCCGCCGCAGCGCTGGGGAGGCTCCGGTGCAGCATCCGCGGCGGAGCGGCCGCATCCGTGTCCGCGCAAGGATGCACCGAGTGGGGGAGAGGCGCATCCCGAGGAGAGCCCTCGCCGTGGGGAGGAACGCGTTGCCCTTCGCTGCCCTCTGCCGCGGAGCCCCTGGGGTTCTTCACCGGTTTTTGGTCCGGTTTGGTTGTGCCTCTTCGTGTCCTGTTGTGATTCTGTATGAAGCCTTCGTCACAGCAGCCTCAGCCCATCGGGACCCTTCCCAAACTTCGTGCTGCTTTGTATGGAGGGGCAAATTAAATCGAATCGCACAATGGTTTGGTTTGGAAGGGACCTTAAAGCTCATCGAGTTCCAACCCCGTGACACAGGCAGGGACCCCTTCCGCTAGACCAGGTTGCTCCAAACCCCATCCATGGATGGGGCAAGGGAGCTGCAAACGAAATGCCTGATGCAAAGCTAACAAAAATGCTGGCACCCAGCAAAGTTCACGTGTGCTTTTTGACTTGCCCCTGACAAGCTTTTTAGGCTGGCCTATACATATGCTGCAGCTGACTGCTGTGCTATGTTAATGTACATACATCAGAGACTTGCTGATGCTCTTCCCCTGTAATTTCTGGAGTCCTTATGTGCTCTCAATGTCCAATAGCAACAGCAAATTAAAACGTGACCTAGGACTTTCTTGGCTCTTGTACACTCAAATTCCTTGCTGTGATTTTACATCCATCAAATTACAGCTGTAGTATGCACACAGCTTTACCTGGAGTAGCGGCTTTACTGAGGCTTGCACCAGCTCTAACATGTAAAATGTGTTTGAGTCTGCTCTGGGCCTTTCTGATCCATGAGATCTTGCTTTTGCTGCTTTTTATTCCCTGAAATGAAACAGGGTTTTTGCTTTGCCCACACGATGTGCGCTGGGATGCGAGCCACACAGATGCTGGCTCTTAGGGCAGCTTTTGGTGCTGGGGCTGTGGATGAAGCGTTGGCTCCCAGCACTTGACTGGGAGCTGTGCCTGAAGTGCAGAGCAGTGGCTGTAACTTAGGAGTCATTATGTGGTGGATGGTGCTGGGCTGGTGTGTCTGTGTGAAGCCCCATGGGAACAGCGAAGCCACTCTGGTCCCCCAGGCCTGCCCACAGAAGCTGGAGCTGCTCCAGTGGGGTGAGTGCTATCGGGGTGCATGGGATTGAGGGTGACCCTGTGTGTCACCCGCAGCGTGATGCCCTGTCCCTGTGGGGGTCCTGCAGCCTGCCAAAGGGGCTGTGAGGGGCATCTTTGTTAGGGTGCCTTTGCTCCAGGGAGCACAAAATCACAAAATGGAATATAGAAACCTTTAGAGTTAGTTTTCAGTAATGTTAAGTTTGATTTCTCTGAATTAAGGTGTCTCCTTGACATGAAAAACTTCCCTGTGTGAGTGTGCCGAAGCACGTGTGATGACTTGTCTGCTTTTCAGGAATTCTCCAGAATGCTTGGCTTTGATCTTACAAATGTCAAAAGAAAAGGCTATGATAGGAAGTCTTTAAAGCTCTGTAGGAGTATCTGATACCTGCATCTGATGCTGCCATAAATTCAACAAAAGATGTAAGTTTGTCTAATACTTGTCTCTACAGCCAATGTAAAATGGACTTTGATTCTTTCTCCCTTCTCCTTATGGAAAAGCGAAAGAGCTTTTTAACAGCTTTGCTGTAGTTTTCTGGATAAATTCCCTTCTGCTGTAGCTTTGATTTGAAGTCCATAGGAGCCAGTTCTTCACTTAACGGTCATGCAAAGCAATGCACCCTCAAAATCAAGCTGGTGTTTTCAGCTGTAGACTGCAAGCTGCTGTTGATACCCTTTGGAGACACTTGTTTGGTAAAAGAACTTGGGCACAACAGCGAACCAGCTGAGCTGAGGAGCTCATTGCCCTCCTCATGCAGGGTGGCAGGCGCTGGGGTGCGCTTTCCCTTGTCCCTGTCTGTTTTAAGCAGCTTTGCACACAGGGGCTTCTTGTTGGTGATAAATTCCATCCCAGCAAGAGCGGGAAGGGAGGTGCTGGGATCCTGCTCCCCTCTCCTGTCAGGATCACCCTGCTTTCATTGTTTTACTTTAAACACTTGCCACCTCTTAGCTGGGTGACTGGGGCTGAAGGGCTCCTCCAGCAGCCAGACCAGGGCAGAGGAGCTGGCTATGAGTTAATTCATTTAAGTTCCTCCTGCTCCGTAGCTGTGGAAGTGGTTGGAGGCTCTGGAGGCTCTGCAGGGTGAGCTGAGCATCGTCCAGCAGCAGTGCTGGGGCAAGGACAGGCTGCCTGCAAAACTCCTTCCTTGGGACCAAGAGTGGCCATGGAGTCCTGCTGCTGATCCCGGTACAACCAGGATTGTTGTCTGCTCCCTGGGACTGATAGAGCCGTGTTGGAAAACGCACCTTTCAGGCTGCATGTGCCCCTCCTGCTAAGTGACAAATGCAGGCTGTGACATTAGCAGCTGCCAGGCAGTAAATCTGGTTAGAGAAATGCTGCCATAGGGTGGACAGAAGCGATGGAGAACTGACTGGCTCCCAAATGGCTCTGTTTTCCTTTAAAAGCCATACAGGATGGGTAGGGTTTTTGCTCCAAGCCTTACAGGGGACCCGGTGCTTTGCTGCTCCTCCTGCTCTGGCAAATTCTTTCTTTGTTGCCTGTTGGCCAAATGCGCTCAGTGCAGAAGCCGCACGGGGCCGGGATCTTGGGGCAGGGTGAAACTCCTGTTTGACAGGATGCCTGGTGGCTTGGGAGTGCTGCTCCCAAAGGGCTGGGTGCCTCCCAGACCCGCAGTGCTGGTCCCAGCCCTGCCAGGAAGGGCTTTCATCCTGGCGGCCAGGTGGAGGGAGGATGGATGGGTTTGATCACCAGCGATGCTTTACAAGGAGTAGGCGAGTTTCATTTCTGTGCTTCAGAGGTGTAAAAGGGAGGGCAGTTAGCAGGAGGTGTGCACTGGGCGGGTAGGTTTTCACCATGCAGTGTCTGTGTTCCCTGTGGGACTGGGGAGTGTCTGGGGGTCTGTCCTGCTCTGCTGCAGTGCTCAGCAGGAGTCCAGTGCTCCTGAGCTCCCTCCTTCCCAGGGACCAGCTCTCAATGCTTTCCCAGGGGGATTCAGGCATTGCCCATGGATGCTCTGCCACAGCTCCGGGCCGACCTGATGCCTTGCTGGGGAGAGATGGGCACAGCAAGGGTGCTCCAGCACAGGCCTGGGGCTGTGCTCTCTACCAGGGTGGGGGTTTGGTTTGCTTCCAGTGATGATGGGGAGGAAGCTGCTCTCTGCATGGCAGCCTGGGCTCAGTTCTGTGCTTTTGGTTCTCAGCCCTTTATGCCCAGAGGCTCTTGTGCACCTTCTGTGTCCTCAGTGCAGTCAGGCAGGGCAGTGATGTGACCTGAGGCCATGTAGCTGCTTTGCTGGTGCAGATCCCGATGCAGGGTAGAGCTGCCCCATTCTGGTAGGAGCATCTGTGCCAGTGGCTCCAGCGGGGGACAGACACCAGGCCTGGCGTTGTGCCTTGCACATTATCATCGTTGCCTTGGAAAGCTGCTGGAGAGGCCGTTCCTGTCCTTCTGTGGACCAGCAGGATGCACTGCTGCCAAGAGCCACAGCATCCACCACAGCCCGTGCCACTGCAGAGACCAGTGCCCATGGGTTCAGCAGCGCTGCCTTGCTCCCCTCCCTGTGCTGCAGCTCACAACAGGGGACTTGCACGGCTGCCAGGCCTTTGCCACAGCTTCTGTCTCTCAAGCAGATGTGCTTTCAAGTCCAGAATAACACAGTGAGTCGCAAATCCCCCTCCACCTCCCTCTTTGCCTGTACTCAGCAAACAGTCTGCCTTCGTAGGGCCTGTGTGGGAACCTACAGACTGTGATAACAGATCCTTCTTTAGGGGAACTACCCAGGAATGTTGATTAGATTAGAGCTGAAAGGGGCTGAGTTTAGCAACGGCATCTCCATGGATGCTGGGGCTGTGCCTGGATTCCCAGCGCGGGGCTCGGGGATTGCCATGGCTGCCTCTTCAGTGTGCAAGAGCGAGTTCTCTCTTGGGAAAGAGTTCAATGCCACTTGCACTCCGAGGCAGAGAAAAAATGCGGAGCTGCCCTTTCCATACCAGAATAGCTCCTCCCATGCTCCGGGTTGAGGCTGGGAGCCCGAAACCGGCATCGTTCAGTTCTGCCTCAGCACAAATACATAGTTAAACCTAAAAATATGTGCAGCTGGGTCACGTTCTCAGGCGGGTCAGTAACCAGGCTCAGAGAGCTGCAGCAGAGGCAATGCTTGTGCTGGAGGGGGTGGAGGATGCGCCTGAGAGTCCAGGACAGGACAGTCCCTGGGCAGGGAGTGGGGCTCAGGTGGAGGCTGCTGCTCCTGCACTGCCTTGCGCAAGGGCAGCATCCTCCTTGCTCCCTTATGGATGCGGGAGGCTCGGGCTCCGTGGGGTACCCTGGGAGTCATGGGAGAGGCTGAGGAGCGGTGCCATGGTGACAACTTGAAGGCAGGAATGGGCTGATGTGGGGGGGTTGGCTCCTGGCTCTGATGCAGCCCCTTTCCCACAGCACAGAGCTGATCCGTGCTCTCCCATGGGCAAGGGCAGCTTTGCTGTTCTCTCCCTATTCCTTCTGTCAGCCTGGCTGCCCTGTGGCTCCTGGTGCTGCTTTAACACTGATTTAATGCATATTTAGGGTAAGTGGAAGCTTCTTATCGAGGCAGTCACACACAGAGACCTGCAGAAACTCCCTGGAGCAGCGCAGTCACACCCTGGCCTCTGCTTGTGCTGACTTGCCTTTCCAATAGCCTTCACCCTGCCTGGTGCCAGGGATGCTCCTCCTGCCCCAGCAAGCTGTGCCAGTGTGCTTTGGGATGGCAGGAGGCTTTGTGGATGGGAGAGCTGTGAAGGAC